GGACAAAGTTCAAGCCCGCGAAAGCTGCAGTGCGGGTTTTCTGCAAGCAGACCACTATCTGTCCTTGGTTCAGTTTATGCACATTGGCCTACCATCAATAGAGACTTAGGTCTCACAAATGAAAGGTTTACAATTATTATAATGTACTACTGTGAACAAATGTTTATTCAGGCCATTCTGTGCTTTAAGCTGGCGTCACACTGCATGGCTTAACACAACTTCTAGTCGGGGAACATATACAATTTAACGACTGCAGTCGCTGAATCTTGCTACCTTTTCTGTCCTAGAGGGTGTCAAATTACACGTCAAGGAATCGCAGGGGGCGACTAATTACACGATTCCCTCATGACTTTTCATCACGGTTCCAAACCTCGTATTGCGCCGTGAAAGTACCGCGAGGTCGCCTAATTCTGGCAGCCAATCAACGTGGAGCACACCGGAATAAAGGAGCACTGCACGAAAGTAAAAAGACAACATAGAGAACAAGCAAGCAGTGGTCACCTTCGCTGTAGCCTGTGCTCTCCTTTGTGACGAGAAAAAAAAAAAGAGGATACGCTGAAGAATTTGGAGTAGACCACATTTGTTTGGTCATGGTACTTCTGGTTGAGTGCTCATTGGCTGTTGACTGTCACAGACGCAAGAGCCCAACTCTACGACTCGCTATGAGAAAATCAAAACTGTTTCCTGCGGCTGAAACATAAAACCGAGGTCCTGAATCTCTGCGCACATTAAAATCCCAGGGTGTTTCTCGAAAAATGTAGGGGTGTTACTACGGCGTACTGGCCAAATTTCTAATTCTTTTACCAATCATGGTCTCTTAATAAGCAGCCATGTCACCCTGTAACTCACAACTGGTAGCCCACTGAAACTAAGCAAGTGTAAGCCTGGTCAGTACCTGGATGGGAGACTTCCTGGGAAAAATTAAGGTTGCTGCTGGAAAAGGTATTAGAGGGGGGTGCTCACCCTGTGGTCTCTGTGGTTCCTAATGCCCTAGTATAGTGACAAGGACACTATACTGTAAAAAGGCACTGTCCTTCCGATGAGACGTAAAACTGAGGTCCCGACTCTCTGTGGTCAATCCCCCCTGGCATTTACCAATCATGGGCTCAAATAATCCCCATTTATGAATTGGCTTCATCACTCTGCTCTCCTCCCCACTGATAGCTGATGTGTGGTGAGTATACTGGTGCACTATGGCTGCTGTCTCATCATCCAGGTGGGTCTACACATTGGTGGTGGCGGAGGGGTGTTCCCATTACCTGTACAGCAATTTGAGTGGAGTGTCCAGAAAAGCACTATATAATTGTAAGGAATTATTGTTATAACATAACGAGATGCCTTCACGTCCCTTATGTCTTTTAGACAAAATCACTGCGACTTGCTGTTCCCATGTTCTTTGTATTGTATTCCCCTTTTATGTCTTTGATGAAATCTTGGCTTTAGTAATCTATTCTGCTAGACTACTGTAATATTCATGTTTCTGATCAGATTAGCTTCATGGTTTTACTTTAAACCATATTCCGAAATATGTTAAAAAGCTTTTTCTACACTACATGAATTACAAAGTCCACCGACTAGCGTCATTTCTAAATAAAGTTTGTAGCTACACACACATACTTATATTTGTGTGTTATGTATTGGATATTGAGCAAATCTATGGTTTGGGCTTGTTAACAGCTCCTCTTTGATATGCTAAAATATATGTTTTTAATTGATTAATGTGTGCATATGGATGTATAAGAATAAATAGCAACAAGAACAAAGTAAAAACACACCATTTATGAGCCTCACTTAGAAAAAAACTACTGTAGACTGCAGTTGCTAAACCTATAATCTTTTCTAGTCTGTGTTTTCTTATGTACCTTCATCTAGAAATGCTTCCGACATGCGTACAAGGTAATTTTTATCTATGTAAATACACACTGATGTAAGGCAAAAAGGCAAATAAAAAAACAATGAAGAAATCTAGCACAAATGACTTGGAGGTGGGACAGTTCCAACTTTCTGTTACACCAAGGGCAAATCTACTGCATATACAGTTTAAGAGCTGAAGAGGTTCTGTTGTTCAGCCTATTAAAAAGCAGATCGCTCTAGACTTGGCACAGCTGGGGTGGTTGCATTATCTCAGTTAAGTATGAACATTTGGTATGCTTTGCCTTATCCAGGCCCTGACCAGTTTAAAAGTGTAGAAACATTAAAAAATTACATTAGTGCATAATTAAAATGAATATCATGCAAAATATCTTTAATATGTTTTCACCTACTAAAGAGGAAGGATGTTTTTTCAACAGATAAAATGGATCGTTAATATAAAAAGAATGCCTAGTTTGCCTAGAATAATGAATGAGTAAAGAGGCTGACCTGGTGTCATTACTTCAGAATGGTATCCTGGTATCCGGGTTTAACTACTAAAGGGAACCTATCTGACCATGAAAGATCATTTGGCTAAGCTTGTACTCACTGCCATACTCTGACATCTACCTAGAACATTACAAAAAAAAAAAAACTAATGCCATGACAAGAGAGATCCACTCCATCCAGCTTGTTTCAGTCTGGAAATAGTATTTTCTCTGAACCTGCCTGTCCCACTCAGCTTAAAGAAGGTATTTTCAAGTCAGTTGCAGACATTTTGTGTGAGTGGGGAGTTCTGTTTACAACTCAAAAGTAAACATTTTTAAACTATCAGTATAGGTAGGGGTTTTATCAGTCGTCTGGGACACTGCAAACACACTTTATGCTTACCTATGAACAAGAAGAGGGACAAAATGGACAAAGCAATTGTCAGCCAACCTGTCATTTTTGAAAACAAAGATGGAGTTTTGTTTTGTATTAACATTGCAGGTCAACAGGTTTTCAAAAAGGAGGTGTCTTGTTTGTTAATTAGACTTCTTCCAAGATCCAGCCACAACATGGCATAAGAACAAACTTTCTTTTGACAATTCTAACACAACCCCTCAACAGGGCAGATCAAGGCTTGGTCAATCGGCAGTAATTCTGAGTTGGATAAGCAGTCAGTGGAGGATCTTACAGAGTAGTATAGGACAGCCAAACAATTTTTATTGCTCTATCATAACCAAAACTGGCGCATTTGGCAAATATTTCAGATTTCTGTATTAAGCTGCACTCTATGTGTCCCAGCTGAAGCTCATATAGGGCGACCTGACTTTCCTGGTGAGTATTAATTATAATTTCTTACACTTACATAGATCTTTTTTGAACACTCCACTACAGCTGATAGAGACTCTCCTCCACCACCATGTGCAGCCCCCACCTAAATGATGCAGCGGCAGCCGTAGTGCACCAGTATGCTCACCACACACAAGCTATCAGTGGGGAGGAGAACAGAGTGATGAAGCCAGTTCAGAGATGGGGATTATTAGGAAGCCGTGATTGGTAGGTCAGGGGAAAATTTGGTCAGGATGCCAGGGCAACACCCCCACTGTTTTTGAGAATTTCAAAAACTCTGGGATTTTTAATGACCACAGAGATTCAGGACCTCAGCTTTATTCATCCATCTCAGGACGGCATCTTTTTACAGTATAGTGTCCTCTTCACTGTACTGGGGCATTAGAAAGATAAGATAAGATCACTGTATTAGCCATATACAATTTCTTGCATTAGGAATTTGTCTTTTCACATACCTCAGCTTGCTCTCCATGAGACACACAGGCACACAGACAGGGAGAGAGATGCCTGAGGTCAGTGCGAAGGGTCAGCCATTTATACGGCACCCCTGGAGCAGCTGGGGTTAAGGGCCTTGCTCAGGGGCCCAACGGAGTAGGATTCCTCTACCGGCCGTGGGATTTGAACTGGCAGATCCTTAGGTCCAGATTCTCAGCCATAGTGCCACCACTCCGCCCAACAGACAGTACTCACACAGATTGCTGGGTGAGTGCCCCCTACTGGTCTCACTAACACCTTTTCCAGTAGGACCCTTTCCCAGTAGGTCTCCCGTCCAGGCACTGAACAAGCCCACCCCTGCTGAAGTTTAGTGGGCTGCCAGTTGTGAGTTTCTGGGTGATCTAGCTGCTGACCAATCAGTAGATGAAAGGAAACAAATTCTGCTTCCCAGTACAAGATGCATGGCGCCAGTAACAGTAACAATGGCATGACCTAGCAAGAGTGCTGCACGGCCAGAAACCAAGGTGTGACTCAGAGAAAGATGATCAAGCCAGACCGGGAGAACATGACAGGCTGTGGGAAAGCCCAGTGTGACAGAGGTGTGGAGAGGAAGGGTAAGAAGTCAGGACGATGCTTGCCCACAGTTACATGAGGAGGTCCAGTGTCAGAGCCAGGACAAGCAAGCCAGGTTCCCCCAAAAGCAGATGACAGAAGGAGACCAGCTAAAAGAAAGGTTCCTTTTTAGTTCAACACGTCCAGGAAAGGCAGCTGCTTTTATCAGTCCAGGTGATTACCACATCTGCTATGTGGGTGTGAAAGATGGACAGCTCTTGTCTGTGCTGGCACAGGTGAAGTGAGCACAGCTGCTGTCCCTCTTGCGAATTTGAGACTTATGGTGCAGGCAGGGGTTGAAAGGTCGAAGACTGTACAGACTCAACGAATTGTCCCTCATGTAAGCAGACTAAGGACAGAACAGTCGAAATCTGGACTCGAAGCCTGCACTTCCCTCACAGACTTCGTTATTGCGTGGCCCCTTACCTTAATAAAATCGATTTTAAATGCTCATAGATCCTCACATATGCCTTGGGAAATTTGTTTCCATCTATAGGAGTTAAATCCTGTTTTCAACGCTCGGATTCTTAATTTTCATTTGGGACCTCTTTGATTGTGAGGAATAAAACTCACATTTCTTGAGCGTTCATAGCTTAATTTTCTCTTGCGAAACGAATAGTTTTTTCTTTATTTGTCGCGCTGGAAGGCAGAAGGACAAAACACAATGGCAGGGTAGCCCTTTTAAGAGCTGTTTTGACTCTACACGTGCTTCGCTTGCAATGACTGAGCCACACAAACACAGCGGAGACTGGGATCTACTCGACCGAGAGTAACCCTGCCTCCTCAGCGCAGTGTACAGAGAGCGCTATAAAAACAGCTAAAGGTTAAAAACGGCAGTTTCACAGACCGAGACCGCACGGTTCACAGCGCAGAGAGAAGATACAACAAAAAGGAATCTTTTGCTTCGTTTACTTTAAAGGATTTAGCATTTATGCATAAAGACACATAAAGACTGCGCGAGATAATAGGTAAGTGTCGATTTTTTTTAATCGTTATGTCATTTGTGGCTTTGGCATGTTATGGCATGTACTGTATCAAAAGTTTAGCTCTAACTTTTATTTTTATGACGGCATATTTGTAATCCCACGTTTGTATCGGTTTTTCAGTACAATCCACATTCGTGTCTTTTGAAAATGTGAATGCAAAATTACATTATATTCAGAAGAAACGATGAGCTGTCTTTTCTTTGTTTTAGACACAAAGGTTTTTCTTTTTGCTAATAATTTTATCCATTGGTGATCGTCAATTAAAAATCTTTACATGTTAAATTTCTCTGTCTTTGCCAAAGTAGCCCTGTTCTGTTATATTGCTCAAAGTGAACGCCTTTGTTAGGAAGTGTTTTTGACGGGACACTTTGTAGTGTTCTTTTTTCATAGCCACGCATCTGCCGCTATCGTAGACTAGAAGCACTGTAGAGAAATGACCGACAGTAACCTCTCTGCTGTGAAACACAGCTGATGCGAGTTCTTAAGCAAGACTTTTTTTTCCGCGATGTTAATTTAGAAACACGAAAAAGTACGGTAAATACCGATCTTCACTAGCATTGTGATGTTTATTTCCTTTTGCTTTTATTGTTTTACCGAAAATGAAGAAAACAAATATACAAGTGCCTGAGGGAAATCTTGTGTGGAAATCTGGTTTTAGGGATTTGAAATTTTATCACTAGGGACAATAAGTGCAAAATGGTGAGGTATTTTTTTTTGAAAAACGATTGTTTGCACCACGGATACGGTACCGAACGCATGAAAGATGAACTGAATTTTATTGATTTTATGTAAAAGCAAATCGATTAATTATAATTCGATGAAAAGCGATATACGATTAAAAACAAACAAACCACGATTAAACAAAAATATATATAAAATAACGGAGCCAAAGCTGTCATTCTAATTGAGATAAACAAGAAATACCTCTAAATATGAAAGAGTAAAATAGTTGTTTTTTGCGACGCTAGGGGCGCTATAGACATACTCATTTTCACAAAACGTGGCTGCAGATTATGCAGCGATGTTCCGTGATTACCCTCAACAGTACCAGCGGACGATAAAATGGATGGATATACGACTGAAATCTCAGAACAGTACACAGTAGTTTTCCGATATGTATCAATATTTTTTAATTAATGTAACAAAAAGTATTTTAACAGGTAATTCGATTAACTTCAATTTGGGAGGGGGGTAAATTTTAATTAAAATTTAAGTTAATTGTATCTTAATGCTGTTAGAACAAAAATAAAACACGATATTAACTGAAGCTCAGCAAATTCTGTTTCTCTTTTTTATTTCTGGTTCTCATCAATGGGCCATTTTCAATAAAGGAGCACAATTAAGGGATGGCACAGAGGTGCAGCGATTAGCATTGTGGCCTTGCAGTACTGGGGCCCTGGGTTCAATTATGAACTTGGGGCAGCTACAGTATCTGCACAGAGTTTGTATGTTCCCTCTGGGTGCTCCTGTTTCCTCCTACGGTTCAAAGACATACTGGTAGGTTGATTATCTTCTCGGAAACTGGGAAGCGTGTCTGTTTGCCCTGCAGTGAATTGGTCTCCTGTCCAGGGGGTACCCTGCCTTGCACCTGTTGCTTGCCGGTGTAGGCTCTGGCTCCAGATCCTCTGCAGCCCTGAATTGGATGAGGCAGTTAGACAATGGATGGGTCTGTGGAAGAACAATTAATAGTATTTCTTTTTGTATGTATTCCTGTTTATGTAAGAACTTAGGGCTATAGTTAATCAACTGTGCTCAGTGTTTACTGGTTATCCGAGGACTTGCAGAATGTCCATATTACATAATGAAGAAAGCTTTGAGGTTTAACTTCTGGAGCACAATAAGTAGAGATCTTTTGATGGAACAGTAAGTAGACAACTTTTAGATTAAGAAAACTGTAGTGCATCTCTTTCTCTTTGGGAGTACAGTAAACCTTCAATATATAAAGTTTGAATATGTGCTTAAATATAAGCTACACGCAAGGTTTCCTAATTAATTGAACATTTCCACTGCTTTTCTTCATAAAAACTGTTACAGATTGTCCTGACTTATATAAACCCTCTATTTGTACAAGTTAGGTGGTACAGAATCAGATGTACACTTAATAAAAGACTGGCAATATTTTTTTAATTGAAATCCTGAATGTTCCAGTCTATGTTTGCAATTTTAAATTGTCACTTTTTTAATCAAGTGAAACATTGGGTTAATTTACTGTACAGGATGGCCTTAGAGAGATATTGAGAATAATAGTGTGGCACCAATCCATAAAAGGGGGGCAGAACTAAGCAAAGTAGCCTAATTATAGGCCAAAAAGTCTCACCTCTGTTACTGTACACATAATGTAATGAAAACTATAATTAGCAGATGAACAGAGGATTGTTAGTATATCAGTACAGTACTACTGGAAGTCAATGTGGATTTAGAAAATGAAGGTCTTGCTTAACAAACATGTTAAGAGTTGTTGTAGCGAGCAACAACAGTATTATGTAAAGAATATACAATACTAGTGAATGGTATATTTAGGTTTTCAAAAGGCTTCTGATAAAGTTCCTCATAGAAGACTAATAGATTAGCAGAGATCACAAATACAGGATGAGTACTCAAATTGGGGTGCAGTACAGCAGGGGTCTGTACAAGGACCTCTGTTATTGTTCATTTATATAAATGATTTAGACTTTTGTATTGTTAATAAAAAAGCTCAAGTTTATGTCCATCCTTCCAATTTGTGCTTTATCCAATTCAGGATCACTGGGAGACTATCCCAGCAAGCAATGGGTGCAAGGCAGGATCAAGTTCACCTATGAAACCAAAATAGAGGGATTACAAATAACAGTAGAAGTTGTAAATGAAATTATTTTTCATGAAGACACTCCTTCACCTTTATTGCCAACTCTCTAAATTAAATATGCCTGAAATGTATAGAGGTACTTAAATACTTTCGTGTATAGTGTTTGAAATCTATTCCAAAACTCATAATAGCTAAATTCTGATGACATTAAGATATCAAAATGCTGCTTATGAACAGAGCGAAGAAAACCCTTCTTAGTCCATGTTTGTTCTGTGAATTATGTACCTTAATAAGTTTGCTTATTAAGTTTTAATAAGTTTGCCGACTGTAAAATAAATCCCCAATTTTTATTCTGAGACACAACAACCCTTGAATTTTTATATGTTTTACATACAGTAAGGCTGTGGCTATTCATTTAATAAAGAAGAGATTGCCTCAGTTTCGGAATGCCAAATTCACTTTTAGAACTTTTTCAGCTCCCCTCAATTCCTTCTCTTTTGGTAGCAGTTCCTTCATAATTGGTGCAGTTGCGGCAATATCAGATAACTGAGAGCACTTTGATCAGAACCTTTGAACTATGTGTTGGCCGGATTTCATTCTCTATAGCTTCGTTCCCCTGTGCTTGCTTTCAGTCGAGCGCCGGAGTCTGTGAGCTGGAACTCCTGAGGAAAGATGTCCATCTTTACTCAGCTGGGTTTGCTCCTGTGGAAGAACTTCACCTACAGAAGAAGGCAAACAGTAAGACTGTCTTATCTGGCCCTGTGATCATTTTCCTTGCTTGTGTGCTTGGAACCTACTGCTCATAGCTATTACTGTATACGATGATGAGATCATGTCTTGCCATCATAATTCCTGGTCTTCCTACAGGAGAGAGTATTCTGTTTTGACACCAGAGAAAGCAAAGAAGAAGCAGATAGAGAGAAAGGCGGCACATTTACAAGTGCAGCAGGTTTAGGAAAAATGAAAATCAAGCATGTCGAGAGGAATAGCCACATACTGTAGGAGTATATATATTTCACGACCCTCCCAAGCTACGCTGGCAGGGCACACAATCATATTTTCTTGCACAGTCTTCTGCAGTCTATAATGCAAAAAAGGCCCATTTGAACCCAGTTGTGTGCATTAACTGTAATTAGAGGGCCTATGATTTGCATATTTAGAGCTTTAGATAGAATTTGTACAGTACATTGAAACGGCTATTTTCTGAAGGAAAGCTTCAGACAATAATAAAAGGCTTGGTTATGAGTTTATTTAACATGGAGGAGGATAAAAACGTATTTGTTATGAAAAACAAGTATCAGTTTTTTAAAATTGAAGACAGACTCGATTGTGTGACACAGTTTTGAATATTTTTTTTAAAAAAATTCTGAAAGTTGAATGATTACAGTTTTTAAAATTGGGCACCTTTAGGCTGTCCTCCCAATTTTATTGTGTAAGAGTATTGTTTTTAAAAAAGGGATTCTTAAAAGTTGTATTGATCTTGCCAGTGCTGATTTAAAGTTCAGGCATTGGGTTGAAGTGCTTGAATTTGAAGTGCCTCTTTGAGACGTTGATTCTACGGTTTGGGACAAAAAAGACGGTGTTTCGCTGTGAGGAGAGCCAGTTTTTCACTTACTGTCTTCTGGCAAAGATGAGACACAAAAGGCAAGTTCTTTGCAATGTCTGTTTCTCAAGCGTGAGCAGCAGTGCAATGTAGAAGCTGTAAGAAAATTAGTTCTGCATGAACAAATAGTTGTGAATTGTGTTAGATAACACAGCTACGTGTGCTACAGTATAGCCCAGATGGAACATCCATGGCTAAATCAAGTACTCACAGTTTACAGTTAGGTTAGCCAGGGAAGGTGAAATGGAATAAAATCTTGTTTAATTCAATAGATCCAGAGTTTTTCTTTGTGTCTGACCGTTTGTTTTCACTATGCACTTCAGAGAACATGCAAATGAAAAAAGGCAGCTCAGGGGCAAAGTTGGAGGATAGAGAAAACATGGAGTGATATTACCAGTATTTCACCCACACGGTTCTCTTTCCTGTTTTAAGAAAATGTCTGTTGAAAGCAAACATTATTCTGGGAAGTAGTTTAAATATTAGAGTCTTCATTTATTCAAGTAGCCCTGATAAGTGCAGATAATACTGGAAAAATATTTTTAACATAAAATGTATCGAGCATTGATTTGCCAGCATCCATAACAATAAAACTACATTTTCAGTTTCCTAAACTCTCGCATTAGCTGAATTGCAGAATACAGCAGATGTAATTTCATTGTGTGATACTGATTACATACCATCGCACGAGTGAACCAGCTCTGACTGGAGCTGAAACGCCCAGTTACAGAGCTGCAGCCATTATATGCAATTATGGTCTGGACAGCCTTAATCACCTGTAAATATTTAAATTTTTAACCAGATTTTTTATTTTCTGGACTGAGGTTACGGAACCGCTTGTATTATTCCCTCAAGCTACAGAACATTTTATTTTAATGATGTTTCATTGAAAACTACAGTTTGTTTGCTTTTTAGAATAAGATCTTCGTACTAGGAAGTACTTTGTACTTCACCCAGGAAATTCAAGATGGTATCTTGATAGTGTCTCAAAATTATATAGAACTGAAAGAAATGGAAAGCTACTTGACACTATATGAAATAAAATACAGTACGCATATATAATCCTGAAAGTGAATATTATTAAGGTAAAAAGTTTAATTTTAAAAGCATAGTTTCTCAGAATTTCTGTATATCATCAACTCATTTCTGTGCTTTATAATATTGGGCATTCTTTGATTTTAAAATGAAAATTTTTCAGGCAACATTTCTTGTTTTGATTAAGTAATGAAAGTTAGATTAACATTGTAGAAGCAGTTTGTGGCTAAAAAATCCTTTTGAGAACAGCAAGTGATTGGCCTTTTCACAAAACTGGTTAAGCTGGCCTTGCTTTCTTTCTGCTTGCTTCTGGTGGACCGATGTTATTGCCTGACAAGGAGATGCAGCTAATTAACAAATTCAGAACATTTTCACATTTCTAAATACATAAGGGCCTGCGGACTTTCCCATGGTCATGAAGTGAGGTGATTCACATCAGAGCTCACGTCTTTTGAAACCAGCCTCTCACCAGTGACGTGCTATTTGGCCAAATTAAACCATTGCTTAATTTGCGTGCTTTAGATTTGTTTAAAGACATGCATCATCATTATTTATTGTTAAAGACTCTGGCATGCATTGTTAACGAATGCCTCTGATAAAAAAAGAGTAAATTGAGTCATTGGTAATTTTCTTCTTAAATGTATGACATTGGAAAACTGTGCTGTAGTTGACCAGCTCTTGAAAGCTTTTAAATTGTTCAAACAAAGCCTACGACTGAAACTCAGACTTTTTTCACTGAGGCTTGTGAAAAAAAGCCAGTATTGTGCTCTGCAGCTTTACAGTGTTGATCTCTCTTGTTTTGTTTTCAGCTCCAACTTCTAATCGAGATAGCCTGGCCGCTCTTCATCTTTTTCATCTTGATATCTGTGAGGCTTTCGTACCCTCCGTATGAGCAACATGAATGTAAGTACAGAAGATCCTTTTTTGGATAACGCTAGCGACACTAGCAAGGTCATGGCAAACACCAATGGACTGATACTCTCATTCTCCTCGCAGTTCCCAAGCCACACTAGTCTCAGCTGCACAATGAAGAACTTCAGTTTGACTTTTTTGAGGTCACCATAATGCCTATGACCGTGCGAGACAAAAATAAATTAAGAAGGGTAAAAAACTTAAGATGGTTCTACGTTTTTTGGTATGAGAGTAATAATTGTGTTGGACGGGCATGTGCCCTGTTGTTCACTTCACACAACAGAAACCAGGATAAGACCTGGCCTTGTGAGATGATGTAGCTCTTAGAGCAGGAGGTTCCCACCTGCCTTTAGTCTAATAAGAAAATAAAAGTATTTTGTCTTTGCTCCCCAGTGGTTGGCTACACTCTATATGATCCCGTAAATAAAAGTTCGCGTATGTATTCTCACTGTAAAATGGTGTATGCATTCATAAAAATGTTCTAGACTCATATGTTTTTTTCTTTTAAAATTTTGTTTAAATGCTGGGAATGGTGTATTTCAGATGGCCAGCGTATTTCTTTAGTTTTTTCTGCTGTAGATACAGTATGTAGAGCTCTAGTGAACTATTTCACTAGTAATGTCTGGGTCTTAGATTCCAGAGCACAAATATTACAAATGGGTCTTTTCTGTTTAAAAGTTTTCACTGTGTTATTATCTGCCTGTGATATGAATAAAACCTTTAAACAATGCAAGAATATGTTTTTTATACTTAATTGAGGAAGGCTCTAATATTTTTCAAAGGCAACAGGCCAAAATACGGACCAACTGCCCAGAGGAAAGAGAATGATAGGAAAGTTTTCTAAGATTCTAGTCTGGCTCACTGTTTTTTCCATTTATTCTGCCCCCATAATCCAACACATTCCAAATCTTTTGTAAAGTAAAAGAAAAACATGGATTAATGGTCTCCTTTTCGACACCTATGTAATCTCCTGTTAGATTTGCACTTTATGAGTACCTTGTGCAAAATGGTAAAAATCTCAAGCCATTGCCAGAATACACAATCGGCATTTATGTAAAATTTGACTGCGAGCAGGAATCCCCCATTAAGTCTCACTTGCCTTTTCCAGGAGTGTTATTTGTAATGATTTTATGATTTTAATTGCCTTCCTTATCTGTCTGTTAGTTCAAGTTGGATGGAAGTAATTGCAATCTGTAGTGTTGGAGAGGCTGGTGCTGTTCATAAACATCTATCAGGTGGACTTTTGTAACAGGTCAGGATGCCCCAGTTACAGCTGCTGTTATCAAGACACACATTTGGGATGACATTCTCAGAAAACACCAACCTTTACCACCCATAAGCTAAAGGTGTGACGACAGACCAGTGTTCCATTTTCTGTATAAAACAAACAATCCTGCTAGGGTTAGAGAAAAGTCCAGTTACCACAATTTTTCTCATTCTTTATAATACAAGGCCACAGCACTTACAGCCAAGGGATCACATAACGGGTCTGCCTGGATGTGTGCCGAAATAAATACAGTAAATGCAGTAGTCTTACCCCCACAGGTTCACAGTTTTGGTAACAAGGTTTTAATCACTGATTATACGTAAGCACCCTTAAATTTTAATCACCGATTACATGTAATTATCCTGTATCCTTGTAATGATCTCTAAGTTGAAAAATATACCTGTCTTTCACAGTGGTTTTCACTGTGACTGGTAATGGGAACTCCTTCCTTTGGCATTACAGACACAAGAGATGGAAAAACAGTCATTCACACAAAGCGGTGAATATTATTCACTTGAAAAGTTTTATCATCTCCAGATTATGAAGGCTGTTTAATTGGAATGTAGAAAATAAATTGACAATGGTAGTAAAACTTTAAAATGTGCTTAGGGGGCAACAAACGCAACAGTACTTTGTGAGAGTGCAGTCATACTGTGATCAGTTCTGTGTCTTATGAAATAAACTGGTGTGCAGTAAAATATCAATACTGATATTGATACTGAACATGTTTAGAAGGGAAGCGAATAGTCTATTTTATAAAAGAATGGGAGCTAACTAAAAGCATTCAGAAGCAAATTGTTTTATGAAATCATAAAAAATACAAAAAATGTAGGAAATTAAGATCTAAGTTCGGAAATGTTTGTTCAAAGAAAGGTCTTGTAATAGCAGGTTGTAGCTTACTGTGCGTGTGGAACCGATGCTGGATTTAGTGCCTGTGGCCAATTGAAGAGAACATATTCTTTGAAATGAAGGATTATCTTTAGTTAAAGACTGAATTTACAAGTCCGACAGGTGAATCATCTTGTCACAAAGCCAATTTAATACTGACCCTGCAGGCAGCATGTGTGTTCTTCCTCTTTGTCCATGTCTGATGTACACTAGTTTCCTTCCATTATCATGAAGAACATTGGGTGATGAAAGGCATCCCAAATTCAGACTCATTCAAGCCATTCACCATTCCTCATGCAAAGGGAAAGTGATGCACAAACTAGTACATTGTTCAGTGGTTCTGCTTAAAATCCTAGTTTAGAAGTAAAACAGGATTTATGTAATCTGTTGTGAAGCTGACATGTGAATGTGGACATGTTGCAACTTGTTTGTCTCTCAGGCAAACAGGTCTCGTGAGCTGGGATGAGGTTGTTCTTTGTGCAAAATACCTACTCTGTTCTCTTCATGCGTGTATCCTTGAACTGATTTCAGTGTTTTCAAATCTTCTTTATGTCATAAATTGACGCACACAGGCCTTTTAATTTCTTTCAATCGTCTGGGACAAAGAAGATGACTTTCTTCACTGCCTGGTGTGTCTTGGATATGTTGATTCTTTGGCTCCCTGAAAGAAACATCTGTTGATCATGTTGTGGTTTTTTATGGCTTTTGGCAAAAATATTTGGCATTAGCATGTTAACTGAATGTCCGTCCATCTAAAATGAGAAAGCTTCTCATCCTAACCTCATCTTATTTAGAGCCTTTATATACACATACTGTGTATACACACATGGGCAATTTAGACACACCAGTTGACCAAGCAAGCGCTTATTTAGAAGGTGGGAAGAAACAGGAGCATCAGAAGAAAGCACTCAGTTGTGGGGATATCATACAAGCTTCATATAGAAGGTGCCTTAGACCAGAGAACGCCCCGACACACGTTTATATTTTATGAAGCTGTAGTAATGAGGTGCAGATTACACGTTTATCTTTCTTGGCCAAAGACAGATATCTATGTCTTTTATGAGGTAAAATCTGCAAACTCCTGTCTAAATGATTTATCTTATCAGTTTCATTGAGCACAGCATAACTGGCAGTCTAAAGTTAACTGATAATACTGCTGCTTTTTGACTTGTCATACAAATGATTACAGGCTTTGAGAAGAAAAGCAGCCTAGTGCAAGGGTCATGTTCTATGCTGAGACAATCATTTTGGAGTGATTTTATTAAATCATATTATTTTGGACAGTATTTGTTCTGCCAAGTTATATCCACTTCATTAGAAATTCAACTTTTTATATGTCAATCTATTTAGCTGCATAATAAAGCTGCATGATAAAGTTTACAAATATTACAGAATGTTTTTAAAAAAGAAAAAATCAAAGGACATTTCTGTGATATTAATCTTGAAAAAAACGTTCTGATCTTTTATGAATCTGTACGTCCAAAAACCTTAAGAAGAGGTTTATAGCTCCCTTTTCACAGCTTTTTAGTGAAAGCACAATTAACTATACTTATTGACAATTAATTATTGTCTTGAGTAAGATATCTCAGAGAAATCTATTAATTTAATCTCTGTCTAAATTAAAAAAACAAGCACAACTGAGTGACTAATGGTATATTATGCCTCTATCCTATTTAATTTCAAGCTGTCATGTGACATGAGTTGTTCGGAGTTCACTTCTGCTTTCTGTGCAGAAATTGTATCTTGCTGGTTTGAAACTGACGCTGTAGAAAAGACAGCTGGTTGAGAAAGTTTTGAAGCCAATTCCCAGACACTGCGTCGGAAAAGCAAATCGGAATGCAGCAGGAGAAGTTGTCCTGCGCTTCCTCTCATACAGGCAGACCTTGCAGACAGCCCTTCAATTTTGGACTGGCTTTTCAGCTCAGAAAATAACATGCAGCTTAAGCCGGAAGAGCAATGGGGAATTGAAGACAATGCATAAGATGTAGGATAAGCAATGAGTCAGAACTGAATAACAGGAGAAGTGTAAAAGATGGAAACGAATCTTTGTAATAAGTGTGATGGTTTGTAACTGCACTTGTATTACCAAGCTAATTCTTGCTGTGTGAAGATTACATTTTGTTACAATGTATGCAATTTTTAACATGCTTATTTATGTATTACTCTCTAATTAGGTTTTATATTTTCATTCACTTTCTTGAGAGTTCGTAATTAAGGACCACTGTGATTTCTGAATATTTTCTAAATACCTACAGAATATTATCTCAGTATCTAATAACTAACTTTATAGAGATTTATACAGATAGAATAATATTCAACCATGACACTTCCTCCCTCTATTGACCATAAAAAATATTTAGGGACCAACAAAAACCTACAAATTTCTAGCATTATTATCACAAAATGACTAAATTTGTGTTTTTCTGACTAGAGCGATAAAATGGTGCAGACAGGTCCTGGATCTTTGAAATAAAGAGAATTACGATTGACAAAACTCTTTTTGATTTATAAAGCCTGGAACAGTAACCTAGAGGCTTTGCAGTCATAACACTGATATGTACAGTATTGGTAGTTCCTAATGCTTTTCTTACTTGTAGATTAAAGAGAAAAGCGTTGTGGTAAGAAGCTCTGTCAATGTTGTACTATGTATAAGTGCAGTCTTGAGTATCGCGGGGTTCTGTATTCATGTAGACAGGTTGTTTAGGTTTGTGCTCTGTTTTGTGTTTTGTAGGTCACTTTCCAAACAAAGCTATGCCCTCTGCTGGGACGCTGCCATGGGTTCAAGGGATCATCTGCAATGCCAACAATCCCTGTTTCCGCTACCCTACGCCAGGAGAATCCCCTGGAGTTGTGGGCAATTTCAACAAGTCCATGTGAGTTTGTCTGCCAACTTTCAACTGTGCTTGGCAAAATTCGGGGGGCCATGTGTCAATTTTTCATTTAAAGCTTGTCAGAGCATGGCAGGAGATCAGGGCAATCCGCGTGCATGTCATCAGATTGTCCAAAAAGTGTCCTTTGAAATGGGAAAAGACGAATGTCTGATTAATTTGTTTGTAGAACGTGAAAGTATCTATTTGAAAATTGACTTCCAAAGGGAGTTTTTTTGGCAGAAATTTGGGAGGAAGGTCAGATCCTGATCTCATCCACTTCTGCTTTCCTGTGTATACATATCTTCCTCCTAAACTTTCCTTTGCGCATTTGTCTGGCATCTCTCTCATCACCCGATATACAGTACACCCTTTCAGCAGCTCCCTCGCTCATTCCTCCTTACAGTCAGGCTGCTGTTCCCCCAGCCAGGCCAGTTACACCAAACGACCTCTAATACATTCTGTCTCTGGATCACACTTATTCAAATCTGACCAAACTACTGAATGACTATTTGTGTTCCAGAGGCTTGAGGACATTTGGGACGTACAGTTACAATGTAGAAGTATTTTTTAAATAGATATTGTTTTTGTAATTACAGTGGGGTATCCTGCCACCCAGAGCTATGTTTGCAGTTCATTTACTGTTCTCACTGTGTTGCCTTTTTTGTGTGTTTTCCACAGTATCTCTCGCCTGTTTTTGGATGCCAAGAAAATCCTCTTGTACAGTCAGAATGACAAAAGCCTGAGTGGATTCAAGGACCTCATTCAAGCCCTGAAGAACATGCAGAAGTCTAGCTCAGGTACATGGAGGCTGTTTACCTCAATTAGGAGAGACTTTCAGAGACGAGTGCAAGTACTGATCTGAGTCTGGTATGTTTTAGGAACTAGTTCTGTATGCACTATTCATCTACAACTACATGGGATTGTAAGAAAGGTAATATGTATTTACCGTGTCCAGAGTGCTTCGGCAAAATTGCAGTCTTGGCAGTATGTGTTCATTTTGCTCACCTTAATAGTGGACCGCAGTCAACAGGTTTTTTTTATAGAGAAGATCACATATCATTTTGAGCGATGTTAAGATTACACTGTAGTTCTTGGAGCCACACATTTAGAAACAAAGCTTTAAGAGCACATTGAAATAGAAATAAATGATTTCACATCTGCCAAAATAAACAGTTCAATGTGGAACAGTGCTTCTCTGAAGCATTGATTGCTCTGCACTTTGTGTCTGAGCTTAATTGGCACATAGCAGTTGAGCAAGACAGAAGCAGTTCAGTGAGGCTGTGTGTTCATCCTCAGGTGAATTCAGATGACTGGGGAAATTAGGATACACAGTATAAATTGTGGATTTTCATAATCAGCTCTTTAGTAGTCCTGCATCTGCTAGCAGGGCAGCAAGCTGGTCTATCAGCTCCAGACAGGCTAGGGAGGTGACTAGAATATTTAGTGCAAAGATAAATTACAGGAAGGCATTCCAGCACACCCTTCATAACAGGATACAGATCTTAACTGAACCAAGAGTGCTGCAGAAGTTCTCTTTAGTTCGCATTCTGAAGAGACAAACTCTTTTTTCTCAACTTTCACATTTTTCTGATTGCTGCTTTATAGGTGATATATAGGTGCTTCATAAGTGCAAAATATCCACAATTTATTTTGAAATCCTCACATTGAAAGGAGGTTGTGCCTATATTTTCTCCTAATCTCGTTGTCTTTCAAAATCCATTTTATGATGATGAATCTACAGTAACTGGAAATATGGTTATGATACCTGGCTTCTAGTCATGAATACTTGGATTACGGTGATTTACTACAGTATATCATGATTTAAATATCTAGTCACATTTAGAGATCTGCCAGTATTCGGAAAGTTATGTCGTTGCAGTTATGCAGTGTGTTCATTTAATGTTTATGGAGAAAATGACTTTTGAAAAGCTGATAATTCAGTAAAGAATTCTTAGAGTTCTTGATTGTATTAGAATAAAGGTACACGATATTAGTAGGTTCTGAACAGTGCTAACATCCCTATGTTTAAGTAAAAATCTAAAATAATTTTGAAATTAATATATTCTTTTAAGTATTTATTTCTCAAATAGGGGACAAAATAAGTCTTGTAGATCAGGTATTTTTAAAGCTAGGTGGCTGATTCTGTCATTCCAAACACCCACTGCAAATGTTGTAACTTTTCCTTGAACACAGTGTACAGAAATTGATTATTTGAGCAAATACCTGAAGAGTAAAGGGTAATTTTCCCAAAAGCACAAGTAACAGAGTTACTTAGTAACTAAGGTGCTGTACCAGGTATGAGCCACACGTAGATTTTTAACATGACAGATAGGAGCTTCTGAATATGTTAGCATTTACTGTAGATTTTTGCCAAGTTATGTAACAGGCAAAATGTACATAATTTGCAAAGTGAACTTTATATAAATATTTTAATTTGTAGTAAATAAATTGAGGCAATTGGTCATTGTACAGCATTTCCCAGGACAGACTGATTTTAAAACTTAAAAAAAAATATTATTATTATTACTACTACTATTTTAAAACTTAAAAAAAATATTATTATTATTACTACTACTTTATTACTATTACTACTACTACCACGTTTCGAGTTGTGTATGAGTACTGTATATACAGTATAACATATACTTTGCTAAATAACATATTTATCACACTCGGTAAAGGCACTGCGGAATAATCAAATTAATAATTTTGTGTATCTAATATTTAATAACTAATGTAATTGTAAAATTGGGTAAATTTACAACCGGGAAAATAATAGTAGTATCTGTGCATCAGCATATATAATATCTATTTAATGGAAAGTCACATTGGCTAGAGGCACTGGAACAATAATAGTATCAAGAGTTATGTAAGATGTGCATAGACATACAGTATACTGTATATAGCTTTTTGAAAGGAAGCCCTGACTCAGCTGTATCCAGTCCATCTGTGTTCATGTGTTCAGCTGTAGCGCTATCACTGGCTGACTCTTCAAATATTGAATTTACTGCACAGGTTATCAGAGGGCATCAGTGGTGCGATTTGCTTTATCAGTTTGCAGGTCCCTAAGGTTTTGCCTTCTGATTGCCCTTGTACAGGAAAAGTAAAATATCATTCTAACCTTCCAACCGCTAGATGCATTGCCCTCTGTTACAGCAGGAGTTTATTTATTTTTATTTCCAACATTTCTTAAGAGTCTATAGGTTCCTGTGTCAGTTACCATTAAGAGAGCAGTAGAGTTACAGGTATCTGTTAACCTTCAAAGTCAATTAGTGATGTGAAGTGCGCAGTAGGAAAACTGTAAATTAGGCTTAGCACAATGAAAGAATTCTTAAATCATACAATTTAGATGCAATTTTTCTGGTTATAGACATACTAGGTGTAGTACCTGGCAGTGCCTGGGTGTCTGAATAAATGGTTTGAAAAAAAATAGGTTCTTGACAGCGCTACATTTCAGCAGTTGCTGCTGTGGGAATAAGGGAGATGATGCTGTTGATTGTAGAGCACCTTAAATGAGAATTGTGCTGAAGCAACAGACCTCCTTTACACCAGTTCTTGACAGTGTCATTGCCTGTTCCAGACATGTGAAGAGAGTTCCACGTTAAAACTTACATATGTTTCTGTTTAAAAGAAATGTCTGGTAAATATTTCGTTTTTAACTTCATGAGTTAATTTCTAGAGCAAAAACAGGAAACATCCACAAATTCATGTGCACTGTATTCCTGAAGTCAGCATGTTTCTTCAGATCAACAAGGACAAGGTGGATGAGGACAGACAGTTTTTTTAAGAAAGTTTAGTTGATGGAATTTGGGTCAAACTTGGAAGTGGCTAAAGCTCAGTTTGATGAGATGTGTGTGAGGGATTATTAAATGATGAGTGAGACACCAAGCCTGAGCGCAATAGTGGAAACTACACAGAAGCAAAAACACAAGGCATATCTTTATTCATAGGGTTGTGGGAGTATGAAACAGGCTGTCCAGACATTTTTCGAAGTTGATAAACTAGACTCTTTCAAAAAACTGCCAGTGATCCTTGGATCAAGTAGCTACTAACTACCAAGAATTTAGATTTAGAAAGGAAATTTACATCTGTGCTTATGGTATGGTAACTTAAAGTTCCAGACAGCCACAGTTTCACATACTGGTGAAAGAATTTAAGTATGGGATTAGCAGCAGTGGTCAGTCTGAAATGCAGCCGTTCTAAGGTAGGCTAAAGAGCAATGACCTGTAGTAACCTTATAAAAAAATGCAGCCTTCGGTTTAGTCAGGGCTGATGCTGTGTTGGAATGTTCTGCCAAAGTGAGTACAAAAGGCTTGCAGTGAATCTCGCAGGCAGCTTAGCATTCATACTGCTTGGAGCCTAGTGGAACATATCTCCTTACTGTTCATATGTTGTACCTTTGGTGTCACTGGGAAGTTGCCCAGGAGCCAATAATGTACAACCTTTCACATTTGTAATATGTACAGTACATACCCCTTCAGCAACGTGGACGTTTATATTTATCGTTCTTTACATACCTTGCAAAAATCGGTGGGGTTTTTTTTTAACGTGACAAAGAATATCTTGCTATTTCGTTTTTTCCCCAAATGTAAAATGTAGTCAATTTTATTTTCCAGAATTGCAGTGTTTTGCTATTTTGTACCCTGCATGCTGCTGAATTACCTGAAGTTTCTCCCTTCCATCTGCCCATTTTTTTTAACCTGATTCTTGAGTTAATTGTCTACTGCCTTTTCATTTTAATGGAATGAGGATATACATTAGTTACTTTATATTCTAAATAAAAGCTGAGGTGAACTACGGAGAGCGGGGTGTGGAGATCCCATTGGAAAGGTTTATGTAGGCACATAAATGGGGTTGTGTTGTTCACAATTTCATTTATTTCAGTATTCTAAAATTACATTCATGAATTAGCTAGCATTAGCAAGATCTATGGTTAAATCTTTTAACATTTCCTGGGCATTCTGTAGTTCTACCTGTGGGCAACTGTTTGAAGTCCCTTCTGTGTTTTGATTACAAAGTTCTTTATTTTGGAATTTTCTGCCTTTCAATGTATGGGAGGAAATGTAATGTGGCAGCTGACATATGACAACATAGTGTCTGCAGTTTTTCACTTGGAACTGCAGTGAATTATTTTTTTCACTATGTCAGCAGGGAGTGTGAATGTGTTTAGGAGATTTCCTTTCTGTGCAAAGATCTTATTTCATTGGGGCTTCACATTCTAACATCATTTTTTGTTGTAGGTTTCAAGCTGAAAGACTTCCTCGTTGATAATGAGACCTTGTCAACATTCCTTGAGAGAAATGCCTCACTCCCTGAATATGCAGTCCGAGAGATAGTGGAAGCTGGTGTGAACTTGGAACAAGTACGTTTGCAATCTGCTATAGAATTAAAAGTGGAAAGATTGTAAAACATAGGACTGAAGATGAAGGAGTCTGAGAAGAACAGTTTTATTTTGTACTGAAGGAGAGTTTGGGCACAAGTCATTGTTTGTGGGGAGCGAGGGGTTAACAGAAGTATTCCAATTCCTAGCAAGGTTTTTGAAAATGTTAACCTAGTTGACTACAATCACAATTAACAATAAAATCCAGGGGGAGGAGGCAAAAAGAGAAATTAAAATTCTTTTTTTACAGACTTGACTTTTTGTCTCCAAAGAGACAAACGTCATTCATCCATTGTCAAGCTAAGTGAGTGGTGGTTAAGACCGTTTCTGAAGAATCTGTTTTCTGATTCCACTTCTGTAGCTGCTTGTGCACTTTCCTGTATTTTAGGCTAAAAGGCCAGAGGTGCCCCGAACAGTTTTTAAACAAGTTCAAGTTCTAAAACTTCAAATATTCCATAGTGAAGCCAAGTCCAGCCTCTCAGTGTGGCAAAACTAGTGTCTTTCTTCAGTACCAGAATTTAAGGTTTTTGCTCAAGCTGTTTAAATGGCCGTGTCTTACTGTCTGTTCTTGCATCCTCACTTCATTTTTTTCTGTTGTCTTTTCAGGTGCTGATGAGAGGTTTTGGTGTTCACTTAAGAGACCTTTGCAACTCCACCAAGCTGGGAGACTTCGTCAACATGTCTGATACAGCGTTATCACTCTCTCAACACATCATCTGTACCTCCTCTAAAGAATGGCTCAACCAGGCTGAAGAGCACTTCCTGTCTAACCTGGATTTTCTGAAACCAATACAGGTGAGGGTTCCGACACTTGACATAAATCTGTCCTGCTCTATATCTTTGTGTAAATTCCTGTGCTCTGTTTGTGTTATAGCTTTTTATTACTTCACCCTTATTTTTACCAACTAAAAGATGCTTCTCTGATGTTTTAATTGATAGTAAAGCATTTACTGAAACATAAATATACTTGGGAACTTGTGTAACCAGCCAAGTTATTTCCTGCTCCATTAGGTTCTAGTTGTTTAATGATCTGTGAAAGTGCCACTCTAGGCTAAGAATGGAAAATTAAAAAAGTTAGGCCAAACTGTGAAATTTAGCGAGTCTGAAACTAACAAGGAAGTATTAGCAGTCTATGAGGTTCTTAGTAAAGGTGAAGAGTCTTTAATAATGTTTAGTGTGGTTGTCATTTCGAAACAAAAGTGTGTGAAGAAAAGCCTTCAGGCTTGTAACAGAAGTGCTTTCAGTTTTAGATGATGGCAGATGTCCATGATGGCATGTAAATTAACCGTGTAAAGACTCTTAATGTAGGAACCATGTGCAACTCTACAAAATGTCAGAAAAAAACGGGAATTATTAATAAGATGTTTTGTAGACTATAAAAAGTATACTATAAGTGTTTTTTTTTCTGAGAACACCTCTGAAAGGTAGTGTATGCTGATCATGGGAACAAAGATTTATTATGAGCTGTGCTACAGATCTGCTTAATGTCGGTTTTGGAAGCTTCAGGACAGAACTGGAATCAAGAGATTCAGCAATGCAGTTTGCTTAGTGCAGGTGAAAGCAAGCTTCACCTTGCGTTAATTTTAAATACAATTATTGTCTCCATTTAATTGGAGAAATCCAGATAAAGGATGGTGGCAAATATTCTGTTTCTTCTTCATCTCACATATTTAAAAGGCCATCATTGTGCCTGTGGGATCTGCTGAGTCTCAGGTGGTTATGTAGTGAACAATAAGTCCTCTCTTTCTGGTGGGTTATGGAGGTATGAACAAGCATGAATGTACCTTGTCACACATAATGTGGAAAAATGAAACTGGATACAGGATTATCTTAAAAGTACAAGAACTTAAAAATTTGAGTAGAGAAATAGAAAACGGAAACTATGAATATTAAAGGCAAATGTAGTGAGGTATTGTTGGTATCTGGGTAATATAACATAATGAAGAAATTAAAAGTGGCTGTATTATAATTGGCATGATATGTTAATTGTTTAATCCTCAGCTCTTTTGTTAATTGCAAATCAAATGTCTTGATAAGAAGAGTGGCTTAAAAAAATGCAGAAGCCTTAACTATATAGTTTATGGCAATGTATGCTTATCCTTGTCAGACGATTCATACCAAAAACTTCCTCAAAGATTCATGGGAAAAAAGTGTACACAATGGAGTGTAATAAACTCTGTGATAAGGTTAAAAATTAGTTCCGGGAAGGCAGAGAATGTCAATGCGTGTATTTAAAGGTCTGTGAAAATCAGAGCAGCTTTAAACCAGTTTTTTTCCTGTTATTATTTTCCTTTAGAGACATGCACATACTGTACATTTTGATGTATAAAATCATGAAAACTTAAACAGCACTAGTGATGCATTTATGTTTTACGTCATAGAAACTAGACTTTTCTTAATGTATGCATACTGATATTTGGTTTATCGCAACAAAATTAAAATACCTACAAACTTAGCAGCGCTTTAAAAGAAACTCAGATCATGAAGTGTTTAAATGCAACTTAAATGACCCTTTTAAGACACAACAGTTGCACTTCAAGAGCTTGTCCACATCTGTCAGAATTCAGATAGTCCTACAACAGTTGTATTCTGATGCAGACAGATACAAATTCTGTATCTGTATATGTAGCAGAATGAGGGAAGGAAGCAGACAAAGTCTTACAAAAAATGGGAGAAAATGCTCCCCATTTAACTGGGTGCAGCCAGTTTGAATGCAACCTCAATATAATCAAAATACAGCTCTACTGTACTTTGTAAATCCTGTGTTGTGAAAGAAAGTCTGGAACATCAGCCATGGGCTAATCAAGAATCACTCCCTGATGTTCTAATGTTTTCCTTTTTTCACCTTTTGTAGAAAACAGTGAAGACGGACCCTCAAAATGTTCAGGAGGTTTCAGAGGCTACAGATAACCTCCTTCAGAGTCTGGCAGCATTGGCTGCAGAGGTAAGTTAGAAACATTTCCTATGAAGCATATCAGGCAACCCAATAACACATTTCTACCAGTTTTAATGTCAGAAAGCGTTGCGACAGCTGAGGACGTTGGTTCGTTACTATGGACCAGGAGGAGTTTGCCCCCAGTCATCAGCATCATGTCCAGCAACAACCTGATTTCTTCCTAGTTGTCTCCCGTTCGGTACTGTACAATATCCAATCTTGTTTAGCTTCTGAAATCTGATTAGATGGATCTTCAGACTTCAACTTAGTCTTTGCACTCTTCTCATGACATATTGTCAATATCTGAACTCCCGAGAAAAGTGATTCACTGATGCCAACCAATTATAGTCAGAAAGTCTTTAGTGTACTGATGTTAGCTGTAAATGAATGTTGCTTGCCCTTTCAATTTTGATATATGTTTTAGAGAACGTTGCTCTTGTGATTAGTAAATAATTTTGCAACTCAGAAGAACTAGTTTTATTAGTTTTAATTAATTTTAATTAATTACATTTCTATAGTGTTTTTCCCAAGTTGTCATAGTGGGGCTTTGGTTTGGATTGTCTGGTTCATAACACAGAGCGCTACCTGCTGGTTTGACCTCACCACTTGCAGCAGCAACCTGGTATCCCATCCCAGCCTTGCTCTGCTTCCAAACTCTAGAACACAGGAAAGTGGATGTGAATTGTGTCATATTTTTGTACAGAGTTTCCAAAGTGTAAACGCAGAGTAGGCATCACCTCTTTTTAACAAAAAAATGTTGTTAAATTGTGAGAACTTCATTGTGGAAGAAGAAGAAACCTGAGCCTTTGATTTTTCAAAGGTTTAGCTTTTAGTTTAAAGCTCTAATAATTTAATAGCTGCAGAGTGAACAAAAGCTCTTTGAAACTGTGAGGCTGAAGTGTAAAAAAAAGCCTAAAAACTAAAGTGAGGTGCATGTTTAGTCTTTATTGTCTATCTGCTGTCACAGCTTTGGATGGCTGACAAGTGTTAGGAACCCTTTGGCATTTGTTTGTGCCAAAGGTAGACAAAGGCCAGTAAGTTATTTTGCAGGCCTGACCAGAGAAACATTATGGTCAGAACTCAGTCACGAGACTTTGAGTTTCCGGGGTTTCTGACTGGGACATGAATGCACAGCCAAGAAACAGCTGAATAAGCAGAAAAATAAACATGAGGTTAGAAAACAGTCAGTCCTCACTAATAAAAAAGCACAGATTGCCAACAATTGATATCTCAAAATGTACTCGTATTGAGAGATTTGTACAAAAGAATTTCAACTTTGTCGAGGAATCATAGAAGAAGTACGTCCGTCTTAAAGAGAGTTCTTTATTTAAAAACTGCAACTAACACCTCCCCCACTCACTCTTAAGCTGCCTTTGTTCCTCATTTGAAAAATAAGACTTGCAGTGTGGTGCAGTGGTGAACTATAGTAACCTTTTCTGTTACTGTGGGAGGGGAGGCACTTGAGTATATTCTTCTTCTCAGATTACTGAACCGGTCCAGATTCTTCAGGGTTTCCATTCTGAAAGGTCTTGTAAGGGACTTTACGATGCTGTCAGAATAGTGAAGAAAAGTGTGCTTTCTTTACACAAGGCCTCAATTTTTGGGCTTATTTTTTGTGTCTGTGTATGGTTCGCACGAGAAGCAGTGGCTGCTTCCCTTTACCTCACCCTCGGCTCGTCTCTCGGTAGTGTAAAAGATAATTGATACCATGTGACAGCCCGTGTGCTGATGTGGCTGACTAATTCCTGTGCTGAAACAGCTAGCAATTTGGACAACAGTTTAAGACATATCTCCTGGAGACTCACCAGTTTCTGTAACCTCCCTCTTATTTGTAACATGACCGATAGTAACTTTAGCTCTTGCAGATGTTTTTTTTTCGTTGTTCTTCCTACTCAGAACATATTGAAGAAAAAAATCCCAGCTTGGTTCACTATGGTGCAACTGCCACACAAAGAGCCTATGTTTTGCTAAATTGTGCTCGCACAATGCATCTAACAAGATTATACAGCGAGTATAATACCTTTTATCGCCATTCCCATTTCCCAAAATTCCACATTCACTGGGTTTCACACATTATGGAGATAAACTTTCCAGCTGGTATATTGAAATGAAGTCCCTTTGCTTACATTCTTTCCCCTTCTGCTATTTATAATGTTGGTGTGTTATTTAATGCTGTATATAAAATCTAAATCTTTATTTAGTAATGACTTTAGTCACATAACAGTGTTTTAGTAAGAAAAAAACAAAGAGTGAAAACCCATTTCATCCAGGATAATTCTTTAAAAATTGACCTAACTGGCTTGTCCTAATGAAACATAGTTATGGAATTGATATAAATGACTACAGTTTTTTTTATTCTTTCCATGTGTTTTATTTATTTTATTTTAATTTCCAGCTTGTGGTATAAGGATCAAGCACAGTGTAGCATCAAAGCTAAACATTGCTCTTGTCTCACACCTGGGAAAACGGCAAGCACAGTCACATGAAGCATACCAGAAAGAACCATTCAAGTTTAAGAAGCTGGACTTCATAGGAAGAGAAGGAGACCTGTTGTAACACGCGCTTGACTTTTCTGTTTCACGTTCTGCAGCTTGCCAGCATGAAAAGCTGGAGTGACCTGAGGAATGAAATTTTATTCCTGACCGAGAACGCCACAGGCTCCCCCAGTCACATATACCAGGCGGTGTCCAGGATTGTGTGTGGACACCCTGAGGGTGGAGGCCTCAAGATCAAGTCCCTCAACTGGTACGAAGACAATAACTACAAGGCCCTGTTCGGCCACAACAGCACTGAGGACGACACTGTCGTCTACGACAACTCCTCCAGTAAGTAGGCCTAGACTCTGGACTTGCTTCTAAAGGGAGCGCCTGAGTTATAAAAACCTACCACATGCATTTTTGTCATGATTTCCTTTGTCGTTTTGATTTCTTGGGTTTTTTTTATCTTGGTTGTACAAATTGCGGAAGGAAGAGAAAGCAGTTGCCTAGAAACAGGAGAGAGGTGATAATTTATGAGTCTGGCACTAGGGGACAGTAGAGATGTTGGGGATGGGGGCTGGGGTGGGCAAAGAACATGTAGTCCTGCAGTTGTGTCAGAAATGGTTTTTGTGTATGTTGGTGGAAAATATTAGTGACTAAACTATCCCTTTTGACATCTTTCCGCACCTTATAAATGCATTGCAACTAACTGACTGCCTGCTTGTAACAGCTGAAGTAGGCATTAGGCTGTCTGTTGTAAAATTCCATGCAGAACCCAGGACAGTCTCCTCAGAGTGCGTGCCAGATGTTTTGGTCTTTTAAAAGAGAACTTTTGTAAAGGTTGTTTAAGTAGCGTGGGAGAGAGGACTTTGAAAATAAGGTCCCGTTGCTCTGCACATAATGAACAATGTGTTCTCTCTAGCTCCATACTGCAATGAGCTGATGAAGAATTTGGAGTCCAGCCCCATTTCTAGAATGATCTGGAGGGCACTGAAGCCACTGCTCATGGGCAAGATCCTGTATACTCCAGACACCCCAGCCACACAGAGGATTATTAAAGAGGTAACTGCATCCCAAAGAGCCTTCACAGCTAGATGTAGGAGCTGAAGGGTGTCCACCTCTGAAAACGGGAACAGCCTTTTCTGTTATTCTTGTTGAATTCATCTTGCTTTGCTGGATATAATTTTAATTTAACGAATAGGATCCATCTTAATTGGAGTGATGTGTGGTTAAAGCACAATTTGTACCACTTTGGCCAAGGAAGAGCACCCAGTGGAAATTACAGATCTCATGAACTTGGAACACATTGATTATACAGCAGTAAAATATGCAAAAGTCAGGTTTTTCAAATGTTTTATACTCGCCCCCCAAAAATGTAGACTCGTCATAAAATGTGTGACAGGACATACATTTTTAAAAGATTTCTTTGTAAAGAATTGGTAAATGCATTTCTAATTTCTAATTCTGTTACAGATTAACTGAACAATTCACTGTAAAATTTCTAACTGAGGTTTCTATGTGTTAGAATGCATAATTGAGAAATGTTATTTATCGCTTTTCTCTATAGGGGATTTTAAAATTTAGGCCTAAATGTACAAATACTTATAGGAGCCACTAGATTTATACTCCAAGCCACAGTACTACCAGAATTAAATTTCTCAGTTGTTTTCTGTCCACATAATTTGTAGTTTTTTAGGGTTTCTCTAAACTCTTTAACGTCTCTCATTTAGGCCAGTGTAAATCCGGTAGCATAAATGAAGGGTTTCCATAAAAAGCAATCTTAAGTCTTGTTGAAATTAGTAGCCTTGTGTTTTAAGATGCAAAATCCAATCAAAAACATGGGAGAAATCTTCATTTAGTCATGGTTTTAGACGCATGTAAGAAAAAAGTAAAGAGAGCAAACCACACCAGAGTTTCATCCAGGATAATTCTTAAATGAGAATGAGAAAAATGGATTGTCATTATGAAACACAGGAGAAGTAGCTACATTAGCTTAAAGCGGACAATAAACAGTTGTCAAAGTAAAGGCAGTATTTTTCTATTCATACAGGACCTCAAAATGACAGGTTTGTGGATGTTTACTGTTTTGTTAAGAGGAAAGTGTGATTTCTGCCTGGCTTTGAAGAAGCCTGAACACGAAACCATGGGCCAGGCAATGCAAATAAATGGGAGAACAGGAAAGAGACAGGAACGAAAAAGAAAGGAGAAGTTTGAAGAGGCCTGAGGGAGGCTCTTCAGATAGAGAAGGAAGGGCTGCCAGATCGCACTAGATCAGTGCTCATTAACTACTGTATATCCAACTCCATTCAGGTTGGAGGGATAACGTGATCTCCTTGACCCATTATCTGTGAGACGGTGGGGCTGCATGGGTCTGATAGCAGGAATCTTCGAGCCATAGTCTCTAACAAAGAGGCACAGGCCAGTTCATTCAATTGGCATTAATGTTAGTAGCGTCATCAGGGACTACCGTATGTCAGATAGGCCTCTGGCAGGGTTTGGTTCAATATGTTTACCACAAATGTGAAAGCGTCTTTCGTGTGTAACCATAATAGTTGTTTTTTTTTAAGCACACATGAGAGGTTTCTTTCTACCCTGCAATTGCTGGGATGATGATGGGAAGGAAGCTGAAATGAGATGTTTCTATTTGGAAGTGAACTCCAGTCGTCACGTCTTTGCCACTGGTAACAAAGCCTCTTCGGTTCTTTCAGGTTAACAAGACGTTTCAGGAGCTGGGCATATTTCGGGATTTGGGAGGCATGTGGGATGAACTGAAACCCAAGATCTGGAATTTCATGGAGAACAGTGAGGAAATGGATTTAGTTCGGGTAGGTGAAATGGCTCAGTAAATTACTTATTCCAAAAAAACTATTTTGGTTCAATTAAAAAATGTGCATTATTGTTACCAAACATCCATTCATATTTATTTTCATTTCCTTTTTACAGTAAATATAATATTTATATATAATATATAATATGGTATCAAGCATATGAGATCAGTAACAGCAATAATTAATCCATTTGGTCTGAGCACTACCAAAAAGTGAAAAGGGTTCATCTTTTTTCGTTCGAACCTTACATCCCTTTTTCTGTGTTTTTGACCAGGGTTTAATACCAGTTAGGCATGGTGGTGTAGAGGGCATGATAGCCGCCTCACAGCTCTTGGGCCAGTGTTTGATTCTGGAGAGGTCTGGTTTACATGGTCTCCCCAAAGCCATTCTGCATATCTTAACTGCTATCCCAAATGCTTGTGTGTGTGTGTCCAGTGATGGACTTGCTTCTTGCCCAGTTTGCAGTCCCACCTTGAACCTTGTGAATAAGCTCTAGCCTTACCAAGAATAAGCGGTTTTCTGATAATGTTGGCATTATGAAAGTATATTTAGGAAGTGGGGAGAGAGCTGTGGCCAAACTCTAGATTAATGTGGTACATGTTAGTTACTCTTTAAGTATCTAAAAGGTTTTCCTTAAGAGCTAAATATTTGTGGATTCCCAAACACCAGATTGCATCAATCTTCCAGTCCATAAACATGGAGAAAGGCAGTGTGACAGTACTCTGCAAAAGGGCCCATTGTCAGGATCCAGAAAAGAGGCCAAACAGTCAGGGGTCTTGCTAGATAATCCCCTGTGTGGAAGTGAATTTATGATGCTTGAGAGTCCTCATTTTCTGGATATTGAATTAGTGCTGGGAGTTCGGGTTGTTCCACGTAATATTATATACCAAGAAAGCCTAACAACAAAGAGTCTGTTGTTAGTCTCTTTCACGTTTTTGTTGTCCACATAGCGGGTCCTTGCCCTACTGACTTATTTACTTAAGTTGTTTTCTTAAAGCTGACTAAAATAGTTCTCTTTTCAAGTACGTGTAATCATATTAAAGGCCGCTGAAACATGTTGCAAGCTGATTTATTTGTTAAACGTTATTTTGTTCCTTTTCTTTAAAGCATAAAGTCAAGGAGAGCTGTAACACTTTAACTTCCTGCTCTCTAAATTGTATTACTTATAATTTAATTCTATTTTGATCAATATTATATAGGCTCTAAAAACTCTTTAAATATTCAAGATAATTAAACCCTGTTAGATTTTCGAAGGACTAAAGTATGAAAAAATGCATTTTTCATTTATTCTGAGAAATTAGCTTCAAAAACAGTTGATGATTATTAGAATAGTATTGCATAATGCATTATCTAGTTCCTTCTTTTAAAGTGCGAAATATGTATTCAAGGTGAACTTTTTGAGTTTCAATATTACTTTTCCTGTTTGGTTAGCCACAGAGTGGTACACTGCCACCTTGTGGAATGCTTACGTATAGCTCCCATATATATTCTACCGTACTTGGCTAGATCTTGCTTTACTTGACAAACGATTATCTGGTAATTTGAATGGCTATGTTTGACGTGAAATATGTGTTACCACACGTTTACAACCCCTGTATGGATCAATCAAAGCTTACTACTTCCAGAATAAAATTGTGGCTTATGTCTTCTGAATCCGTGCTGTTTAAAACCTTGCTTTTAGACTATTTCCGTTCTACTTTTCTGCTCTTCGGTTTTTCACATTTGTGAAGAATGACTTTCATTTTGTAATAAATAATGTTAAAAATTGTAGTCCTAGGCAATGAATGGCTCTGAATTAATTTCCAAAACACAGCTGCGTGATCTTAATTTGGAATAACTTTCTAAAGCCTGCATAAGAACCACCATTTCATAGTATGGTACACCTCGGGGCTTAAATTCTTCATTGTCAATTGGGAAATGATTAGCGATTTGTCAGAAATATTACAACTAGAATTGCCAAGGGTCTTTGTTATGGAATTGTGAAAACAAAAGTGAAATGGGGAAAGTTTTTTTTATGAAACAGACCTCTTAACCTTCATCTACTCAGCTCTGTGGTTTTCAAATGGAACAAACAGCCTTGTAATGCTGGCGGATTTCTTTGTTCCATGCAGACTCTCCTTCAGAACAACGCGAGTGCCAGCTTCTTTCATGCCCAGTTAAATGACACGGACTTGAGAGTTGAAGACGTGTCGAGTTTCTTATCCAAACAGTCGGAGGACACTCGTCCCCGGGGAACAGCGTACACATGGAGAGACATCTTCAATGAGACAGACCAGGCAGTGCAGAGCATCTCTCAATTCATGGAGGTCAGTGTCTCTATTCAGCAACGGATTTAGAAGTCGAATTTTCTAAATTCAGCACCCTTCTCCTTTATTACTCCTCCCTGCAAGGCCTTAATTCTGTTGTGCGTCCCAAGTGTGCCCAAAAAGATCAACACTGAGTCTCAAAACCTCTGTGTTAGGACACAATGGCAGTGATTCTGTACAGCATGTAAAGAGAAAATACCTGCATATGGAATTAGGGTTTGGATGTGTCTGTCTTATCTTGTTTCGTGACCATGAAGAAACAGCATCTTGCATGTATCTTGAAAACAGCGAAACGGCTCCTTTCAGTAAGACAGCACGTCTTGTGATATGAGGATGTGTGAAGGTCATGTACAGAGAATTTAATCTTGAAAAGTCAAAGATAGGTTTCCGCATCAAATAAAGACAGAATTAAATCTGCCTGATTGACATTGCATTTTAAATGACTGGTCATTCTGATATAGAGTATAGCAGTGACAAAACAATTGCACTTAACGATTCTAACTAGTGTACTGCTGTAATGTTCTCGGATGGACTGCTTTGAACACGTAACTCTCAGCGGGGTTCAGAGAGGTATCTCTGCTTACCAACAGTGGAAATAATGGCCTTTTCTATTGGCACCTGCAGAAAGTTACATTGATAACACCTGTGTTAAACAGGGCTGCTGAATAATGTTTCTGAACCTTGCATATTTGGGATAAAAGAGTTACAAGCATTTCATATTACAATGAAAACTGTCCATACAAACAGTACAAATAGCTCCGTGACTGTGCCCGTGTTTTTATTTTCTTCTTGGAATGTGTTTTAAATTAGACACTTGTTCCTGTAAATCAAATTTGATGTCTGAACAAAACCTGAACTGTTAATGCTGGTTTCATAACAAGACAATTTGATTGAACTCTAGCTGTACAGGAGGTCAGTGAACTACGTACCCTTCCAGACCTGGGATCAGATGTTTTACAGTGCAACAGTTTGGCAGCTATTTCTAATAAACACACACAAATAAAATTTTGTTCACCTTATGTAAACTTTTATTTTATTGAAATTGATTATTTTATTCACCAGCTTACACAGAATTTAACTCTATTGAAGGATTTAAAGACAAACATACCAAACAGTACTTCCTCCTTTATGTAATGCTTAATGGTAAAACTTTACTGTTGCCACTCAAACAATATGATTTTACCCTAGAGGTAAGAAATATACATATTTCTAGAGATGTCTAGAGTTTTCTTGGTGAATTGAGATCACTATAAATCTCACAAAAGACATTAGAAAATCTGAAAATCAGGAATGTCTGAATGTTGGTAACTATTCTGTTCAATAAATTCCATAAAAATACTCCTAGAAGATGTTGTCTTCTAGTGAGACATCTCTTTGTTGAAAGGGGTGACTTATTTGGATTTTTTTTAAAGTGTGTCAACTTAGACAAGCTGGAGCCGGTAGCGACTGAGGAACGACTCATTAACAAGTCCATGAAGCTACTGGATGACCGGAAGTTCTGGGCTGGAATCGTGTTTCCGGGAATTGAGACCAATAGCTCAGATTTGCCAACAAAAGTTGACTACAAGATCCGCATGGACATTGACAACGTGGAAAGGACCAACAAGATCAAAGACGGGTAAGTAGGTTTATTTTTTTCTGGAGTTTCTCCAGAAACAGACACCAAATGAGTAATGAAAACCACTCACAGAGGCCTTCCTGCCAGTCCCTTTTTCAAAGGTTAGATTTGTGTTTTGGAAAGGTACTGGGATCCTGGTCCTAGAGCTGACCCGTTTGAAGACTTGCGCTACATCTGGGGCGGATTCTCCTACCTCCAGGACGTAATCGAGCACAGCATCATCCGAGCTGTCACGGGCACCAAGGAGAGGATAGGAGTCTATATCCAGCAGATGCCTTACCCCTGCTACGTGGATGACATGTGAGATAAAGCAAACTCCTTATACCGACAAATGATAAGAGTGCTTTCCTCTAAGCAGTATGGCATTCACAGTTCCAGTTTGGCAGTGCCAGAGCCTGTGGCCTACTTGAATGTTCCCTGCCACTGTCTGGATATAAATGTTTGGTGAAAGCTGGAGTTAAAGCATGATATCAGTGAATTGGATTTTTAATATTAATTTGCCTTGACGGCATTGTGCATTTTTTTTGCGGTTCAGTAAATTTTAATAGAAGTATAGGAAAGTTCTTGGGGGTTTGGGTTTTGGGGCTCACGGGGAAATTTCCAGATTGTTGACGCCGCGCACTTTTGTCTCGCCCACTGCAGCTTTTTACGTGTGATGAGCCGCTCGCTGCCGCTGTTCATGACGCTGGCCTGGATCTACTCGGTGGCCATCATCATCAAGGGCATCGTGTATGAGAAGGAGGCCCGCCTCAAGGAGACCATGAGGATCATGGGGCTGGACAACGGTATCCTGTGGTTCAGCTGGTTCATCAGCAGCCTCATCCCACTCCTCATGAGCGCCGCATTGCTCGTACTGATTCTGAAGGTACATCTTCCTTTCCTTGATAAAGGGGCCTGGAAACCGTGCCTGTCAGTGAAAGGCAGGATGAACCGCAGGGTGGCTAATAGCAGTTACAGCCCTTTGTCCTGAAGTTAAAAGCTTCCACTGACCAAATTATTAAAAAAGTTACAGCTTTACGACCTAAAATCCAAGAGAAGGCAAAACCAAAGAGAAGGATTCTTCTTGTACTGAAATAAAGACGTCGTACTGAATGAAAACAGTAGAAAAAAATGACTTGCATTCGCATCAAGTCAAGATGCAAAGGCTGCAGATAAACAGTAACATAAAACAACAATAATCTGCAGAAACCAGTAAGCACAGTATTAATTAAATGCTATGATGCTGCATAAAGCTAAGGAGTTTCAGTGCTGTTTGACAGACAGGATGTAGTTGCATAATCCGAGCCTTGTAATGTTTCATGCAGACACAAGCACACTTTAGCTGAGACTTGACATGCTTTGGAGCACACTTTGAAAAATAAACAGTTAATAATTCTGTGCAAGTGGAGCAAATATTGTTCTGGATCTTTCCCCCACAAGAAGTTATCATCTTTTCAGACACGCCAACACTTTGGCACCTTGGCAATTTAGAGACAGCACATTTGAGATCCGGAGCATGAGGGCTGAAGGATGTTCTGATTTTTGTTCCAAACGATCTCTAAATTGCTGAATTGTACTCTCCACCTGTTTAATTAATCACAGTGAAATTGTTTCGGTCTTTTCTTTGACATTTGTTTTTTAAACAAATGCCTATAAACCCTGCCGGACTGGAGCTTCAGCTGTCTGCGGTGGTGAGTGGTGGGGCGCGAAGCTCTGGCTCTGGTGACACCTGCCGTTTCTCCCCTTGACCCCGCAGAAGGGAAACCTGCTGCCCTACAGTGACCCCGGGGTGGTTTTCCTGTTCCTGGCCTCCTTTGCCGTGGTGACCATCCTGCAGTGTTTCCTCATCAGCACCCTGTTCTCCCGCGCCAACCTGGCTGCCGCCTGTGGCGGCATCATCTACTTCACCCTCTACCTCCCCTACGTCCTGTGCGTCGCCTGGCAGGACTACGTGGGCTTCGGAGTGAAGGTCTTCGCTGTGAGTAAACCCGCGTCACCCGTTTCTGTAGGAGCCTGTAACTCAAGATGTTGGAAGCACTGTGTTTTCTGGGAACATTAGAAATAACAGTCATTATGTTTAATTTGGTGTCTCCTTCAAAGCAGTCACAGGAGGATTAGCACTGCCGTCATAAGATGGCATTAAATGTTCTTTTTGCCTTAGTGTCGGGCTGAGTATTTGGCTGAAGAAAATGCTTGTCAAATTGCTGCCAGTGTACTTGGAAAATCATATGTTTATTATGTTGAATCCCAGAGAAACACATTGAAGAAGTAAATAAACACAATTGATTGACTCGTTAAGGAATATCCCACACAAGTGACCAGTAAGAATGTAAGAAAGGCTACAGACAGCCATTCGACCCACTTCAGCTCATAGTGTTTATTATTACTAGTCTGAGGGTCTTATCCAGCTGTTCAGTGTGAATTACTAACACGGCATCTCATTTTAAAAAGGATTGCTAAGCACCTTTGTCATGGTAAATGTACATACCAGTTCTCATGTTCTTGTGTGTTTTGACAACCTCTTAATTTCAAACTTCATTATGCACTGACTAAATCAAGCAGTAGAGGTCTGAAGAGTTTAAATAAGACCAAAAAGACACCACTTGTGCTGTTGAGAATTGTATGAATTGCCACTGCTCCTTTCAACAAGAGGAACCCAATGGCCTGTATCCTCAGTAATGTGGTCTGTCTCTTCTTGTGGACTTCCTCAGAAATTCCTGACGCTTGTGTGTTCTTGTCCCATTGTGTTTTTTTGTGATAGAGCTTGTTGTCCCCAGTAGCATTTGGGTTTGGATGTGAGTATTTTGCACTATTTGAAGAGCAGGGGGTTGGCATTCAGTGGAACAACCTTGTTTCCAGTCCCCTAGAAGAAGACAACTATAATCTCACCACTTCCATCATCATCATGTATTTCGATGCCTTCCTTTATGGAATGATGACCTGGTACATCGAAACTGTCTTCCCAGGTAGGTGTAGCAGAGGGTTGTTTATAAGGATGGCAGACTTTTCTGAACAGAAATGTCTGGGCAGGTTATGTTAAATTGTTTTGACTTTGTCCTAGTGTTGTTTAGAAATTAACCAGAAACAGTGGCTTTGGAAGTTTGGAAACATGGAAGAAAAAAAACATTGTTTTTTTCATTTAAAAATAGATACACATGCATCATTGTGTTTTGTTTTTTAGAATATTTGGAGGTAAACCGATTATAAAAAGGCCTTTGTGAATCTCTCCTCACTCTTTGTGCTCAATAACACCCTTGTCTTCAACAGGGCAGTACGGGATACCCAGACCCTGGTATTTCCCCTTTACTAAGTCCTACTGGTTTGGTGAAGCTGAGGACAAGAAACATAGCACAGCATCAAACAAGAAAGGCAATGTGGGAGGTAGGAGCTTTATTTTAACCTGTGTATTTAACAGTCATTTTAAAGAGCCAGTTCACAGTTTTGGCAGAATAAAGTATCCTAACTGAATATTGATTTTAATGTTTGCATGACCTGAAACTCATTTGAATCTGGAAAAAAATATATTGTTCAGCTGTAATATAAGAATGAAACCACAGCCAAACATATTAATTCTTGGTAAATTTAGTGATGGTTCTTCTTTGGCAGAGTAAAGAGCTGTAAGTTACTCTGTTACTAATGTGACATTATTATCTGAGCTACTGTAGTCTCCAAAGACAGAGACTTATTCAGCAAAAGCAAATGGCAAATGATGGCCACACAACAAGATGAACACAGAACTTGTTAATCTTTCTTGTTGTCTGACGCTGTGGCATCAGTTGAGTGTTGTTTAAAAGGCTTTGGTGTGTGGCTGCCATTCATCTCACTGCAATTACGCAGTAGATATTCCATCAGTAATTGTAGGGAACTGGGATTCTAATTGCATTAAGCACCACAACCACAAGAATGTAATTGATCTTCCCAAACACAGCTCTAGGTGTCTTCAATCTGCAGCATTTGCATAAACTCTTGGGTTGCAAGGCTTGGTGTTGTAGTTAAAAAATACACATGTTGTGAACATTGAAATGTGAGCAAGAGGACACATGTGGAAACTGTACAGAGGGGCATAAAACAGAAAAGATCTTTTGCTCAAAGGGTTGTAGGAGTAACAGGCTGCCCATACTTTTTGTTAAAACTGATACCCTGGCTTCTTTCAAACAACAACTAAATGGGCCAAATGACCGCCTCTGGTCTGTAAACACTCTTATATCAGTAGATGAAAGACTGCAGGTCGTCAAAGTCCTTGTTTCACACAGTAACTTCCCACATACTGGAGCAGTTAGGCTGCCCTTGTCCTGACCTGTTTTGGGCTTAAATAAAATTACGTTTTCATTGCTGTTACTTGGTTCAAGATCTGGTGTCTGAGAGAGCTTAAGAGCCTAAGAAAACCAGCAAATGGCTGAAAATCTCTGGCACTTGTAAGCTACAGAGGAGATGAGGATCTGGAAATGTGTCCGTCTTATCCTTCGAGTTTCATTTTGATTTGCTTTTTTCAGTGTGTGTTGAGGAAGAGCCGGCACATCTCCAACCAGGAGTGTACATCCAAAACCTGGTGAAGGTGTACCCTGATGGAAACAAGGTGGCGGTGGACGGGCTGAATCTGGGTTTTTATGAAGGGCAGATCACCTCCTTCCTGGGACACAATGGAGCTGGGAAGACAACCACCATGTAAGAGCTTTGTTGAGTCGGATTTGATTTTTGCTCTGTAATGGGTATGATTGACATGGGTATGAATGACTTATCTCCAGCCTTTGTTACAAGGCCGCAAGAAAGAGGGACTGCATCATTCGTGACTCAAACAAGCTAAATTTAGTTCATGGAAAAAAGTTCCAAAAACTTGCTTGAAGGTTTGAAGGTTGAGGAAATTCTGATTGGTAAAATTGAAAATCATTTTGTATATCTGAATATTTTTTTGTATTTTTTTTATATTATTGTTGAAGGAATGTGACCCTCAAAAGTAGGGTTTGTATTGTGGAGTTATTTTTCATAACACACAAGTATTTAAGAAAATTATTTGTATGTATAGTATGTTTGATATTTTAAAAAATGGCAGTTTTTGTAAAGTGTATTGACCTGCTTTTTTCATGTCTTATGTGAGTGTAGGTCAATCCTTACTGGGCTATTTCCTCCCACCTCTGGTACTGCTTACATCCTGGGGAAAGACATCCGTTCTGAGCTCAGCAGCATCCGGAAAAACCTCGGAGTGTGTCCACAGCACAACGTTCTGTTTGATCAGTATGTTCCCTTCCTGGAAATCTCTCCTTTCCTTTGCTGCATTGCTCTAAATTCTCTCTAGATGTTGCAGGTGTCAATGTAAATAGGAAGCTAACGTGTCCCAATGAGTAGCATGAGTAATTGTCCAAATCTGGCTTATGTTAGTTCCTAGATTTAAGTGAAAGCTCTGGTTACTGTTTTTATCCGTATCGTTTGGTATTCAATACTGCTTTGTGTTGAAAAGGCTGACAGTGGAAGAGCACATCTGGTTCTACGCCCGTCTGAAAGGCCTGTCGGAGAAGGAAGTGAAAGCAGAAATGGAGCAGATTGTCGGAGACGTTGGCCTACCTCAGAAACGCAAGGCGAAAACAAGTCAGCTGTCCGGTGAGAGACCACTTCTCGGTTGAAGTGCTCATTGTTCGTGACCAAAAAGCTCTAGTTCCTTTAAAACATTTGCAGCTCTTTTGTTCAACACAACTGAAATGAATACATTGGCATTCCTAGTGGCTCTACCATTTTAGAAGCCCTTTCTATGAGTATCATTATGTCATTCGCTTGATAACCATTTCCCAAGTGGAGCTCGGTTGCATGTGCTGTTGGATTGGGTGGGTTTATATTAATTAGGACTAACTAATTAAGTCAGCTCACAACACAAAGGTGATCACAGAGATTGGCCTGCTTCTGATGGGTTTGCCATTGAAAGTGGTGACTAACTTGCAAGGAACTATAGGGCTAACAGCGTCAAATGGTGATTTGTGATTTAATTTAAACACAAAAGCAACTGGCATTTCCAAACTTAAAATTATTTTTTCATGCTTTCCGAGGAAAAAACCTGTGACACAAAAACGCCGGATACATTTTTTGTGAATGTGTAACTTATGCTTTTAAAGGAGGTTCAGCAGCATTATGATATGTTGTTTTATCCATTTTAGGAGGTATGCAGAGGAAGCTGTCAGTGGCTTTGGCATTTGTTGGAGGGTCAAAGGTCGTTATTCTGGATGAGCCTACTGCTGGTGTGGACCCTTATGCCCGCAGAGGCATCTGGGATCTTCTGCTGAAGTATCGCCAAGGTAACTGTTGTCTCCCAGTTCTGCCATTTTATTGGCTTTAGTTCCAAGGATAGGAAAACAAGTAAAAGACTAGGCTTTGTCCTGATGTCCTCACATTTTTTTGTTTGCTGTAGGCCGCACCATCATTCTCTCAACGCATCATATGGATGAAGCTGACATTCTTGGGGACAGAATTGCTATCATCTCTCATGGCAAGCTGTGCTGTGTTGGATCATCGCTGTTCTTGAAGAATCAGCTGGGCACAGGCTACTACTTGACCCTGGTGAAGAAAGACCTGGATTCCTCCCTGAGCTCCTGCAGGAACAGCAGCAGCACGGTGTCTTACATCAAAAAGGTGAGCTTGGGTTCAAGCAAAACCCTAGAAAAAGCACAATGACAAAACAAAGTCAGATTTGTATCTTGGCTTTTAATTGTCTGCATATCTCTTGTCTCTTACCTGATTGGAACAGTAAATTATACTTTTCCTTTCATAAAGTAGTCAATTGAATTAAACAGTCAATAGATGCATGAGCAGTACAGTATTTTTTTTCGATCTTCTCCGTTCCTCAGCATACTCACATAAATCTAAACATTTTGCTGAGCACTGTCCCTCTCCTAGCAGACGTTGGACACCCTCAAGCACATTATTATTATTTATATAAACAAAACTTTTTAAAATGCACAGTCACCTTATTCTGGCAGGAACTGATGACAGGTTAGTCTTGCTTAGTCTCTTTAGTCTCATAGTTTCAGTGCGTGGCCTCTGTCTGTACAACAAACATGCAGCATAAGACTTACATTACATTATAAGTAAAATAGTGTGGAAAACAAAGAAATGTAAATGGAAGACAGTAAGCAGTAAAGGCCTGTGTTCCTGTTTTAGGAGGACAGTGTTTCACAGAGCAGCTCCGATGCCGGACTTGGAAGTGACCAGGAAAGTGACACAACCGTTATTGGTAAGTGAGTGGAAACCTGTGGACCGAGGAGACGCAGAGGCCTTTATGCAGCCTTGCCTGAACTCTGTGTTGTGCTCAGTGTTCCCAAATTTGAAGTGCAGCCTATGATGCGTACACAGTTAACAGCTTGTGAAAGACAAGTCGTGGTGAAAAGTGACGGCGAACTGTCAGACAAGTCATAACTGTTCACGTCTTTCCCTTCCTAGACGTGGCGCTCATCTCCGGCGTGATTCTGAAGCACGTCCCCAAGGCCCGGCTGGTGGAAGACTTCGGTCACGAGCTGAGCTATGTGCTGCCTTATGAGGCGGCCAAGGAAGGGGCCTTCGTGGAGCTGTTCCACGAGATTGACGATCGACTCTCAGACTTGGGCATCTCCAGCTACGGCATATCAGACACCACACTGGAGGAGGTAATGCTGCTGTGGCCTGCGGGAATGGGGGTGGATGTCTCTGTGACCTGCAGAATTGATCCGTTCAGTATGACAGTACCATTTAACACTGTTTCCCTTGTTTTTAGATATTCCTAAAAGTGGCAGAAGACAGCGGAGTCGATGCAGAGGTTTCAGGTAAAATACGTGCCTCGTTCATAAGAACTTGGGGAAAAAAAGAATAGTTCTTCACACGAAACTATGTTCTTGTGAACTGATGGAAACAGATTTCTTTGTCAGGTATCAATGTAGAAGCTTGAAGTGTGTTTTCCCAAATTCATTGTGCCTCCACTTTAATCAGTCTGAATTCAAGAAACCATACTAAAGACCGTGCAAAACACATTACTAGTTCAAGATGCTAATAAAATCAGAATTTACTTGTTTATTACCCATTTTCATTTTGTTTTAGAAAGAGAGGAAAAATTATATTTTTTTGTAGACTTACAAAGACAAGTACAAGATTGCTCTTAGGACTTCTGCAGAGGTTCTCAAAGTTTGAGGGTGGATACTGTCACAAGCTTTATTAAATCCACTTTCCGAGTGTCCTGTGGCTTTATTAATTTCTGCACTCATTCAGATGGGACCATCCCAGCTCGGAGGAACCGCAGACATGCCTTTGGAGACAGACAGAGCTGCTTGAGGCCTTTTACTGAGGATGACGCCTTCGATTGTAATGACTCTGAGGGTGATCCAGGTAATGAAACTGCACAGCCCCAGAACAGACCTTCCCGCCAGCAGTTACATCAACAGTAGTGCTGTTCGATTTGTCTTGTCTGCTTGTCTCTGGCAGTATCCCTCTAAGAGCTGAAGTGCCGTTTCAAATAACAGGGAATGAGAGCAGCCCACCTTTATCTTCTCTGCCCTGCTCCTACACTACGACACTGCTCTTAGCGTTTGCTCTGTTGCCTTTCTGCGATGTGCAGTAATGTTATGCTCAGTGCAAGCACTTTGTCGTGCTGTAAAGCTCAGTGTTCTGTGTTTGACTGTTTCAGAATCCAGAGAGACGGACTGGCTCAGTGGAATGGATGGGAAGGGCTCGTATCAAGTGAAAGGCTGGAGCCTTAAGAGACAGCAGTTCGTGGCCTTGCTGTGGAAAAGATTTCTGTACGCACGTCGATCCAGGAAGGGCTTCTTTGCACAGGTAAACTCGTTGTGGTAGTTTTAGAGATACGTGCAAGGAAACACTTAAAATATTTTGTAATGATTGGTATTTTATTAGTATAGGTGAATGTGTTTGATTGTTGGAAGCATATATTAAATATAACAAATGGAAGCATTTGACTTTGGGCAAGAAATAGAAACTCTGTAAAAATGCTGAGAATTTGATCCTGTCTGCTTTGTATCCTTTGCATGTGTTAAACAAGACTTTCATTTCAGATTGTGCTACCGGCTGTGTTTGTGTGCATTGCCCTCGTCTTCAGCCTAATTGTTCCTCCTTTTGGAAAATATCCAAGCCTGGAGCTACAGCCCTGGATGTATGATGAGCAGTTCACCTTTATAAGGTAAAGAGTATGTGCACATTTGAACTAAAAACCAATAATAAAGGAATACTACAGAGAATAAAACTGTCCTGCTGTTTTTGTTTACTGTTAATTTGCATACTAAAATAAATTGGCCTGTTGTTGTCAAGCCATGGCTGTAAACTATTTCAAATAAAATAGTTATTGAAAAGGCTCCTGTGAGGCTGATTGGTGGTAAATATAAGGGGAGGAAATCAGTATTTCTGTGTTGCACAATGGTGATTTGCTTATCGGTTTAGGTTACACTGTGCAATACTGACATGCCACATGTACTTATTTTTTAATGTGTGAAAACATGAACTCTAAAAAGACTCTAAAAGATTATGTCTCCTTTAATTTGAATGTTTATAAAGTTCTCTATGTGGTAGTTCCCAGATCTATGGCATTCTTTGCTATTTTTCTGCCTCTCCTCTTCCCAACACTAATTTCATGATGGGAACTCCAGGTAGATGAGAAAGACAAAAGATGGGTAATGTAATGCATTAGCGCTCTGAAGGTTGATTCGCTGGTTTGTTACAGCAACGATGCCCCTGAAGATGCCAACACACAGAAGTTACTGGGTTCTCTGACCAGCAGTCCAGGATTCGGCACCAGGTGCATGAAAGGAAATCCTATTCCGTAAGTATTCCTTCAGGAAGAGCAGCCATATCAGACACACATGGGAGCACTGACACATTGCCCTCACTTGTGTACATAAAGTGGACTGAAACTGGACTCTGCATTGACTGTTTCAAATCTTAATTGTTTAAATTTGCGCAAAAAGATGAAGGAAAATGTTCTTCACTAATATTGCCGAGGACGAAACATCCAACTCCAAGTAAGAACATTAAGGAGGAATTAAGGAGCTTATAGAAAAGTTGATTTAATGTATATTAAAATCTATCATTAGCACTACCTACAGTAGTTTGATGAAGCCGCTTGTTTTTTCAGTTGTATGACACTGTCAAATTCAGAGAGTGGGTATCACAAATTCCCACACAAAGAATGAAAAATGTTAGTATGTTCATGGTTGTGAAAGTGAAAGTGGTAACTCCAGAAACAGCAGGGCTGATAAATACTCCTTTCCAGAGATACCCCGTGCTTGGTGGGGGACAACGAGTGGGTGACGCCAGAAGTGCCGGACAGCGTGACGGATCTCTTCCTGAAAGGGAACTGGACAATGGAGAAGCCATCTCCCTGCTGTGAGTGCAGCAGTGAAGGCCGGAAGAAAATGCTCCCCGACTGCCCAGCGGGAGCCGGCGGACTGCCCCCGCCTCAGGTAACAAGGCCCAAACCGCCAAAGCTGCACCAGGCCTCAACCTCAGGGCCTAACCCGACACTGTTATCAAGGATCCAGGCTAACAGGAACATTTGTTGCACAGCCACTCTGAACACTCAGAGTTTCAATATTAAAGGGCTGTAATCGGACCATGAATTTGCCAAGGTTTAGTTCACCAGCTTTTTCATTCTTTCCAAACTCATCATTACCTTTACAAAGTCTGGGGAGATTGGAGTTTTAAGTGTCTTTTTTTCTGTTTTTTTTTTCTCATAGATGAAACTAAGTACAGGAGACACCCTGCAAAACCTCACTGGCAGAAATATATCTGACTACCTGGTGAAAACATACGCACAGATCATCGGCAAAAGGTGAAGTTCTGCCATCAAACAGCCTGAATTTGAACAACTCAGTAGTTAACAAAGTTAATTCAAGTTCCAAGTTTTTTCTTTTGGATTTCATTGAAAACCGGTGGAATTGTATAAACAGGTCAACAGCATGTGTAAAAATCCATGATTGGAAATGGTTTAAGCTGATATTAATATTGAATTACTTATAATTTATGTTTGACACTCATTGTAAGACTTAATTAACTTAAAATGAGGCATAATACATTTATTCAAGCAAGACATTTATTTTTTACAGCCTGAGGAACAAGATTTGGGTCAACGAATTCAGGTATTCTACTTTTTTTCTTTTTGATTTTTAATAAACTGACAAATGTAGTGCAGTGCAATTCAATGCTGTCAATACTTTTAAATATATTATAAAATTTCAGTGCCTACAAATTGCCATACAGTATAGTGCCTTTTGTTTTTAATTACAAATGTTTTCATGCATGCATGGAAAACCAGTGTGGTACTTTGAACTAGCGGCACCCTATATCACATATCATTGTTGTTAAGTGAAGTTAAGAAGGTTACAGAGTTTTAATTGATAATAATCCAGGGTAACATTGCATATTTTGTAATGTTTGAAAAGTGAAAATGCAGATAACATTGAAGTGCATTAATGCATTTTCTAATATACAAAAGTATTTTCTAATTTCCCTAAAGAAAGTATAGTTTGCCATCATGCCCTAAGAGACTGGTAATTGTTTTCAGGTATGGTGGATTCTCTCTGGGGGCAAGCAGTTCTGAGATCCTCCCACCTGGCGATGAAATTAACGATGCCATATTTCGAATCAGAAAGCTTTTCAACTTGGAAAAGGTAAATTCTCAATCTGTTAAATTACAGTACAATTCTCAATCTCTTAGGTTACAGTGTAAAGTCAGAGGACTTGACCTTATTTCTAACATGTCTGGATTTTTTCATCAGGGAGCAGCAGCCGATCGATTCTTGGGAAGTTTATCTGGATTCATGAAGGGACTGGATGCAAAAGATAATGTGAAGGTTAGTTCTTATTGTCCCGTCCCGTCCCGAAAGACCCACAAACCCATTTTTGATGCTGCTCAGTTTTGTATGGCTGTTACCTGTTTCTACATTCACACAGGAAAATCATTCATCACTGATTCATGCATGTTTCTGTTACATCTTTTGAATAACCAAGAACATGATCAAGCACTCTCACAGCCTTCTTTAAGTTTTCTTCTAATTTCTGTCAGTAATCAGAAGAGATATTAGAGTACAAGGCACCCTGCTTGTTTAAGTGTATTTTAAGAGTATTAAGTATTCTTTCGGCTCTGATGGCAGGGGAGTGACTCTGGTGACCATACCGGATTTTTTCCATTGCTGACCTTGGCAGTAATCATTTTTTGTTTCCAAGCTTCATAGCAATCTTCTGCTAGGATTCCGTCTGTTTTCTGTGCCAGGGTAGATAGCACCAGGGACTCATGTCTGATAGTCTGTAAGTCAGTTGGTTTCTCACACAAAATAACTTGCTTTTAAGCATTTTTTACACAAAATATCCAGTACTAAGGAGGCTTTGTCCTTGGGGGAAAAATGAAAACATATAAATGGATATTTTGTCTGTATTGACCTTCTTAATGATTCAAAATGATGCAGATTCAATGAGCAAGAGAGAGACACTTTTTGACAACTTCATAGCAAGCAGAATTGCCCTTATGATTAGTCTTTGCACTTTCTGTTGGCCCCAGTTTCTTGTCGGGTGGAGGTTCAGTAGTTAAAAAACTACTGGAATAGTAGGTGGAATTTTCTTTTTACACTTAGTTTCCCATGTCCTCTTAACTAATTTTTATGAAATGGTTATTTTATGTCATCCAGCAAGAATGAACAAAAATAATAGGGAGGGTGTGATCTTGACTTCATTGACAGAAGGAAAAGGATTGATTCTTGATTCTTGATTCTTGATATTGAAGAAAGGGGGTCTGACTCCTGTTTCGAAGTTCCCACCTTACTCTGGAGCATTTCATTTTAATTTAAATGTAAACATGTTAGCAGAATTCGAGTGAGACCTCCCCCACTTCTCTTTCAGATCTGGTTTAATAATAAAGGCTGGCACAGCATTGGCACCTTCCTGAATGTGATGAACAATGGGATCCTTCGCGCCAATCTACCCGAAGGGGAAGATCCCAGTGTGTACGGGATCAGCGCCTTTAACCACCCTCTGAACCTCACAAAGGAGCAGCTCTCACAGGTGGCCCTGTAAGTTCAGACAGAGGACGTCTGAGGAAACCTTTGAATCTAAGACAATAACATAAAATGGCATTTTTATATTCAGGGCAAATTTAAACCTGATCTATGAAGCAGAAAAGAACCTTGAGGTCGTTTCCTTTGGATTTTTTTCAAAGCTAAATATAGTAGACAAGTAGCAGAGCTTTTGGAAATCGAATGTGGAAAAAGAGTATTTGAAATGCCGTGTTTCTCCCTAGGATGACCACCTCAGTGGACGTTCTGGTGTCTATCTGCGTGATCTTCGCCATGTCCTTCGTGCCGGCCAGTTTCGTAGTGTTCCTGATCCAGGAGAGAGTGAGCAAGTCAAAGCACATGCAGTTCATCAGTGGAGTCCAGCCCGGACTTTACTGGTTGGCCAACTTTGTCTGGGATATGGTGAGTCATGTGCCCTTCACTCCTCAAATATTTAATGATGCTGGTGACAACTTACGCAAGACTGTCATAAGCCTGATGATGTAACTGCAGCTGTTTTAGGAATGTGTTTGTGTATGTGTTTTCAGTAACTCAGTGGAAGATTTTTTTTTAATGTATTCCAGTGCAACTACATTGTGCCTGCGACACTTGTCATCATCATTTTCGTCTGCTTTCAACAAAAGTCCTATGTCTCCTCTGCCAACCTGCCTGTCCTGGCTCTTCTGCTGCTCCTCTATGGGTAGGTTTTACAAACATGATCTTTAGAAAGGGCTGCAGGGAAGCTTAGTATGCCTCTAGCTGTGGCCTGGTTCATTGCATGCTAGATGGTTTCTCACAATGTATTTTTTCTGGAGCGTTCTAATCAGATTGTTAGGAGGAAAAAATAGCTGTTGGTTAATTAAAGCTTAGTTGATAATGAAAAGTTGAAATGCAGATTGCTCCATTTGGTGTAGCGTTCAGCAAAGACGTTTTACTGTGTCACAGAGGTTTAATATTCAAGGCAGGGGTAAGGGCTCGTGTGGGAGGAGTTACAGTACCAGCGAATTGATTTTTGACAAAAGAAGATGACAAAAGAAGCCATGTTTGCGTTTCATTATTTTCCCTAAACAACGGCAAAAAAACACAAAAATGCATCAGACGCCCCCGCCACTCCTGCGAGAAGCAGAAAAGTTGCAAAGGAGGCATCACAAACCCACCCCCAGCAGCAAGATGTATTATCTCTGGCGAAGTTGCTTTGACTGAAAAAAAATCCTCTCCTTCATAATGACTCTATACTGATGTGTGCGGAACTGTTACCTTGGTAACATACTGTAGCTACATAATAAAGCACTCCTCAGTGAAATAGAAAAAAAGGAATATGAGAAGAGTATAGGGTACAATTGCTCAAGGAAGCACATTGTAGATTACTGAATCCTCAAAAGCCACAGTGATGAACAGTGATTAGTATCTGTGACAAGTGTACTATCCTTTGTTATCTTTTGAGAGACCTACCAGTTAATCAGTATTCCCTACTGTAAAAACAACCATTATCTCACTTTTCTAATGTCCGTGTTTTCATTAAAGGTGGTCAATCACCCCCTTGATGTATCCTGCCTCCTTCTTCTTCAAAATCCCCAGCACGGCATATGTGGTTCTCACCAGTGTTAATCTGTTCATTGGGATCAACGGGAGTGTTTCCACTTTTGTACTTGAACTGTTTACCAACCATGTAAGTCGTGTTCCGTTTGTGTAAGTCTCTTTAGTGAAAATGTGTTTTTATAGGGCAGGGATCCCCAATAGGGTTTGTCTGCAGGTTTTCTGTCCAGCTGGATCAGCTCGTTAATTGATTAATGGGACCAGTTTAACAGCTCTTCGCCCAGCTCTTCGTGTTCTGCTGCTTCAAAAAGATTTAGAAAAGCTGCAAACACCCTACATTCTTAAAAAAACAAATGTTTGGAAAATTTGTAAAAAGGTTGTAGCTTGCTGAATAAGATGTCTTGAAAATGAAGGACACACGTTACTTTAGAAAAGACGTGAGGATTAAGCACAGTGTGAATCTCTGATAACCCAGGGCTTTTTTCACGAGCACAATCTCATCTTTTCGCGGTCTGTTTTATCACCAGAGCCTTGGTGGAGTGAATGAGATTCTGAAGCGAGTTTTCCTCATCTTCCCACACTTCTGTCTGGGACGAGGTTTGATCGACATGGTGAAAAATCAGGCTATGGCCGACGCCCTGGAGAGATTTGGTAAGGGTCTTGACGAAAACCGTTTGTTTTAATCATTTAGAACTAGTTAAAACGGGACAAGATTTCAGTAATCATACCTACCACAACAAGGATTATGAGTCTAAAACGGAATCATTATTATTATTCTGAGGAGGTTTTGCTATACTGTTTTTAGGTGAGGATTACTACGTCAGTGCTAAGGCTTTTGTCATCAATAAATAGGAATGTAAGCAGGATTTAAAAGGTTCCGTCTGACTTTGGGCCTGTGTCCAGGCCTTCCTCTGAGCAGAGTGCTGTCGTTGCAGGGGAGAATCGCTTCAGGTCGCCCCTGTCCTGGGACATGGTTGGCAGGAACCTCTTCGCGATGGCAGTGGAGGGCGTGGTGTTCTTCTGTATTACAGTGCTCATCCAGTACAGATTCTGCATCAAGCCAAGGTACGGCCAAAAGCTGCACCTCTGCACGTCAGACATCAGATTTCTTGGACATCGCCATCAGTCACTGGTTGTTAATAAAGTGAAATCCAGCAGAAATGCCTCATTTAGTCCAGTTTAATCATTTAATAACACATGGACATCGTTAATTTTGCCAGATGTCAGCAGCACAACTAGATGGCATTCCTGAGAACCCTTTTATGTGTAGGAACTTTTCTTGTGTTGATTAGAAGAGGTTTTGCCTTTTGTACTAATTCCTTCAGCCATAGCAAAGCTAGATATTGAATTGAACACGGTCCTGCCACATCTGCTCCAAATGAGCTCAGAGCTGCATTTTGAAAACATTTTGTTGCTGCTCTTTAGGGCAGTGTCTCCCAAACTTCAGCCTATCAGTGATGAAGATGAAGATGTGGCACGCGAGAGGCAGAGGATTATGAGTGGTGGCGGGCAGACTGACATCCTGGAGCTCAGGGAGTTGACGAAGGTGAGAGGGCACTGCCAGTGAATAACATGTCTCTAAGCTGACCTTCTGCAGAGCAGAAGCTGCCATTTTTTTACTCGATTTAACATTGGTGCTGTATCTCATGTGTAAACAGCGTTTGTGGCTGGTGCTGATCAGGACAGGGAAGTCTTCAAATAAGACCTTGATATATTGTATTTTTGTAATGCAGGTGTACAGAATGAAACGGAAGCCCGCTGTGGATCGTCTTTGTGTGGGAATCCCACCAGGGGAGGTATTGCCAGATGTTTCATGAGACTTTGTTAGAATTACAGTAAGCTTTTCGTGCAAATTTAAGGAAGATGCATACACACAGTATCTAAAGCAGTGCTCTTGTGTGCTTCGTCAGTGTTTTGGCCTGCTGGGTGTAAACGGTGCTGGAAAGACGACCACCTTCAAGATGCTGTCGGGTGATACAGACGTAACTCGTGGGGAGGCCTTCCTAAGTGGAAAGAGGTGAGAGTGGACCTCAGACAGCCTGCTCTGGAGTTGATATTCGTCATTCTGCAAAGCACTAGCACTTTCAGTTCTTTGCGAATCCTCCTTTTCTTTAGACTCCAGTTTTTGGACTAGCCACTTACTAATGCATAGCAGAACTATTCCAAACAAGCATCATGCACAACAGGGTTATTATGACAACATTTCAGAAAATAAAAGGAATTCAGAAATATGTTGAAAGGCATTAAAAAAGCAACAAATGTTATTGGTTCTAATACTCATTTGCGTGGTCCTGATTTCTCTAGGGTACAAAAGAAGCAACCAGGTGAAGTGACCACACTGACCATAAAACAAGTGATCCTTGAATATGGGTTACGGTCCTCAAATTGATTTTTTGGATTGTGTCACTTCTCTATATACAGTACTCATCCTGTTTTGCAACACTTGCATTTTAGTGACTCACAAGTTTCGCCCGTTAGATGTTTGTTTCTGCTGGCTGAGCATATTTACTTTGCCCAGTGGACTGGATGACCGCTGGTAATTCATTGTCATCTGTTGGATGTCTAAACAAGAGCAAACTGGATACGGCTGGCTGTAGGAAGGATGTGGTTCCGAGTAGCGTGACCAAGAAGGACAGTCAGTGCGTGATAACATAAGAGTGTTCGCAAATGAGTGGAAGCCATTGAAAAGGAAGGAGGCAGTTCTGCACGTGCAGCTCATTTGGTTTTCAGTAGCTTATTGATCCCAGGCTCTCATTCTGCCAGCTTGTGCAAGAACAAGGGTTTTGGCTTTGGCAACGTGGCTAGCTAGACTCCTGCCACTGTGTGGTGAAAGAAGCACCTCCACTTCTCAGATTTTAATATACTTCCCCGGAGTTTCAACTAGTGTCCGGTGGTTTGTGTTTCACTGTTGATTCTGTAGTCCACTGACTTTATCAAAGACTCCAGGATCAGGTTGCTTTGTAGCTGTGGCTTAATACAGCACATAGAAACCTTTTACCAGGACAAGATCAAGTAACGTGTGAGCTACTAGAGTGTATTTCCAAAAGGGGAACTACAGTATATAAAGTACAATACGTGACACCAGGGTACCTTTAGTTTTTGGAAAATGCTGAGGAACTTCAGTATCCATTAGTTATTGAAAAAACTCTAAACAAATCCTTCAAATATCAAGCTTTAAATGTCCAAAGTTAACCCAGACAAAGTTATAGCATTAAATCTTTTATCTTTACTTTTTTTCCATCTTTTGAATGCAGTATACCCCTGCTTCCCTTTCTAAAGTGCACAATGAATCTGTGAATGGGGGTCCATCGAGTGCTGTTCCACAGAGGAGTTAACATTTTCCAGCTCTTGTGTAATCCTAGGGTTTCTTGTCTTGCCAGTGTCCTGAGAGAGATCCACGAGGTGCACCAGAACATGGGCTACTGCCCTCAGTTCGATGCCATCAATGACCTGTTGACTGGAAGAGAGCACCTGGAGTTCTACGCTATTTTGCGTGGAGTACCAGAGAAAGAAGTCTGCAAGGTAGGAATACCATGGACAGTTCTCCTACATTCAGAAGGCCTCAGGGTTCAAATCTAAAAAAAATGCATTTTAAACAAGATTCTAAGGAAAAACCTGACCTTTTTAATAACCATGAATGGCATTTTGACATTATTAATGTTTTGTAACTCAACCTTTAAATGTGCAGTTTCCTTAATGACCTCACAATTTGTTATCTCCTTTATAATCTGGGGTGTTTGACTTGGAGGCAGAGTAGATGACAGTTATGTTCTGGAATATTTCAGTGGCTCTAAACAGACGGTGTTGTGCTGATTCTTCTTCAGAAGTGTGAAAGACGACTGAAAGAAGTTAGAAGCCCTCTCCTGTATGATAGCTCTTATAATGACGTCACTAGCTTTCATGTTTTGAGAAATACCTAAAATTGGCATTACGTTGAAGCTTCTAAAACCTCAACCATCCTGTTGGAGCCCTGGCTGTGTGTGTGGTTTCTGATGATTTCAATCGCTCCCACAGGTAGCGGAGTGGGGGATCCGGAAACTGGGCCTGGTGAAGTATGTGGACAAAGGCGCTGGGAGTTACAGTGGAGGCAACATGCGCAAACTCTCCACTGCGATGGCTTTGATTGGAGGACCTCCTGTGGTGTTCCTGGTGAGCGTGCAGTGATCAGTAGCTGTTCACAACAGGGGATACCTAGAACCTACCATTCAGGGTTCGGGAATTCAAATGTAACTCAGAGCCGATTCATTGGGAAGAAAACATGAGCAATATTCCACCCACCCACTCAGGTTGTAGCTGCTCCTGACCTTCCCAGCAGGGTGGCACATAGTTGTGTTAGACTAACTGGTGTCTAAGCCGGCACTTGTTTCGTTACATGGTTTTTCAGTTCTCACATTTCTTTTAGCCAACCATGCTTAACTAGGGGTTTCTTCTCAAGGATAACCTTACCAGAGGCCCTTGTGAATTCTGTCTTGTTAACAGTATTCAGCCAAAGAATGCCTCCTTTACTTCTATAGTATGTAGAAGGTTTAGGAGCAAACCACATTCAAAGAGGAATATAACAAATTATTGATGATTATATGGTGTGTCCGAGCCTTAAGGCTCATAAATAAATGAACAAGCATTCTAGCATTGGCTTAATGTCTCAGAAGTCCAGTAGCTTTTTTAGATGATCCGTAAAGGCAGACACACTTGTATTATTTTGTCCATAGGGAATATCAGAGTATTTTTCTGCATGATGTACTTAATAATGCTGTAATGCTTCCGACAGGACGAGCCCACCACTGGAATGGACCCTAAAGCTCGGAGAGCCCTCTGGAACTGTATCCTCGGCATTATCAAAGAAGGACGCTCCGTAGTGCTCACCTCACACAGGTACACCACTCACACATTTATTGCTGCTATTACAGATTACTCTTGATTAGTGCAGATGTTTTAATATCTTTTATTATCTTTTGTTTTTTCTATTGTGAAGTGTTTTGAGATGTCTTTTGTAAAAGGATCCATATAAAATAAAGATGACTGCTGTGATTGTTTTTAAAGTCTTAATATTGTTAAGAGTGCTGTTAATTAAAAATAAAATGGCCACTTGTGCTTTTTAAGCACCACATTTGAGTACAAACAATATGATCACTATCCTGGAACTATACAAGGAGGAACTGGGTTGAAGTACATTTAAAACTGAGACCAAGGGTTTTTTACTCAAAGTGCTGTGGGAGTGTGGAACAAGGTACCCAGCCTTGTTGTTAAATGAGATATCCTTGTTTTTTTCATGAAACAGCTGGATGAGTTCTTTGAATAAATTAGCTTAACTGACAAACAAGCTAGATAGGCCCAAAGGCCTCCTCCTGTTTGCAATCACTGTTATATTCTTACTGTAAAAGCTCGTAAAATGTCTCATACTGTATTTTTCCATAATTTAAAGTATTTGAGTTTATTAAATTTAGTTCAGAGAGCTGATGTATCATTACAAGAGTCCTGGATGATACACAAGCCTACATGGATGAATGTGTGACCGTTTTTTTTTTGTCTCCACAGTATGGAGGAGTGTGAAGCCCTCTGTACACGAATGGCGATAATGGTTAATGGCAGGTTCCGGTGCCTAGGCAGTGTTCAGCATTTAAAGAACAGGTAATAATGAAGACTTCTTTTTCTGCCTGAAACCCCCTTGCCTACAATCTGTACTGTGCGCAGCTGCTGCTCAGGCAGTGGGAATTCTACCGAGATAAAAAAGGGGTACTGAGAATTTAGGACCCAGTAATCACAACTGTGTCTTTTACTGGGCTATACATTTTATGGTGTCAGGAGATGCATGAATACATGAATCCATATTCAAATTTAAATTGTTTAACAGTATGTGACCCAATTTAATTTTCAGTTTATAATTGACGTTTATTATAAATTTACTTGGCTGACACTTTTATCTAAGTAATGCGTTTATATACAGCAGTTGGGTTTCCTGAGTCAGAATACTGGATTTGAACCCATAACATTCTGGTCAGGCGGGCTAGAGTCCAGACCCTAACCGCTGTTCCACACCGCATTTTTTTACTGGGTTAATATTTCCAAAAGAAGGTCTTGGTAAGGTGAAGGGGAGTTGGCTCTGCCGACAGAAACCTCACTGTGGTTTGTCTGTTATTTCTTTGTCTCACTTTGTTGGTTCTTTTTGTCAGGTTTGGAGATGGGTACACCATTATCCTGCGGGTGGCAGGCACCAATCCAGAGCTGGAGCCCGTGATGAAGTTCATCGAGAACGAGCTGCAGGGAAGCGTGCTGAAGGAGAAGCACAGGAACATGCTGCAGTATCAGCTGCCCTCCTCCCTTACCTCCCTCGCCAGGATATTCAGTATCCTGTCCAAGAACAAGCAGCAGCTCAGGATAGAGGACTATTCGGTGTCGCAGACTACTCTTGACCAAGTAAGCCTTTTGCATTCTTTTTAACTTTAGAATTACAAATGATTTTTGTTAGATTTGTCACCCAATTTGAAGTAGCCATCTTGGCTATCGGCTACAAACCCTGTGACCGTTCATGGGGAGTAGAAAGTGTAGGCCAACTGCTCCGCTCTGCCCAACTTGAAGACACTCGTTTTTTTAACACATTATAGGCAACACAATCCCTTACTGGAGGCTTGGTGCCGATTTGTGGAGAGGCATGGAGATAGGTTTGGAGGGGTTGCAAGCACCTATGAGGCTGCAGAGGGCTGCTTCTGAGAGCAGAGAGAGCCCTGGCCGATCTCCCCCTTGGCAGTACTCAGCCAGTTATGCTCTGAATGCTGGTCAGCTAATTCAGCGACTCCCTGAGGCCCTGCACTCATAGAGCTCTAGTGCACTTCAGCTGCACTTCAGCTTCAGGTGCTAGGAAGGCCCCACTTTGGTGCTGTTGTGCAATCTGGTGTAGTAGTAACCTTTTAAATGTTCAGATTGTCCAACGTGAATCTGCCTGTGTAGAAGTCTTTGTAGATTGTTATTGTCAAGCAAACACATTAATTCTTATTGTTCAAGAACTGTGTCAGAAAGAATTACTCTGGTTCAACGTTCAAGAGGTAATGACAATGGCCTAGTGGTCATGTTATCCCAAAATAATAGTGCGCAGATACTTACAAAAAGGGTATGAAAGTGCTTTACTACACGACCATAGTGCCCCCTGGTGGTCATTCCACCAAAGCTTTGTGTTAATTAATTGGTCATTCATTGAACAAATTAAAACCATTTCTCCTAAAAAGTTAAGTAAACCGTACCCAACTGAGCAAATAATGAGGCTGGAAAGAGTGTCTCTGGGATCCAAGTCTGAGCTTTTTGAACTCCGGCCTTGAGAGTTTTCAGTAGGTGCTGACACTCTCTGTAATAAAAGACAGGATATAACAGCAGGGATGTTGCTGCAAGAGATGCAGTTTTGAAAGGCTATGGTGTGTAACAGCCCGAACTGATAACTCCATCTGTCTTCTTTTCCAGGTGTTTGTGAATTTTGCAAAGGACCAAAGTGACGAGGACCATTCAAAAGACATTTCTTTGAACAGAAAAGAAGCTGCGTTAGATATGGCGCAGCTGACTTCCTTTCTGAAAGACCAAAAGATGAGAGAAAGCTACGTGTGATTTCTTTTTTTTTTTGTCATTTCAAACTGGAACTGCCGAGGCAACTCTTGAAAAGCAGTTTTTCATTTCAGTAGGAGCTGTGAAAGAAGACCAAGTGCAAGAACTGAAACTGAACACACTACTGAAATTACGCAATGCAAGTCAATGCAAGTCAATGCAAAAATTCCACTTCTGTTCACAAGGCAGTGCCTTGTGCTCTTCATTAGTTTTAAGCATAGCAAGTGCAAAAACTTGAATATAGTTAGATTTGTTTTTACAGCTATAGCATTGAGGATGCTGAAGTTCTGTTTTTTTTTTTCCTAGAATGTGCGACATTTTTTATAAAATCCATGTAATTCCAATCCCTCGCTATCAATAATAACAGGGGAATCAGGGTCTGCTCACTTTGAAACCACAGTTTTTCTTACAGTATCCGAATGTCTATGGCTTCTCAGAAGAATTTAGATTTTCTAAGTATATTTACAAATGTTGTACTATAGTAGTTGTTTCTAATGTGGCATTATTTATATATCTTTCTCAGCACAGTGCCTGCTAAAGTATAGTCTCACTTTAAAATACTCCCTCCAGGATCTATAAGTACAAAATACAAAATTGAACTAAGAAATGTACTGTACTGACAAAGCATTTCTCTGTGTGACGGTTCGTCCCTCGTTTTTCTTAAAGCAACCAATCATGTTGTTGTATTTCAATCACAGAGCTTGAAAATACCTCAGGAGATTAAGAGCCCACTTAAAACAAATCATCCTAGGTTACAAAAAATCATAAGCTCTGTGGTGAAGGGTTTTATGAATAGACTTCTATCTAATGAGTGCTACATTGATTCTACACTGAAGTTTGTTACCAGCTTTTTTAGATGTCTGAAGATATGGCATATGGTCCTGGCTACCAGCATCAGGTTAATGAGCAGGACTTGAGGAGCTCTAGCAGTATTCCAGCTAAATTGCAAGGGATTTGTTGATGTGATTATAGTTCAAGAATGTTCATTTGTTATTACTCTGTGGAGGTTTTGTATAGTTTCCTAAATTTTATGTGTAGTCCAGTGGAATCATTTTGATAGATCTCTTTATACACCAAAAACATCTTCAAAAGCAAAAAAAAGAGCATTTAAATGTTTCATGCCACCAGCATTTGTGAGTGATCATCACGATATCAAAGGTGTCATGGAGCATCAGCTTCATAAACCCTGCATCAGGATTACCTGCCTTTAAATCATAGAATATTGCTGCTGACATTTGTTACATTACAGTGGCCTTGCAGCTACATAACATGATAATTATAATCAAATCCAGAATCATTAATATACAGAAATGAGTCTAGTGTTTGGAATTAAGTGAACGTAAACTCTCTAGAACAGACATTTTCATTCACCATTGATGTTATCATTGCACAAGTGCCATATCCTGCGATTACAATAGCATCCTTGTACCAAAATGTGCCAATAGTGTCTACTGAACTATATTTAAGCAGTATAACCATTTGCAAGAGAAAGGTGGTGATCCTTATTATTACTCAATTATATCCGTTTCTTGTTGGTTCATTAATTGTTGGTTCTCAATCTTTTGTACAAAGTATTTTTAGACACATATACAGTAGTTCATGTTAGGAAGTTGATAAAGACTAAATTCATAACAGCAGTTTCATTTCTAAATTGCCACTGCTCTGACGAGAGGAAGCAGAAATTTTTTATTTTGACCAAATATGATCAGGTAAGAAGATGCTCACAATAAGGAATCCTGTTGGGGAAAATACACAGTTAATTGTTTTGATTCGACACAGGAGGGCAGTATTGTTGGTCCTTCATTCCAAGCACTTTATACTGTTTTTTTGTTGGGTTTTATTGCACTGGACTATCCACAGACTTTATAAAAACAGACTTTTGTGATGAAAACATTTGTTCTAAGATGGTCAATTTTTTCTGTTTAATATCAATATCTGTTTACATCAAAAGTATTAAGAAAGGCTGTATGGGAATATCTATGTTACTTGTCATTCACATTACTTATTTACAAAATAAAACTTGACAAATTTTCACTTGCTGCAATGATTTAATTGTTCTAATGAACATTAAGGTAACATTTCACAAACTGTTGTCTTCATAAGTCGGTCTTGTCCTGTTTTTATTTTTCTGATGAATGTAATCATAAATTGAATATATGATATGCAGAGTTTTTTGAAAGTTTTCTTCCTGAAATTCAGCAAAAAATGACTGGCGTTTTTAGATGAATAATTGACCGATCCTGACAACAGTGGATAGAATTAATGAGCACGTCAGCAGGGCAGATGAGGCAGCGCTGGCATGAAAAGATTGTTTCTATTCCAAATTAATTTAATTAAATCAAACATGGCACACTCCTTAAGAAAATGACATACTGTACAAATACATCAAATTCGCTTACAGTCCCTTCAGTGGTCTTAATTTACCTTTATACACTACCAACAGGCATGACAGAAAAGCAACATCACTGTTGAATAAGATTACCATCTACAGAAGAGTGCTCTTCTTAAAGTGTAAAACACAAAGTCAGACGTGTTGCAACAATATATTAAATTTGAAATATATACTTCAACCCTATCCAGGAAAAGTAAATTGCAAATAGAGATGGAGGGATATATTATCTTTATTTTAAATTGAAAAACATGATTATATTTCAGAACTGAAGTTCAAGAAACAAATACATGAACTGACAAAAGTACAACAAGAGTTTTTGTAACGGCATTATCACAAAGAGTATATAAAAACAAGCATTTGTGTTGCAAAAAGCAAAACTATTTAGACTGATCAACTTTATAATTATACAGTACATGACTGACGTTATTCAATACTTTCCAGGTCTTCAAATCAGTCTTCAGGCAAGATGAATGGTCTATCAAATTAAAAATTTTAATCTCTTAAGTAGCACAAAATCTCATAAATGAACCTGTTGATAACGAAGGGCACAAACCGGTTAACTGCAGGCACGTTTGTTTTACATTACGCCTTGGCACTCTGGAGTCTTTTAAAGTCATTTAAGTGGAGAAAAAGCCATAGGAATTAATAGTTTGTTCCTCTGGGAATCCAGGTATGACACACTCTCTCTCACTGTAGGAAAAAGAGCAATCTTTAAAACAGGTTTACATTTTATTTTCCTTTTATTTCTGTTTCACCAACAGTATTCATAATAGTAAAGCAGCATAGAGCAGCACTGTTAAAGCTTCCAAGAAATGAAAAATAGACACAATGTGACCCACAAAATAAACAATATGTGATGCTTACTACAAAACTCAGTGACCAAGAAAAGACTTAAGTGGATTTTGTTTAATCTTTTCAGAAAACAAGGACACCTCAAGAGTTTTAAGCCCTTATAATAAACATACCTGTAAGAAACTTCCATCTCACTTATTTGAATTAATCTCTAACATTTGTATTATGTATTGTGTCCATTCATCTTTAAGAATTTAATGCTGTGTGTCTTTTGTGGTTTTTGACAGATTTAAATTAGACTAATGAAGAGAAAAAAGTGAAAAAAAGTATTTTTGGCCAGCACATTATATATTTATGAGCCCAATATGTTTATGGGTTCAATGTCTGCAGACTCTGGACAACCACTTTGGAAATTAAATAATAACCAGCATTATTAACCAGATTTTTTGCACCCATTTCCCTTCGTGGTTTTAAAAATATAGCAACATCATAAGAAATGTACAGACAGTTGCAAACGAGGAGGCCATTTGCTCCATCAAGCTCGTTTGTGGCTAGAAGCTAATTAATCGGAGAAAATTGGCTATCAGCTTCGACAACAAGGCTGGGTAGCTTCTTCCATACTCCCACAATCCTCTGGGTAAAGAAGTGCCTCCTGTTCTTGGTTTTCAATGCAGTTATGCATAGTTTACACTTGTGTGCTAAGGTTCATTTGTCACTGTTCATTTAAAAACATCTCCCTCACGTCTCATCAAACCTAGTTTAATTAACCCATTTCCAGATTTAACAAAAAACAGACCAACTTCAGCTTCTTTGTACTTACAATTGGTACTATATGTTTTAGTACTTGCTGGATTTGCCCTGTTAGTTTCAGCCCTGCTTGCACAATGGATGAATGAATACCAGAACAAGCCCCGAGTGAGGTCAGCGTGGTACAAAACCCAGGAGCTGTCACCTTACCTGCTGCAACCACCCTGGCATCCTGGTGGGCTACGCGTCTCGTCGCTGCCCGGCGGTCTGCGTCCTCATACCACCACAAAGCGTGCACTGCCAAACAGCAACCGGTAAGGGAATCAGTCTCGCTCACACAGATTCACTGACGGTCACATTTACCGGACACCTGGACAAGCTTACTGAAACACAACCTAGAGGAAGAATTGGTACAGACTGTACCGTTTTATACGATAATGCACCGTTTCTTGAAAGAAAGGATCTGTCCTGAAGTCTTTCAAATACCATCCTAAGCAAAATGTTTCATATGCAGCTTGAAATCTACAACTTTTAAGCCAACAGCAGCCAAATGTATTTAACAACTAACCAGAATCTCCACTTATATTTCTATTAAAATATACAATATAAAATAAAATATTATATGATACTGTACAAAAAGTCCTTCACTGCAAGAGGTAATAAGTTGAGAAAGGGTATAATTGAAGCTAATCTTTTTCAAATGCCCTGTTACAGTTCATTTATTCCATTCTGGGGAGGCCCATACCTCGGTTTAAAAGCCCAAACTCGCTGTGGAAGACTCCGACGAGGTGGGCGTAGCCGGCCTTGGCGTGGGTGCTGACTGCTGCTCGGAAAGCTTTGCCCCACACAGCCGGGCCTCCCGGCTTCATCTGGAACGTCACCAGCTCGTAGACACCTGCGTCCACCCAGGAAGATGTGACCACAGCGCTTGAGACCACACCGTTACCGGAAACGAAGAAACTGACAAAGCTTACATGCTGACACGAGCTGGATTCTCACTTCTTGGTTTTTTTTCCTTCACTTACATTTGCCAATTGTTGCTCTACCCACCTGATTTGGAACACCCATGCTGCGTTTTTTTAAATCACAGCTCACAGCTACGAGCTCTGCAACCGCACACGGGAAAACTGGAAATGTGTTGGCAGACTCCTCCCAACCGCCTGCTCTCCAGCCACTTGTGCTCAAAATGGCACAGGCAACATTGCCCTGTACCAAAGGTTCAGAGTCGACTGCAGGAGAGGTGTGTCCCCCACTGACAGCACCGCGTTGAGTATAAAAAGAGATTTCTAAAAATAATTTATGAACCAAGGGAATTATGTGTTACTGGAAGCACATTAGGCTGACTCCGTCATTCACAAACTGCTCTCAGCAGTCAGTGGAACCAGTGGAAACATCAATTGAACAAGCTGCCGTACTAATATAACAACTGTTAAAAACCCTGGAATTAAGAACAGAAGACACTCCAGGCCCTTAAGTGCCCGGGAGGAAGCAGGGTTCCTGGAGTCAGCACAAGGGATACCTGGGAGATCAACCCCTTGGTGCTCAGCCAATTGTGACCCAATTCACCAAACAGCATTGCACAACTGGATAGCGTCATAACCCAGGCTCCCAGCCATGATCACAGAGCTCAACCCGCGGTCGAACGAGTGCCATCGCTGCTTGAACCACTCAGAGGGCCCCAGAAATCCTCTGTTCAAGATGCGTGAATAACCTAACTGACTGCTCTTTCCATACAGTATTTTAGTACGAGTAGACTCTAACATGCCAGACACAAGCCTTTTAACAGCATATTTAGTAGAGTGATGCAAAATAAAAATTTTCAAAGATGTATTTTCATACATTCACAAAATGTATTTTGTATTTGGAATAGTGTCTGGCCTACAAGACAAAATTAAACCTAAAAGCAAAGAGGGAAAACTTAATTTCTTAACAGCAAGAGGAAAACAGCCTAAAGATATTTATGAGATTGCTCCACAGATCCAATGTACACGGGCCAAGAATTGCATCAACATCGAGTTTTGTTTCCTGCTGTGAATTGCAGTTCGCCTTTGGCACCGTGACGCACTGCATGAATCACACGAGTTCAGCTTTGGTTTCTTAAAAAACATCAGCATTAAAAAATGCAATAAGATAATTGTTTTTCCCCGACACTGAATGATAATACTTTGCCCCTGTGCTCTCTGTACACACTTATCCGGCAATGAACATTTCTGAAGATCTGATGCAAGTTCATTTTTATATTAGCAAAAAGGTCAGGAACTTCATGGGGCAAGCTTGTTGACCAATCAGTTTGCAGGTCAATTCCTAAGTCAGCTGTGTTTGGGCACAGTAAGTGATCAGAGGTGCCCCTTTTCCGTTCTGTTTAGGCAGAGGCAGCAGTGTGTTCCAGAGAAGGAAGGAAGCTCACCTTCCTTGGACGGCTTGTCGATCTCACACCATGGCACCAGGTACGTGACTTCGCTGTCCTGAGAGGAGAGCAAAGGCAAGGCCTTTGAGATGTACTGGTTCTGCCACTCTGGGTCCTGGGCCAGAGCAGCCCGCACTGCGGCCCTCTGGGCGTAGCTCTCTGGTAGGGGGAAGTGAACAAATTCTGTTACACTTCGCATCCTTCAGTTGTGTGAACCTGAGTAATACTAACTCTACGTTTTCCAACATCTCACCATATTTCCAGATATGAAAGACCTCATTGAGGCCACCATACTCCACGCTCCAGTAGCCCAGGAGCTCGGAATGAGCTGTGCGCAGTTGGATTTTTTCATTTGTAAGCTTCAGGAAGGCGCTGTTGTGTTCAGGTTTGATGCAGTAGGTACGCAGCTCATAGAAAGTTCCGTTTTGTTGTTGAGGCCCAGTTGAGAGTGACGCATGGAGCTGCAGTAATAAGACACAACACAAAAAAAAAACAGCAGGCACTTAAAACATGCTGAAGAAATGTTTCTGGGCCTCATTTAATGGGAAATCAAGTATCACAATTACTTACAAAAACTATGACTCAAGCTTTATTTTGTGACAGAGTATTATAACTATGACACATGAGGGTTATTAAAGAGGATGTTCGGTCTCTTTATGTTAAAGGTCATCTGACAAGAGAGGGCAATATTTTATTTTAGTACCATGGTTGTTGGGTGCAGTAGGATAAACTATTACACCAAGTACTGTAAACAGACCATTCTCTGCTCAGGAAATGACTGACTCAATTTTAACGTTTTTTTCCTGCTTAACTCTCTCCACAAATTCCCATTCATTTTCATAGGTTACACCTAATTTAGATTTCGCAATTATTAATCCACTCAGCCTCCCACTCAGCAAAGAGGAGAAGTGAGAAAGAGCCCTGTGTACACAACGCTCCTTCCTCCTTCCTCAAGCCCTCGCTCTCGGCTGTGACAGTGGGGAATTACAAGAACACTTATCCAGACTTACTCTACCTACCGTTTCATTTTAAGGCACAGTCCTTTCAAAACTTCACTTTTACCTACAGGAGGATCAGAAAATAGGAATGTGCCTTCATCCCATGTGTGTGACAGCTCAGGACGGAACCAAGGACAATATACAATTCCACTTTTCATTCTCCTTGCGGTACAGATTCTACACAAGCTCTGTATCACACAAGCAAATATTTTAAGTAGGAAAAAAAAAGACCTCCATGCTTTTTTTCTCAACAGAACAATGAAACTTTAGCAAGCTATTAAACCGTGCAGTAAAACATTGATCACTTTTAAAATACCAACACTGAATTTAATCTTAACTGTTAATGACTGCTTTCCACTATGAATACTGATCTACAGGCTTATCCCACAGTCGGGAAATGTGACTCCTCCTCTACAATAGGACCCTCACTTATGCTAGAGTTAAAGTTAAACTTATTCAGAAAGAAAACAAGGTTCCAGTACCTTGGAAAAAGTTAATGTTTCAACCAACTCATGAGTTCAAGAAAAAAAGAGAAACTGCGAACCAACAAATGCACTAATGGTAATGAGTAGGGATATTAATTATTCTTAAACTGTCTTGAGGATTAAGAGTTTAAATGTTGAAGCCATTCACAACCGGCCGCCTATTTAGGAACATGTTAGCGAGGTAGTATGAAGTCTGTAAAATTAGAACTCAATTCTAGTACAGAACAAAACCCCTTTATAGTTTTGTGTACTCAAATCTACATCATGAGTGATGCACCTCCCAGCCTCACTATCAGCTCTGAAGGGTTTTTTTCTCTGGATCTTTGATACAATCAGGCTACTCATACAAGTACATGGGGTTGCTGGGAAGGCACACTTCACAACAAAAAAAGAATGAATAATAGCTTGCTCTCCTTTAAATAACTGCAGAGCAACACCTGCCACATAGCAGCTCTGGTTGCCTTTATTATTAAACATACTTGACTTTTACTGTTACCCTGTCACCCTATAAAAATCCTGTCACAAACCTCTTCACACACCACAGTAGGACACACTGGAGGTCAGTGAGACAACAGAGGATAAAAACCTGGAGTATTCATTATAGTGCCCAAGACATGCTTGCTTGTTCTGTTAGCCTATCCAAACTGTAGATTTATGCATATTGAAAAGGGGGCGTTTTTATCTTTCCATTACTTTTACAGTATATCAGTTGCACTCCTTGAAGCATTTTTATGACTTGTTTTATTAAAGCCTGTAATCGACTACAAGTTGACACTTGACTGCAAAGCTACAGTATTTCAACTGCCTGTTAAGGTAGGCAATTGTCAACAATATGCATCTCACTGCAAACACAATAAACTGCTACACTACATTATGTTTCAGATCGGTGAAAGGACAACTTCAAACACACATTTGTCGCATTGATGGAAGATAAAAATTCCAAACGATATGAAGCATAATGACAAACCTTTTCTCTGGTCCTTATTAATTCAGTTCGTAAAACTCCACAGACCTACGCAAACTCAAGAAAGTTACAGGATTTAAATATTTGATGAATATATCATCCCCGAGCAGAATGCTTCGGACTGAGAGATCAATGATTGTAAACGATTTAAAGATGTTGGCTTGTTCAATTCAACGAAGTTTTAAAAATCTGAGTTAAACACCAACTCCAATCATTTGCACAGATGCCAAGTGTAATTTGTAGACGTGCAACTGAGCAGGGAGCTGTGTAACAGTGCAATTTCTAATATATTCTGGTTTCTGCATTTTAATTTTTTCTTGCATATCAAAAGTATGGTATTAAGCTATTATTGTGGCTGATTTTAAGAAGACGAAAGGGCTTGTTTCTTACTAGTGATTTTATAAATACCCACGTATAAATAAGGGCGAGTAAAATAAATGTACTCACCTTAGGCGTAATCTTTAACTTAATCTTATCTGGGAGGGTAAAAGCTTTTCGAATCGCATTTCTAACAGAAAACATTGCCCGTTAAACTTGTTTTAAAAGCTATTGCTAAAAACACAAATGAAGACGCTTTATCACAATCAACGATTTCTGCGCTTGCTCTGCTTTTCTTATTTGCGATCGTTAAGTACGGAAGCCGAGAAGCCAGTCGCGGCCCTTTGTAACTTTAACCCTCAGGGTAGAGTCCTTTCCAAATACAAGCTGCACTGTCTAGTCTTAATAGGGACATCTGAGGTAGTTCCTCTGCTGTAACGTGTATGAAATGCAACTGCTGCTGACAAATGGAGCGAACAACTTTAACCCGTTATAACTCTATGCTAAGTCCAATGTGAGTTTTATAAGAATATGTATTTTCATTTTGTTTTTGTGTGGCACTGAATAACAACAAAAATAATTGCATTCACGTAGCTCTTTACATCCATAAAACTGTACATACAACAGGGAACACACTTTCTGCACCCACGGTTGGCATGCAGTGCCCACTATTGACTGACAGCTCCAATACACATCAGATGGGGTGGGGAAATAAGAAATTGTTTAACCAATTCAATTTAGGTGGAATTATAGGCAGGACAGACTGCAAACAATTCATGCTGAATCCAGGTATCTGGGGTTAACTGCCTACGCTTATGAATAGTGATATACTGTAAGATGTTTTTTGAGTACATACTAATGCCTTCAGTATAATGCCACTACCTTGGTTTTCTGGAAATGTGAGTTGACCAACACCACTTGCGATAGATAGCAAACCTGGTTTTTCTTGAAGATCTCCTATCCTCCTATTCACCAGGCCCCGCCTTGCTTAGCGTCTGAGCCCAGATGAGATCAGGGGGAAGTTTTACATCTCCCTATTGCACTTTTTCTTGTACAAATAACAAAAATTCTCATTTTACTGTACTTGCTATTGCTTGTTATCTTATCTTTTGTTTTCTTTTGTACCTGCAATAATGAACAACATTGTAAAACAGTGTAAATCACCCGGTATAAGGGCTGCTAAGTATAATTATCTGCTAAGCAAATAATAAGAATAAGGATAAGCTGTATTTTCTGTGCTTGCAGCCTATTCTCTACTTTTTTTCAGCCTTACTTCCAGTCTACCGTTAGCAGAACTCTGCATCATGCTGTACATGTGTTTACTGTCTGCTCAGATTTGGTTGCTGGTATTTTCGTCACAAGAGCTCAATAAAGAAGTTAAACAATGACCTGTCTCTGCTGCACAGCTGCTGGTGCTCATTACAAAACAGTCACAACTAGGCACAGACTTCATAAAGTCGTAATCATGAGTCAGTTGGGCATCTGCTTCAGAAGAGAATAACATGACATCTCTACAATGCACCACCTGACCTGTGTCAAGGGCTGGCAAAACAGCAATAATGAAATTAATAGTTTTGTGTGTCTTGTCTGTAACGTGATGTTGTGAATAAATGGAGGCCGCAAAGTGAGCTACGGAGTACTGTATATCCGCTTTCATCACACAATAGAAGAACAATTGCATTTTCATATCAATTGAGATACTAGCAACAAAATGAACTGAATGGCTTCTATTTCTAGGAATCTTTTGGAAGACCTAGTGCCCTGTACAGTAGACGGGGTACTTTTTATTATACAGTATGTTTGAGCTCATGTAACAATGCCAGGAGCCTTTTTGTCCCTCGGACACCACCAGTGTGGTGACTGTCCATGGGGGAGTGTGTCTTTATCTATCCTCCATTTTCTAACCACTTCATCCAATACAGGGGTGTGTCCTTATGTCATATTTTAACTTAGTCATTGAATGACAAAGTCTGTTTAAATACTAGGCACTCAGATTGAGTTATTAAAAAGAATGAAATTATGTAGCTACTTGTGGTTGAAACTGGCATTTTCTAGAGCCAAAGCTGAACCAAAATCGAATCATAGAAAGTGAATCATTGCTGTGAAAGAAAGTGACAGTGATTTAATTCACTAAGTGGAGATTCATTTGTTTAGCTTTTAGTGTGTGTATTTTGTGTTTGCTATTAAAAGTTAAAAGGTCCGGCATGCTAACAGTTGGTTTTGTTTCAGCTCTGTATCTCTGATCCCCTGTTGGCTTAATGTCCTGTCGCACTCCTTGCTAACGTGATGATGAAGCTCCTACTGTATATTGTCATGCCAGGCCAGTGAGTATCAGACAGCAGCGCAAGCAGCAACACGACCAGCAGTGGAAACCGATCTTTTTATAGCCTGAAGTGGCCATGGCCATACCCAGCAGGCATTGCAAATGAGGATAAAGGCTTTTGAAGTGACCACTACCCCAAGAGCTCTGAATTAAAGGCACAGAGGTTTAACTTTGCAACTAATTAAGACATTTCTAGTACTTTATTAATTAAATAACTTTATTAATTCTGCCTTTTGCTGAAAGGTCACGTTATATGCTCTATGAGTATCAAAACTTCATATGGACTTGTAATTCTTTAGGTTTACTGCTTTGGAAAAGTAATGAAAAGTAGAATGAAACATAACACCAAATAATGAAAATCCAACAAGAAACTTTAGGATCTTAAACTTTTACCATAGCTATTGCTCATTTATCTGTTTGAACAGTTGTCTGTTTTAGACAGAGATCAAGAAATGGGCAGCCTTTGTTTTTCCCTAGAGACACACACTATATTTAGATAAGATTGAATTCTGAAATGTGCAGGAACTGCAGAGGGTTAAACAGTCTAATGCAGGTAGTCATACAGATCTTGAAAATACACTACAAACACTGTAATATTTTAGAGGCCAGGAGCATAAAAAACACAGCATATCAAAGGTCAGTTAAGGAGCGATAAGAGAGATTGCTGTAGTTTTCAACAATGATCATCAGCAGCTGCGTATAGATACAATCTTCAGTCAGGTGTGAGAATTCCCAGAGAGCTGAGCAAAACAGGTCTGGCAAGTTCTATTTGTACCATATTTGCTTCTATTTGTGAAACAACATGGCTTCAAAAATACTTCTGCTGTTTCTGGTCGTTCTCCTCTCCACGGGTGAGCTGGTCATTTTTCAGTCATTTCTCATTATTCACCACGGCCTCTGTAGCTCAGTTCAGTTTGAATTCAACAAATGTTTTTTTAAAAGTGGAGGGCAAAACCAAACTGTGGTGATCTGTATTTAAAGGTTACAGATTAAAGACCTCATTCAAGAGTGACATGTTTTAAGTCAGTATGGAGATTTAGTGCATAATTCAGAAGAAAGAATATATACTTCAAAACCTTTTATGAGAAGCAATGGTAAGACATAATACATTTTTGGACAAATTTCAGCAGTTTTGCCTATTTTTTTCAGATTTCACAGAGCAATCTGGGCAGCAAAGAAAGGTAAGCTATGAGTAATTTCTTATCAGAAGTACTGCAATTCTAAATGTCCTTAAACCCAACCACCAAAACACTGACTTTTTGCTTGTTTTAACAGCCTGCCTGTGAGGGCTTTGTTGCTGACAATGCTTGTCCTCTGAATTATTTCCCAGTCTGTGGGACAGATGGATTCACCTATCCAAATGAGTGCGCGCTCTGTGCCAAGAGACTGTAAGCAGATTGTTTCATCTTCCTCCGTTTCCCGAGAGCAAACTGATTTTTGCAATGCTTTCCTTTCTGTTTTTCTAAAACAGAATCTGAATGCACAGAGTTTCCATGCATTGCTAGCTCTGCATGCAGACACATACAGTAAGCTTTGAGAGAGGAGAAAGACAGGAGAAACAAAGCCCGCAATATGATTCAGTGTAAGTGTGCACATTCATGCGAAGAGACAACAGCTACAGTGAGGAGACATTCCCTGCTTCATGCTTCTCAGATTCCTTATCCAGTCAGAGCATAGAGGATGTAACTCTTTTCTGCATCATGCTTAAGACTTGAATGTCTGGCATGTCTCATCATGTTGTCTCAATAATACACAATTAACTAATCAGATCATACCGTTTGTGTACTGTATTTCCACCCCCGAGCTGCTATTAAATCTAATTTTACTGATATTGACTTCCATAACAATGAGAAGGCTAATACGATTACTATGACATATCATAATGGTCAAACTTGCTATTTGGCAAAGGCTTTTGTCACCTAAAAACCCTTTTTTTATGAATAGAATAGAATCTTTATAGCCACATGACCAAGGCCAGTGGAAATTGTTGGTACAGCTTTGCTACAGACATTTGACATGTGTCAATAACATACAGAAAAAAAATACCGGACCTGAATGCACAATATACAACACAGATTATTTAAATACAGGAGAGACCGTACATAATACAGAACATACTGTAAAAATTCATTCTATTTTCAAATATGCAAAAACAAAAATGCCACGTTGATGCCCTGCAATGTAAGCATAGACAAATGTAAACGTAGGCAAATCAATCCAATTTAAATGTGATACAGGTCATAAAGCACTAATACTTGTTGCGCAGCCTTACAGCAGTCAGGAAGAAGCTGTTCTTGAAACGGATGTTTAGGATGTCAGTGATCTGAAACGTGTACCACAGGGGAGCAGCTGAAATAAGTCGTGCGCGGGGTGAGATGGATCCACAATAATCCTGTTAGCGCGCATGGTGGTATGTTGGGTGTACAAAGATTCAACTTAGGAGAGAGCAGTTGCAGAAGAGGCCTTCGTAACAATGCGTTGAAGTCTTCTCCTTGTTAGGATGTCCGTGCTTCCGTAACACACAGAGATAGAAGATGTCAGAATGCTGTCTATAATGGCTGTGTAGAATCGGACAAGGAGGTGTTGACTGACTCCAAACTTTCCCTTAATTGTCTGAGAAAGTACAATCTCTGATGTGCCTTCATGATGAGATGGTTTGTGTTGATGTGCCATTTTAGAGAGCTACTGTACAGATATAGGTGCCCAGTTCATATGAGTCAGTTATGGCTATTTATTGACCATTGATGGAGATGGGGGATTTGAGATCCTGTGAGTGCCTGAAGTCCACAATTACCTCAAAGGTTTTGGGTGTGTTATAATCAGGTTATATGCATGAAGACATAAGATTAATAGTGCATATAAAATAAAAACAACATTTTTTCATATTTGTTCATTAGTAAGACAAGTCTTCTTCTGGTCAATTTGTAAAAACTATGTATGGACATGTCAACCTTGCTCTTTGGTCATTTGTAACCACCGCAACAATGATGCCTGGATCCAATGTGTGATAAATGTTTAATATAGTGTGTTAATATAGTGTGATATAGGCCACACTGCCTTTCTAAGCACGCATTGTATGTGTAACACTTTTAAAGAATGTGTAAAATAAAGACTAGGTGTGAAATCAGCTGATACACTGTGTTAGCCATATTTATATATGTTTCATGTTCTTGTATCTCCAGGCTGACCAAGGCGGACATCTTAATCGCCAAGGATGGGACATGCTGAGGAATGGTCAGTGTCCTTTCACCTCGAGGAGAAAAACCCTTGTATGTGTCTTGATATTAATACTAATAAAACCCGATTTCTGCATCCTTCCTTTGTGTTTGTGGTGAACTTGGAGGGGTGGGAAGGTGTTGCTTATGAATAGATTTTAAACAATTCGGACTTAAAAATGATCAGCCTCAGAGAATCTACTTGATCCTCTAGTATCTTTTGACCCACATGTGAAAAATTTGATTAAGACATCTTTCTTTCACCTTAGAAACATTTCCCGCATTAGGCAATTTTTATCAATGTCCAATGCTGAGTGCCTGATTCATGCATTCATAACATCAAGGCTTTATTCCTGCAACTCGTTACTATATGGGCTCTCTAACCCTCTTCTTAACAAGTTGCAATGCAGTATGTTAAAAACTTGGCAGCTAGGCTACTAACTCACACCAGGCTCTGGCAGCATACTGTATCACTCCTACACTTAAGTCTTTGCATTGGTTGCCTATACAGTTCCGTATTCAATACAAGATCTTGTTGTTGATTTTGTAGGCTCTAAACAATCTGTCTCCATCGTACCTCTCTGAAATCCTCCATGTTTTCACTCCCCCCCTGTAGACTCCATTCAGTTGAGGCCTGACATTTACTCACTGTCACCAGGACTAAATCACAGACTTTTGGTGACCGTGCCCTATCTGCAGCTACTCCAATGTTGTGGAATGGCCTTCCCCAGACTTTTGCGAGAGACAACGTCTTTTAACTCTCTTCAAATCTAAACTTATAACTTACCTTTACTATTAGGTCTATGTCTGATTGCCTACAGTCAGTTTGTAAAAACCTGTGTGCTTTTGTTTTTTTTTCATTTACTTTTATTGTACTTTTCTTGTCTTTTTCTTTATTCATGATGTGCAGCATCCTTTGGATTGGAAAGGCACTTTATAAATAAAAGTTATTATTATCAGTCAATGGTAATAAAAGCCAGGTCTAAATGCACACGAAAAAGGTGATTAATCGATGACTCAAAACTGAAAATCTTTTGGAGTTATAATTGTTGTCTTCAAACCATTAAGCGAAAATGTAAATAAGCATAGAAATCCATTACAATGTGATTTCGTAGCGGCCAAAAAATGTATAGTACCAGTCATTGTGCTATGGAGGAGCTCAGCCAAAACATCTAATGGCAAGACATCGTGAATGTAAATAGAAGATGCTAGGATACAGTAGCTTTATAAAAGACTGTCTAATCTGGTAGATATGAGCTTTCTAAAATGAAGCGTTTTAGTTTTAAAAGAGTCTCAGGGAAAGACAGTATTAAATAATTCAGCCTTGCAGTCACAAAGAAACTAAACTTTTACCTGCCCTGAACTCATATTTACTTAATACTAAACCTTTTTTAAAATGTACTGTATGTATACCTAATGTAAATTTACAATCATACTTTTTTCTGTTTACTCTTAAATTGCCCAACTCCAATATTACTTCATCGCTGTAACCACTCTTATAAACAGAAAGGAATGAAGCCTCAGGTTTCTGCAGATAAGGGAGTTGTTACATTTACTGCCCTGAATTATCTAGCCAACCTTTTCACACTTTGTTGCTCTCAAACTCCTCTCTTTACCTCCCTGGAACCTGGATCGCTCTGTGATTCAGCTTCAAAGAGGAAAACCTAGCACTGCTATGCTCCAAGACTCTTTTTCGCATTTTTGAAGAAAGTTTTCATTCTGCCTAAAAATCTCTTTGCATTCAACGACCTTTACTGTTGTTTGACTGGATTTTCTCAACAGCTGGAACCTGTTCATTGAGGAAAGCTTAAATGTAGCTACTGTAGGTGTCGAATTCTTTGTGGTCATAGGCCTGTCAGCATCAATAGATCTCATAAACCCATAAGAATAATTACGGATTAGTGAAGGCCATTCAGCCTCTTTAGTAGGGATGGAGTCTTGTGTTGCCCAGGAATCAAACCCAGGCCAATTGACAATTCAGCTTGTCTACACCCAGTTATGAACTGAGGACCTTTTCTGTGTTAGGTGAACATATCCACTACATTATACTCAGCTAAATTATTTAATTCCTTTATTGTCCCATCTGGCATGTTTACACTGCGGGCAGGTACAAGACATAACACAGAACATAGCTTTTTACTAAAGGCCCATGGAGGGCACACCAAGTACTGAACCTTGATCTGTATTGTGGTTTAAGAACGAATGTGGAAAATTTAAAATCATCTTTAGATTTAGAAGTGTAGTGTGTGTGAATTTGATCTTATAGTATAAGGTTTGAGATTAGACACATTTAACTTATATACAAATATGGAGAGAATTGTATTAAGAAGTATCTTAAAAGCACAAGCAGAATCCCAAATAATATGTCATTCAATACATATTAGTTGACTTTCAGTTTTAAGCAGTGGATTCAATTGCATGCTATACTCCTTGTTTAACGATAAATCTGAGTGTTCTTATGGTTATAATGATTGTGTTTACATTAGGTACAAATTAGTAACTACATTGTATCTAAACCAAAAGTCGAAAGCGCATGCGTGCACCGTCTGCAGCGTTGAACATTGTCATGAACTCTAAACCCAAAGTTTCAACTGCGCTTCTGTGCGCTGTCATTGCACAATGTATTAGGTTGTTCATACATTCAAAGTATCTTTGGCATATAGTACCTACGAGAACAATTATCGTGTTATGACGAAAAGGTACATTATTAGTACATAGTAAATTATCTCGTAATTACGAGACAACACATGGGATATACCTTTTCCTTGATAACAGGAACGCGCTTTCGTACTGCAGTGCTGTTTTTTGTTTGATAAAACAGACGTCGCTGCAGGTCAGGTTTGAATAATCTCAGCCCTCTGGCGCAGATTTCTGAAGTTCTGCATAGACCTGCTCAGCTCAGCTTTACTCTCTCCTGTGGCTGTATGATGTCAGGCAGCCTGTCCTGGCCGCAGCCAACGAAAAATTGCGGCTGGGAACCAACAGAAAGAGACACTGAGGGTATGAGAGATCTAGCTGTCAGATTCCAAGTGTGCTACACAACTTTTTGGTCCTAACATCAATAACCACTTGAATCGACTCCAGCAGAAAAAAAGAAAGAAATAGTTATTCTATTGAATGTTGTCATTTATTTTCTAACGCGAACCCGTGTATTCCCATAGAATTCTCACAGGCTTTATTACCAACAGCTATGTCACCCTGCAATTAACAACTCACAACTGGCAACCCACTGAAGCTCAACAGGTTTGAGCCTGGCCAGTAGCTGGTTGGGAGACCTCCTGGGAAAGATAAGGTTACTGCTAGAAGAGCTGTTAGTGACACCAGTAGAAGGTGCTCACCCTGAGGTCTGTGAAGGTCCTAACGCCCCCATATAGTGACGGGGGCGCCATACTGTAAGAAATGTGCCGTCCTTGGGATGAGGCGTAAAACCGAGGTCCTGGCTCCCCGTTCTCATTAAAAATCCTAGGGCGTTTCTAGAAAATAGTACAGGTGTTATTTTAACCTGACTAAAGCCCCCCCCCCGCTTTACCAATCTTTGCTTCCTAATACTCCCCATTTATGAAATAATTGGTGTGTGGTGAGCGTACTGGTGCACTACTGCTGCCGTCGCATCATCCAGGTGGGGCTGCACATTGGTGATGGAGGGGAGTCCCTATTACCTACCTGTATAGGTCTAGTAAAGTACCAAATTAGTGTAATTATCATTATATTTATTATTATTAATATTATTATTATGTATAAGAACAGTTAGTGAGATTCACGGAGTAAGGCAAGTAAGCGTGTGACAACACCAGAATGCGAACAATAGCAATTGTCCCCCGTTTTTTAATTAAAAATTAAAAATGAGTTAACCAACGCATCCGTGGTGTAAAACAGAAATGCTTTACCAGAATGAAAATGAGGAAGAAACCAGAGGACTCCAAATAAACAAGTGGTAAGGCCCTGATATGAATTGTATTTTTTCATACTTTCAGACACTAAAAAACTATTCGTTTCACGTGTTCCTTTTTCTTTGACTTGTAGGGAACTTTTCTAATTCCGCAGCACAACAGCTAACTGATGCGTGACGTCACTTAACCAGAGCCGCAGTCGCTGCGCGGAGATCTCAACCGCTTCTTCCGGCAGGGCGCTCTGCGTGCAACACTGTTTCCCCTCCGCCGGAAACGCGTGTTACTGTTGAGAGGTAAAAACACAGAAGCAATGCTGGACAGCTTTAAAGAAAGAGTTGGCGAGGTTTTACTACCTGGCGATGTTTTTTCGTTTGAATCACCAGGTTCCGAAAGTAATATACAAGATAAAGTTATTTGTGGACCCGGGCTGCGCCGTAATGGAGATGAAATCCTTGTTTGCAAAAGTGGCATTTTGCGTCACAAGGAGCCGAATCTGTACTGGATAGATTCCCAGCAAAAACGGGTAAAGAGTGGATATCCATCACAGCAGTTTTTCTGAGCGTAAAATATAATGTTTGGTATAACGTATGAACAACAGAAGTTCACTTGTTTAATTAATTTTAAATTATTTAAAGAACTTAATCTATATGAAAATGCTTGCAATCGCCCACGTGGTTGATGTCATTCATGTAGACATTTACACAAGAACAAGAACACATCTCGTTTCTGAGACCAGTATTCACCTGCATATATTGTCAACCTGTTTCTGTCTGCAGTGCGCTTCTTCTGCATAGTCACAAACTACTAATAGCAAAGTTCGATTTACTATTACCTAAAACACGTAGTACATCAGACGGGTCTCTGTTAGGTCTTTTAGATTTGTTTAATCATGCTGATATAATTTAATATTTTACCATATAAGAATGTTATTTGTATATGCTGCTTTAACTAAAGATGATTGCCTGAGGTGTAAAATGCTCTCACAGTACTACTGTGGGCTTTTAACGAGAATGTTTACAGCTGACCTATCTGGTTTAAGATTAAAGATAACCAAATGTGCTAGATGGGGCGAATGGTATTTTTAACCTTTCTTATTTTGAAATATTTCTTCTTGAGTTCAAGACTAGATGTGCTTTGGTTCTTCAGTATCTAGCAGACTGTTACCTCCCCTCCAGGCGGCCTCCTGTCAGCTGATTTCTGGTTTGCTGTGTTTCCACTCTTATTCCACACTCTGGCAAATACAGGGCCCTCTGTTGCTGCACCCCAATACTCCATAACCATCTCAGAATAACCAGGGACTCAGCCACACTGGGTGCTTTTAAATCTATCCTTATTTTCTTCAGTTATTTGGTTGTGATTGAGTTTTTTTCTGATTCTGCCGTGTAATGCTAATTAATTTTACTGTGACACGTACTTTTTATATTTTACAAGTGCCTTGAGAATATTGCTCTTAAAGGTACTATTTAAAAGGAAAATGACAAATGTTCCCCTGATTTATGAGGGATACAGCTGCATTCAACAGGAGACCAGACATCCATGAGACATCTTCAGACTGATTTGCCCATAAACAGCAGGCTTTGCCCAGGCAAAACAAGTCTGGTGTATTTTACAGATCTGGCATTGTGAGAATTACCTTTTTTATATTTCAGTACGTCCCGGCGAAGGGGGAGTGTGTCATTGGTATTGTGACAGCAAAGTCCGGCGACGTTTTCAAGGTCGATGTTGGCGGAAGTGAACAAGCTTCTCTGTCCTACCTGGCTTTTGAAGGGGCAACGAAACGAAACAGGCCGAATGTTCAGGTACGTGCTCTGTAGTACGAGTACAGGGGCTGTGTGGTAGACTGGACGTTTCTGGGGAGGGGGCAGACTGTGAGGTTACCATATGTAGATGCACTTAGTGATCAAATTGTTCTGTCCGCCGGAGTGCGGGAGTACTACCGCTACCAAGTTAGCTACTGCGTTAAAATGGTTAAAAAGCTACAGTGCACAGGCTTTAAAATCAAAGAAAAAAGACCCAGAGTAATTTGGTTTTAAACTTAAATTACATTTTATGCTAAAAATGTTCCTACAAAAAAATAAATCATACTGACAGGCTTCTCATGGCAGCTAATCTTTATCTGTGTATTACAAAGAAACTGTTTTATGTAGACCATAAAAGCCATGCAGCGTCATATAAATAAATTGCTTGGTTCCGACATTTAACTGGCAGCGTTTGTCTCCTGCAGTACAATGACAGAGACATAACTGCAGAATTTTGTCAGTGCTACTTAAGCAAAGTTGTAGCTCGTTTCTGTGATTAGGCTATAACTCTTCAAACGGGTTTCAGGAAGTTTTTAGTCATTAGTTTTTCTCAAATATAATAGGTTGTCTAGTAATAGGAAACAAAAGTACAATGTTTGAAGCCATTAGAACAAAAATGTGTTGTGGGTGTTCCGAGTCCCAGATGGGAATCTGAGTAGGCGCTGCAGTGTGGGTGAGGTGGATGCGGGCTCAGAAAGCAGCCGTCACACCATACCTTTTGGGAGCAGCTGGACTACTCCCTACACCACCAATTCTTCTATCGTGACCAGCTCTTGGGCTGTGTAATTCCAGGTTCTTGTCTACTATAGAAGAAGGAAGAAGGAGTAGAATGTCCATGTCTCGCTGTGTCTTATTTCAACCCTAAAGGCAATTTAAAACCCCCAAATCTGTTTTTGTGGATATGCCATTATATATTACCATCACGAGCTACAGTTATCTTAGGTCACACCTTCTGTAGTAGGGGTTCCCAACTTCATTTCAGCTTTGCTCTATTACATAATTAGACCCCTGACTTCAATCTTTTGGTTTCAATTCCTAAGCACGTTGGAGGTTGCCTTTCAACTGCTGTGTTTCGCAAGTAGCATAAGATCTCCAGCTTCCGAGTCGAAAAAGAGAACTTTCTGTAAAGCACTTTTAAAGGCGCTATGTAAGTTGATTCATTCAGTTGTTTGCAATCTAATGAAGCATCATCCTAGCTGAAGTGAAGATCTCAGTTTGAGTGTAATCCAGCCTGTGCGTGGGACCAAAGATGTTTTCGTTCCGAGTTGTAAAGCTATTCTGGAAATGGAGTAAATTTTATTGAAATAAAAAATGTCAATTGAATATATTCTGTTCATATTAAAGATTTGAGTTGTGGTGCATACAAAAATAAAGCTTGAACAGCAGAACGTTATAATGCTATTGTTCATTTTGAAAGCAGGCATCAACTCGGGGAGAGTTAGATCAAGGGTTCGGTAACAGATGTTTAACTTAGACAATTGAAATGTTTTAGGTATTAATAGAATCTTCCTCAAAATAGGTTTGGTAATACATTTTTTCTGTTTGAGCTAAATGTTCAGTATAAAATAGCTGGAGAAGACTATTAGCTTAATTGCCTTAATTTTACATTTACAGTTCTTACATTATAGAAAAGGATGTTTGCTTTTGGATGCTTTGTGAATCACATTATCTAAATCTGTGTTAGCAATTTTGGATATAGCACTTAACAGTTAAACACCACAGGATATAAGTGGAAGCTGAAGGGAAGTGCATGTGAAAACCAGAACAGGATGTGCTTTTTTACAGGGGGGGTGGTGGGAGTCTGGGACAAGGTACCCAGCCATGTTGTTGAACCTGATATCCTGACGTCTTTCAAGAAATGGCCAGATGAGGTTCCTGGATCATTTATACATACATAAAATAGCCTTGTCTTCTTTGCAAATGTTATGCTTAAAAAAGACATCTAGTAACCATTGTCCTGTTGCAATATCCTGATAGGTTGGAGACCTGGTGTATTCGCAGTTTATAATTGCGAATAAAGACATGGAGCCGGAGCTGGTGTGTATTGACAGCTCTGGACGTGCCAATGGAATGGGAGTGTTTGGGACTGGGGGACTTCTCTTCAAGGTGTCTCTGGGACTTGTGCGGAAGTAAGTTGACGTAACGTCAGAAAAAAAGGCTTGTGCCTCCCTTTGGCTGGAACAAACAAGCACCATCTGATATCAGAAAGTGAAAGACCTCATTCTACCTCATACTGCTGTGAACGCAGCCCGCAACTGAACATAGACATTACAGAACATGCCTCTCACCAAGGTCTTGAAGTTTTGGCTTAAAAATAGCAAAGGCCCTTCATAAACAGAAATATCACTGCTTTGGGTGATATAGCTCATAAAGCTACACATTGCGATCAATATAAAAAGGACATTTATAAAATATAAAATATAAAAGTGTCACTTCAAGATCAATCGCAATTTAGAATTGTCCACCACAGTTGTTTGGAGTCCTAAAAAATTCTGTTGTTGGTACAACCAAAATAATTTATTGATTTTCATTACATATAAAACACATGTGCCCTAGATCTTAACATATCACAGTTCTACTAATGTGCAGAAGATATGAGTTTTGTAACAACGGTGTGATGCAGTTCAATCTACCACCTTCATGAATCAACAGTTAAAATCATAATATTCCTCTCTCATTCCTATGGTGTTGGTTATACAGCATTGTGGGACCCTCCAAATGTCTGTATAGTTCTTTAGCACATCCTGGTCCTGGACGTTCTCACACCTGCTGGATTTCATTCTGGCTGAGGTTAAATACCTAATTGAACTAGCAGGCTCGATTGGAAGTCTTGTTTTGCTTACAAGTATGGAATTTTATTTTACTTAGGAAATGTACTAGTTAAAATGAAGCCTTTAACATGTTTAAGAGCTGCAAACAGTCAAAATGTTTAAATTGATCCTATCATTAAGTGAGTAGAGGGTTCAGTTGTGGATTGAAACCCAGCAGGTGAGCAGTCCACCTGGGCCTGGATAAGCAGCCCATGTATGAGTAAACTTTATTCCAGTGAATGTCAGTCTTGAGTGTTCCAGACTCTTCTTATTTTCATTTCACCCAAGCTCTTAATGAATAAAATCAGATTGCTTAAATTGTGGAGATTACCGTTTTTATCCCAATCTTTAACCACTGAAGATCTCAGGCTAAGCTTGTGTGCAAGTATTACGTTTTGGTTCTTGCATGTAATTGTTACACCTTCTGTGCATGGACAGTCACAGCATGCTAGTCTTTAATCACCACCATAGCTTTTTTTTCCCCACAGTCATTGACAGCACATTGCAAATAAAACTGGAAAAAAATGAATGGTACATAAGTAGAGCTCGTTTTTGTAGGCCTTGAAGAATCTGAAAAATATTGAGCATTTTTTGTCTTTCAAAGGGTGTCAAAGTAAACATACATCATCCTGTATTAAATAAAGTATTTCGATTCCTTCAATCACTAAATTGTAAGAGTCCTAAATTTACATGTAATTTCTTCTAAAAGTATTTTAAAGGATTTACTTATTGGTGACATGCATTTGATTACGGGTTTTCTAGCCTTGGTTCTGAATGTTCATGTACACTTTGATGAAAAACTACTGTATAGGTGAAGCACAATATTACTAATCACAAGGCTTACCGTAAACTGACCATTCGTGAAAATATGACTTTTCCAGGGCTCTTTTAGCATTGCCGGACCATTAATTATTATTAATTTTCTGTCTTGACTTGCAGCATGATGCCCTGCATAAATGATATGTGTGTTTGTCTTGTCAACTCCATTTAAACGCTTAGCATGTTATACTTCTCCCTGCTTCAGGGTTGTTGACTTTAGCATGGCAGGTCTCTTGTGTGTATTCAAGGTTACATAACATTATTTGTTTTATAAGGATACTGTTGCGTTTATTGCATTTTTCTATTGTGAGGTGAAACCTCAGATGAGTTCCAGGGAAACAGGTCTGAATGCTAGTGTTAGATGTGATCCCTATTTTTCTTTTTTAACGTTCAAGTCACTTGTGACCGAAAACCCTTTTTCCCCTGCCATGCAGGCTCCTGGTACCGCAGAGTGAAATAGTAAAGGACCTGGAGAAGATTTTCCCCTTCGAAATGGTCGTTGGAATGAACGGGCGGATTTGGGTGAAAGCCCGGAGCACTCAGCAGACTTTAATTGTTGCCAATATCCTGGAGAGCTGCGAAAACATGACAGCACAGCAGAGGAGGACACTCTTTAAGAAGGTGGCACAAAATGCCTCGTAAATCAAGAACCCCGTTACAGCGCACCCAAGCTGGTCTTTGTTGGCAGTGCCAGGAACCGTTTCCACGGTTGCCACCTCCACAGACCTCCCTACAAGAGACCGGTCATTGAGCCAGTACAGCTGGAAGGAGTCTGCTAAACAAACTCAAGCTTTTTGGCTTATTTAACAGCACGGTCTTCACTTTTGTAATTCAAACTTAATGCCGCTTTGTGACCTGGCTTAGTTCCAGGAAGGAGTTTTTTTTTTAGCAGGATGGCAGTTGAGTATAAATCAGTGATTTTTTTTAATTGCATAATTTTGGATTTTGGGAAGGTTACAAGTTTGGTCGCATTTGTCTAGAACTATTTATCATTGTAAGGTTTTTTTTTATGGGGGTTTACAAAACACTTTTAAAATGTAACCTAATAAGGTGTATTCTTGGACTTTCAATTAGAATTTTGATGTTGTTAATTTTGATATTTACTTTTTAATAAAAGCCAGTAATTGGCTCTCCCAACTGGGACAGTTCTTACAATATATGTGAAAGACAGAATAAATCACATTGCTGTAAAAATGCATAAATGCATTCACTGACATGCTTAGAACATGTGTTTCACAATAATATCTAGCTCCTGATGCACCACCTATTAAACAATTTGAAGCAGACCTTAAGCGATATCCTAATTTCAGCATTTTACTTCACCTTAACCGAAGTGGAATAATCCTGATCCTGAAAGGAAAATGCAATTAAAACAGGCACTGATTAGTGAGCAGTCCAATCTACAACAATATGTAGATACAAAAACAATAACACCTTTGTCCTTGAGTACAAAAATAAGACTTATCATTTAAGTGCAGTTATCTAAAATGAGCTGTTTCTGTGATAATAATGACCTTGGAGTGTTTTTTAACTCTGTTGTTACTGACTTTGGGTACCCTAATAATCTGGATTCAAAATTCAGAAACAATCCAAATGCACAATAACTCTGACGTTTTGAAATTTAAAAAAGCTTTTCTCTTAGAATTCAGACAATACAGTCATGCAGCACCTTTATTTCATCTCACATTTGAATTAATCCTTATATGTATGTTACTGCTGTCAGTCTTGGCATCAGACCTCATTTCATTTATGTTCCCAATCAGTTCTTTTACAGTTTCTTTCTGCTGGTAATGATCATTTTCTTAAATTTACCTTTAAAATGCCACATAAATGTTTTTATGAAAAGGGTGGATCTTAAAACTGTGACTTGTGCGATATGCCAATTCTCACTTGTACTGTACAGTATATACGTGTTTGCTGCATGTCATGGTTGAATGTTTCCATATGGCAGTTACCTTGTAGAAGGTCCTCATGCTCTTTCTGGAGTAATGTTGTCTGAAGCGACAGGGCTGTTAACTGAGTGAAGACAATACATAAAACCCATGTTAACCAGACAGTCCGATAAAAAGTGAACCTGAATTAGTAGTTTGTTCAAAGCTTGATTAGCTCTGTTCACGTTCAAGAGGGATTACAGATACCAGCTGTTTGGAATATTTACAGAAAGAGTATGTGACAATTTCTGAACAACTGGAAATTGGATTCTACGTTCTGTGATAGGGCTAAAAATATTCTCATACCATGTATGTCCATTCTGCATTACTCTAGATGCCTGTGTCCTTAAGGCAACATTTATGGTAATGTATCAAGTTGTTCTCGTGTGTTCTCTCTTTCAGAGCAGAATGCAATAAGGTACTGTACATGTGCATTTCTGCTGTGCTATCTGGAGGTGTAATATACTTTTTTTCAAACTTCACTGAACTGTGCTATGCCTCTACATCCTGAAAAATGTGTTCTGAACACTTAGGAGACACAGAAGGAGATGGCCTGTGTAAGGCCTTGCTGGCCCCTGACCAACCTCTAAAACCAGTCCTCACCTTGTGACTTTGGGTTCAAATACAGGCCAGTTCGCATGTGAACTCAGTGTCGGTTTTCATTTTTAGCTACTTCCCTAGCAGATATTTGTACACATCACTAAAAAGGGAACTCCAAATTGATTGAGTGTTTCTTCAGAGACATATTTTGGAGTGTTGGAGGAACTAACACACTTAGTCTGTCAACTAAGGATGACAGACTAAGACACATGGATAGTCAACCTCTGACTTATGTTTTCATCTAACTGATGTCCACAGACACCTGGGTTCCAAGAGGAAATGTCAGCGGGTGCTCAGTAAAATTCAGAATTATGTCTCATGTATTCCAGTTATTAAATGCTCTCAATCACAGCTTTTAAGGCAATCTTACTCTTTTAAATGCACTGTGGGAGTTAACTACATGGGGGAGTCCCTGAAAGGCTACTGGTCCTGCACCAACAACTTCAAATGTCCAGTGTTACAGCCAACAGCATTCGACCTCTGATATTTCCTGTCTTTTTCCTGTATTGATGCTGATCATGACTCACAGCCACAAAAGGAGCTGATTGAAATGTCCAATACAAAAATGTGCAAATCAAATTTGCATTGGTTTCCCTATCAGAGCTCTGAATTTGCACAAGACGTACCTATGAGTGAGCTCTTCCATTTTGAAAGCCGTAAAAAGCAGATAAATGTGGAGAATGATCTGATTAGCACTAACAAGAAAGACCACATACTGTTGAGTACAGCAGGTTACACCAGCCCCACCCCTCCCAGAGTGGAGTTTTACTAGACTTCATTTTTTTTATTGTCCATCATTAAACTGCTCTGCAATTTATAGCCTGTGCTTGAAAAGTTGCATCACAGAAGTGTGTTAAAATATGTGTAAATATAAAAGTGTGGCTTCTTTCATTGAGTGTTGTTTGCTTAGTCAGAGTGAAATCATTTAGGGTTCTGGGGATTAAAATGTTTAGGAGCCCCTGACATAAGTAGCACCCATCAGAAATTCTTATTTGAGGTATTGAAAGATATAAATCAAAGCAGAGTTTGATAATAAAACAAATATCTTCGAACATCCTTCAGCATGTACAGTTTTGAGGTCTACAATGTGAGGTCCGTTGCAGATTCTTTCTTTGCGGAATCAGGCCTTCAAGACCATCAACAATCCTGGAACTTCGGATGGCCAGAACTGCAATCTTCCTATTTAACAGAAATTCCTCTGTAGAAGATTTAGGGTTATTACCCTTCTGGAATGCAAGGTCACATATGAAAGTGCACACCTTCTTGATGTTATGCAGCCTTCAGTGGTCCTTCTGTAAGGTAAAGCTGCCCATGTGCCGTCTCAGAACTTCGTCTATGAACAACACTGTCTCGGGATCTTGTAATATAAGATAAGCCTGAAAAGGCTTTATTATTTTTAGAAATATTTAAGGCTCTGATACTGAGACACACAGACATGCTTTTGTGAAGTTCACAGATATCTAACACAATGTAAGCTTCCCAGCACAGCCTGACAGAAGACTTGGCATTGTGGATATGGCAAGTCTCTAAGTGATGTCACCACAAACCAGCAGGCACCCAGCATGCCTCAGGAGTTGCCATGGCACCAAAGGCCTTGGCTGACGCATCCTAACCCTGCTCTAGTGGCACTTAGCTAATTGCTCTATCTCAGGGAATCCTACACACAGTCAGCTAGAGAGATGACCCAGGTTTGAACTAGTAACATCTAGGCAACAGAGCATTTTTACTCCTTAGACCAAGAAGCAAGGTTAGTCTTCTTGAATTTACCTAATGTCTACTGGATTTCCCTAGTCGAACCTGACCCATAACACCATACTTTGTATAGGAGGTTTGTACAGGCTACATGCACCTTGTGTGGCTACCAGAATTCTAGTTTCTAAACAATTTATTTGAAAACAATATTTTTGGCATATCTGCTGTATGATGTAACAGTAAACAGCTTTACAGTATTAATTTCCTTTTAGGAAGAGCCATATTCAAGTAACGTCAGATTTGTATTTGCTTAGAAGAAAACAACAGTAAAATATCAAACGAGGACTATTTTAACATTTCCTGTAGGAATCTGAATCCTTGTATTTTGTTCTATAAAAGTCTGAGCTGGGAAAAAAAACATGGGAAAGGATTCTATGTGAACATGGCTCATGGAGTCTTTATAATTTTGTATCAAAGCTATGAATACAGAAATAGTGACCAATCTTAAAAATGAAGACCGCCTACCGACTTGTTCTTTGAGTGAATGGCCTCTTTAAGAGTTGCAACCTCCTCTCTCAGTGCAACAAGTTGTTCTCGCAGGGCACTTTCCTGGATCTTCCTGTTCTCCCCTCTCAGGGAGGTCAGACGTGTTTCGTTGGTCTTAATAATATCTATGCAGTTCTGAAATTAAGTCGATTGATAACACATGCTAAACAACTGCAACATCCTTCCCTGCATTGATCTTCCATCTGTTCAGTTTCCTCCTTCCTTTTTGCATTCTTTCTCCCCAACAGCAAATCATGCATTTCAACCTGGTGTTCAAATAGCCTGACCTGTCTGTCCGAGTGGTTAATGTTGTTACTATGGAACCTGTCTGTGACTTCATGTGTTTGATACATGCGAACACCAAGGTGCTACCAAATTTACAGCAGCAGTAAAAGTTTAACAAATTCTGTTATTAAAGTTTTTTTTACACATTTACCAGTTTCACACAAAAGTGGCCTAAGCAATAATATATAAAATAGCCATCACTAGAATAGTTTCATGTTAAAATATCGCTGATGTATTCAAACAAAGGGACTGAGCATGCCTACTAAAACCCGGAAAAATTCACAAACATTTCTACATTGCTAAATACTTGCACACATGCTGCCATATAGGTTCTGTTTTAAATTTTCATATTAAACTCTCCAGATGAATATATTCTATTTAGGTTGAGTGGTAATGAGGAGCAGAAGTGTGAAGTCTCCACCAGATAAATCTAACCTTCAGAAGTCTTGTTCGGTTCACCCATTTTACAGCATCCATGTCTTCTGGCTTGTCCGAGTCTTCAGAGAGTACCTGACAGGCCTTCCTGAGGTGTTGCAGTTCAATTACTAGGGCAGTAATCTACTCAGAAAAATATAAAACACATATCGTCTTTGAAGATGTACTGGACATATTAATAGAAATATCAATATAGGAAATTAAGTGATTTTTCTATCAGAGTCAAAAACCAACGGAGCAATACACTATAATGCTGTATACCCTCCTCAGGACTAGTTTCAGATCCAAACCTGATTGAGGCTGGACAGAATAAGGCAGAGAAAACAATGTGCTTCCTTGAAGCGAGTTTGTTGGAATTCTATGCAAGCTTATTAACGCCACAGAGAAAAAAAAATATGTTGTGTGTTTAAACAAGAGTGTAGTGTTTAAGTGAGAAAGTTATTGCGTTTATACATGAAGAATAGCATAGTTTCGAAAGCTGTGTCATTTCTACTTTGCACAGAACTGGCAAAAACAACACAGGTTGAATCCAGGAATGCTCACTGACATGATGTTGTACTTCATGTATACAAAAAACATGCTCCTGTAGATTATTTTTATTTCTATAAAGAGGAGTGCAATGATAGTCTTCTGTTGTTTAATTCAATGCTACTTTGCATGGGACAATATTACAGAATATGTAATACAAGATATTAATATAGTAAGCAATACTGTTCACAAATTAACTATTGCTTTTAAACGCAATGCTATCTAGTACAAATGCAATAATTTTCTTGTTTAAACACAATAATATCTTGTATAAATGCAATACGTTTCTTAAATGCAACAAAACATTCTCTGTGGCGCTAATAAGCTTCTGTACCTTTCTTGTGTTCTTATGTTATGACTTGTTTTACTAATTCCTCTGTCCTTTTTATATATAATTTTATGATCTGGCAGGTGTGCCTCTCCTGCAATTACCTGTTTGATAATCAGTTGTTCATCTTCTGTCTGGAAGCAGTGGTCATCCAGAAAAATATTAGTTTCATTCGCCCATTTTTCACAATCCTGAAAACAACCAAAAACATGCCATAGTGAAATCAAAGTATAAGCCAAGAAAGGAAAAAAAATATTCTACACATACAGGTAACTGTGATACGCCTTTGAATCACCAAAGGAAACAAAATGAAAAATAAAATATTTAATTTGGTTTATTTTGATACCAGTTGCACAAGCAGTTGAATTCAAGCCCAGTGAGATTTTGCTAATAGCATTTTTAACACTCACAGAACAGAGAAAGACATGAAATATCAAGGATCTGGAGGTTATTGAAGTGACTGCAGCTCTTAAAACTAAAATTTCTACACAGATTTCTATGCAGTTTCTATGCGATGGGAAATGTGTTTGTTTTCCTGCAGTGGGTCCATGGAACACTGTCCAATTGCTGTATTTGCTGATTTTTTGGGATTATAGAGGAGTCTTGCTTGGGGACACCATTCATGCTGCCTTGAGTCCTAATATACAGTACAACGTGTTCTAGGCCTGTTTACTGTCCAGTGGCTGGTATTGCTGCCTCACAGTGCTGGAGCCCTGGGTTCAGTTCTGGACCTGGGGTGCTATCTGCATGGAGATCTCCCCATATTTGCGTGTGTTTCCTCTGGATGCTCCAGTTCCCACCCACACACCAAAGACATACTGGTAGGTACGTCTGGGAAAACTAGCCTGGTGTGAGTATGTGCATGTCTGTGTGTTCCCTCCGATTGACTGGTGTACAGACCAGGGTGTACCCTGCCTTGTGCCCACTGCTTGCCAGGATAGGCTCTGGCTCCCCTGCAACCCAGGATGAAGTGATTAGAAAATGGAGGGATGGGTAAGGGATGTATTGTGTTAAGGACTACACAATGGCGGTTTCAGCTGCATGGAGTTTGCTTTCTTCTCCGTGTGGGTTTCTATCCAGTGCTCCGGTTCCCTCCCACATTTGAAAACATGCACAGGGCTCACTGACAACAGCCCTCCATGTGCGGGTGTGAGTGAATACATGTGTGTCCCATCTATCCCATCTATGTTTTATAGAGGACTATGGGATGCCTAGGCCAAAATGGTGCTAAATACAAAAAATTGTATTGTTGTACTGTTGTACAGAAATCTTGTAATCTTAATACTTACATATATTTACCTGTCATTTGTACATACTCATATACAGTAACTTGCTTATAAGGTCTTTAGTCCAGTTCCCCATGTGCAGGTGTGAATACATGTGTCCCATCCAAAGTGTATCCTGCAGGCTCTGTGCCTGCTTAGTCTAGCTCACTGCAACCTGCTATGAAAAAGCAGTCCGTGGAAATGGACAGACTGCATTATGTTGATTCAAATAAGCTACAGTATAACAAAAGCTATACCAAGGGAGGGATGACAACAGGCAAGTTCAATCAACCTCAGCCATCGGTTGTTTATAATCAATGAGGAAATCCTAATTTCTTCTCTTAAACATGATACATACTAGACATTACCCCCTTCTTTCCCTGGCGTATGTCTTGTACATCCCTCCTCCACCCCTGCAGCTGCACCTAGGCTACTCCTCACTCTGCATGGGGGTCCCAGCCTCCCCGTCCTGTGGCCAGGAGGTTAGACCTCAGCCAAGCAGGTAAAACCACACTATTATTACTCAACATACTCAATAAACCTTTTAATATTCCTAATTCTTAACTGTTGTCACTCCTAGAGAAATGTGAATTTGATGTAAACTGTGAAAGACTGGATTCATTAGCACAGGTTTCATTAACACGGTCACAGACTTGGCCAGTAGTTCAGGAAAATGTCAACAGAAAGGAAACCGAGCTGCAGGGGAGGTCTGGCGGGGCCAAGAGAGGCCGGGGTGTCGTGCAGAGGGGAGAACAGCACAATAGCAAGACAGACTGAGGCAACATGCCAATGTGCAACAAAACTGACCCTCTTTACGAGACGGGGGATAAAAACTGGCTAAATTCCCCCTGCGCGAAAGTGAACAGTGCTCCGTGGCTCAGCTCCATGGACTGGAGCAGAGAAGAGAAATGAACTATGAAATGATCAGGGAGTTAGAGGGGGTAGATTTCTGCAAATTTCTGCAAATCTGGAAAAGAAGCAGCTTTACAGGTAGCAATATTCTAGTTCAAGAGCTGTCATCTCCAGTACTCCAGTCCTTAAAACAGAGCTCAGTCACTTTCCCAGTTAAATTCAATATCGAGTCACCGATTTAACGTTTTCTTACCAGCAGAGGATGGTCCTGAAAAAGTGCCGGGGTAGAGCCTGTCAGGACTAGAGCAGCCCTGTCCTGCTTTAGTGACTCCATTTTAGAAAAATAAATGATTATGATTATTGATAGGAGTGAAGCAGAAAAGATTTTAAAAAGATTTCACTTTTGACTGAAGCAACTTTGAATCTTTCAAACTCATAGCGATTTTTGGACATAAAGTCATTTTAATACTTTTTTTCAGAATTTGGAAGAATATTAGCACCGGTATATCAATTCAAATATGCAATCTGTAGGCTAAGCACCCAAGGCACAGCGATGCCCGTCTCAAAGCAGGATGCACACGGCCATGAGACAATCTTGTGCAAAACTCTGTTTCTCTTGCAGCTCAAGAAACAAGCTTGCAAGCTCATGGGATGTGTGTCTTGCTCTACTATCACTAAACAAATCTGTTTTTGTCTTATTGGTTAATGTGGTGAGATGCTTTTTTCCCTTCGCTACAGATCAAAAATAAAACAAAATGTTTAAATGCAGGAGTTGGAACATCCACTGTGTTAATTCTGCACGGCCCTCCCTCTCTGCACTGACAGATGTCTCTCCCCTTGTGCTCAGTCCAAGGTGCTGACTGAGTGAAAACCAAACATTGCATCCAGGACACGGAAATAAATGTCTGTACTATGTTTGCTGTGAAGCCAGAGGAGAGAAGAACACTTTATGGCCAGCTACCAGATGTGTGATTAAAGAGATGTTATAAACAATTAAAATTATGGTATTCTGTAGAAAAACATAATACAATTATAAATTATATTGGATTTTTATGTAATATTTCAGATTGCACGTTCTGGGGTTGTGTAAGCAGAGACTGCACTGTGTATAAATTGAGCAGGTTTTAAGGTGTTGGGGTTGCCCAGCAAACATGGATTATTATATCAAACCCGCACCTGGCTGAGACTTAGTGCATCTTCCTCTTGGAATTCAAGATGAACCGGCGGCCTGAAAGAGATTTACTGACATGATAACCACACAGTCAAGGGGTCAAGCTCAGTTCGTACTTGTGCATTGATTTTCTTGGTGAACACCATCTCAAAGGGCTTTATGTGTGTAAAGCTGCTGTTGCACTGCAATTTCCCTCACGGGATCAATAAAGTATCTATCTATCAATCTATCTATCTATCTATCTATCAAGTCATGTTAGAGCATGCCAGGGCACTGCAAAGTGCAGCCCCATAGCCAGTTTGCAAAATATAAATAGGACAACCTCACAATCCACAGGCATGGGCAACAATCTAACATGCAGTAAACCACACGTCTTCCTTTATCAGAACATACACCACACTGGTTATAATAAAGGCCACTGGTAAACATAAAGCCAGAGTAACTGCATCAAACACAATGAGTTAGAATTACCAAAGGATCTGGATTTTTTCTAAGAAATGGGAGTTTGCAAAATTAAGCAATTGCAATGTGACATCCAGAGGAACTCTGAGGTGTTTCTTAGTTCACAAGTGTAGCATACCATAAAAGAAAGTTTTTTTTTTTAAGTAAGCCAGGGTTATAGTAGAATAAAACTAAAGGTGAGAAACAGTACAAAAAAAATCAACATGTTAAACTTTCATACAAGCACAAGAACCTTTCATAAGAACTTTTACTGACGAGAGGAGGCCATTTAGTCCGTCAAGGTCTTCTGGAAATCAGTTATTTATTGAACCAATGATCTCGTCCAGCTGTTTCTTGAAAACAACATGGCTGGGTAGCCTGTTCCACCCTTGATGTACAGTAGATACAAAATGATAACTGTGATAAGCAGTCCTGGATGTCAATAAAATGAGTACTTATGGTAACTATTTTGCAATAAAGGGAGTTTTTTTCCTCGCTGAATGAACTGCACATCTTTTACAATAATATTTAAAAAACTTACCCAGGATAGCTTTCTGATTTCACTGCATCTAAGACCATCTGTTTCAGTCTGAACTGTGAGGATGCCTGAAACAGCAGCAGAAATTTTCGTTACTGTTTTACATTATCCAGCGGAACCTCAGTACCTTTTCCATACTGTACCAGCAGAAAAAAAGCTTAATGCTTTCACCACATAGACAGGGTTGTATGAAGAACTGAGGATTGTGACAATCTAGCTGGTAGTGTTACTGTTTTCAATAGATTTTTTCTTTTCTCCAGAAACCTTTGGCCAATTGTAGAGTCAGGGCCAGTGAATTTAATCCTTCATAATAAGGAAATGTGACATCATTTTCTTGGCAGAAAATTTCAGTCGTAAGGCAGAAATATTAAAAGTGCAGATTCAGCCAGACTTAAATTGCACAGGAAAATGGGCAGGAGAAGGTAAAAAAACATGAAGCCACACTGATTTCAACTGGTTCTTCCAAAACAGGATATACTGAGAAAAAACTGGAAAAGGGCTTTTAAGCAGAGGACTTCAATCAGAAAAAAAGACAAACAAGAAAGAGATTCTCTTACACAATTTCAAGAGAACTCTTGTAAGACAAGACAATGTATCTCTGCATCTGCTTTTAAACAAATATTGTCCAGTTGGTACTTTTCCTACCGTTTCATCCATTTAGAATGACAAAAAGTAGCATTATGAAATATCACATAGGAAACATTTTTGACAATTTGGCAAATTAAAACAATCACTGTAAGGAAATAAAATGTCAAAAAGTAAGGTTAATAGGGATAGATTGCGGCTGTCTGAATTGGCCGTATCCACAGAAATGTCAAATTAAGAAACACCGAACAGCTACAGCATGCAAGCTTTTGGCCACATCAGTTTGAATTATTATTTCCCCTAACTGGCTTCCAAACAAATACATCTGTGGTTTTGAGGTAATTCAAACCTTGAATGTATTGTACATATCATTACATATTGTTAGTTGATACGATATTTTCATCCACTGCCAGGTCTAGTGAAACTGCAACACCTCTTACCAATTGGGAAAGGAACTCTCTGTGGTTTTTAAGTATTCCAATCATTTCTCCCCAGTCAGCACTTTCGATAATTCTCCTTTCATGCTGCTCAAGAAACCTCAGGAATAAAGACAGAGCATAGTATTTGGTTAAATGATTACCCAAAGAAACATTCTCTACTGGAAAATGAAATCAGTTCAGCAATTGAAAAAATAAGAGAGCATGGGTCCAGGTAAGCATTAGAATTAGAAACAAAACTATGGCGACAAGAGTTAAATATATGTATGTGTTTGAGTTTAAAATGGTGTCCCTTCTAGGCAGCACAATGGTGCAGTGGTAAGCATGGCTGCCCTGCAGCACTGGGGCCCTGTGCTGCATCAATTCCTGAGGTGCTGTCTGCATGGAGTTTGTTCTCCCTGTGTTCACATGAGTCTCCTCCGGGTGCTTTGGTTTCCTCCCACAGTCCAAAAAACATACTGGTAGGCCTACTGGCTTTTGTGAAAAGTGCCCCTGGTGTGAGTGTGTGCGAGTCTGTGCCCTGCGATGGACTGGCCCCCTGTCCAGGGTGTACCCTGCCTTGTGCCCACTGCTTGCCAGGATAGGCTCTGGCTCCCCTGCTGCCCAGAACTGGATGAAGTGATTAGAAAATGGAGGGATGGGTGAGGGATGTATTACGTTTAGGACTGCACAGTGGTGGTTTCAGTTGCGTGGTGTTTGCTTTCTTCTCTGTGTGGGTTTCTATCCAGTGCTCCGGTTCCCTCCCACATTTGAAAACATGCACAGGGCTCACTGACAACAGCCCTCCATGTGCGGGTGTGAGTGAATACATGTGTGTCCCATCTATCCCATCTATGTTTTATAGAGGACTATGGGATGCCTAGGCCAAAATGGTGCTAAATACAAAAAATTGTATTGTTGTACTGTTGTACAGAAATCTTGTAATCTTAATACTTACATATATTTACCTGTCATTTGTACATACTCATATACAGTAACTTGCTTATAAGGTCTTTAGTCTTTTAACTTGCTTGTATAATCTCTGCATCTTTTTGCTGTACATCAGCTGAATGTCCTAATGAAAAGGCCTTTCAAAGCCTGCAATAATTAGATGCTGTGCATATCAAATTAATATTTCAGCTGATGGTTTTTCGGCACCCTTTGCAATTGCTGTTAACAGATGACATCAGTGCCTGTGAGAGATAGAGAGAGTTTCTTCCTGCTTCTCAGGTTCAGGTTGCCAAACCAGCAGATCTGAGTAAAAGTTAGAACCAATTCAAGGAAGTACCAGGAGAACAAAATCAACAATGAGTCATCGACCTTAACAAAACTTAAGCTTCCGTAAGAAAAAAAGACACCATGGACCTTTTCTGAGGATCAGGTTAGTACAGGCTTCAAAATTAAGCTTGGAGTCCATTACAGTCCCCAAGTACTTGTATAGTTCTACTCGCTCCACTGAATCTCCCCCCATGTAGGTTAGGGTGGGTAGGGGTGTTTTTCCTGAAGTCAATTATCATGTCTTTAGTCTAGGAAACATTTAGCTTGAGGGGGTTTTGTTCACACATGGTGGCAAACTCATTAACGACTGGTACATGGCTCCACTCGTTTGCTTGTAGCTGGCCAGCTACAGAGGTGTCAGCAAATGAAGGGACTTACAGCTCCAGTTTCAGCTTCAGACTTGTCAGCTGCTCTGTAATCTTCCTCAAACCTTCAAATGCCTCTAGGAGTTTACTGGTCTTAAGAAAACAAAAATGAAACATCTTGCATTACTGTTGTAGGCTGAAATAGTCGATCAGGTATTTTTTAAAGATGAAACGTCTTCTTTATGGATTTCCAAGGCTGTAAGTACAGTCAAATTTTCTGTCTGGGGCTTATGCTCAAAGTGCAACTCAGCAGTGAAAAAGGAATAAATACCCTTTGTCACTGCTGATCCCAGAGGAATGCAAGATCATCAACACAAAACCCATACGTCACTAGGGCCCCTTAATAAAACGTCTGGAAAAACAGAAGAGCCTGTGGCTTTATCATTGCAGTGAATGATTTACAGTCTTGCCTCATACAGGGTATCAAATAACAGTTCCAGGGAACTAACATGGAAGTCCACCTTTAAAAGAAGCCATAGCCATAGAGCTTTCCGTCCTCTTTCATTCTACAAAATGAAATGCTTTATTAACCTAGCACACCCATTAACCTCATGATCAAAATGCTTCCATTTCAAAGTCTGTTCAGTTGCGGAATTTCATTATTGCTTTGGGGTTTTCTTTACGACACGCAGAAATTGCGTCAAGCTGTTACCATAAGCACCTCCTTTTCCCGCCGCAGCTCAGTGGGCAGCGGAGGTGTAGTAGCGGTAACAGTGCCTGCAGGTCTCTCCGTCCTGCGCTCTTCCTTCAGGAGCCCTAATTGAGCTCTCACGTGTCTCAGCTCTCTCTGCACCCGCTCACAATCGCAGCATGCTTTCGTCTCTCGCTCCCCGGCTCCGCTAAATGATTCACAGATGTGGGGAAAAAAAAAACCTTGAAACAATCCTCTGGCCACTGCCAGAAGTAAGATTCTATAACGGCTTTCTCATGATTGGTTTTGACTCTAAACATTGTAATGAAACAGGAAGCAAGGAAGAGTTAAACCTATCCAAAGTAGGAAAGGTCTGCTGTAGGTGAATGAAAAAAAGCGAACCTTTTCGGGAAAATAAAATATTCCACATGAAAAAAACAGTAAGATACCTGTTTATTTCATGTTTGGAGTCCCAGTTCCCACTTTGGGGAGATTTATTCATCCTCAGCTGCTCCAGAAGCTGAACTTTCTGACGGATCAGCTGTTCTCTCTCAGACTCCAGTGCCCTGATCCTGACAGCGGAGATGTTCCGCTCGCTTTCTAGTTGAGCAATCTGCTTCTCAGATGACATCATCTTTTGTCGCAGCAATGTTAAGTTGTGTAAGATGTTTTCGTTGACCTAGATGAAATAATGTTAGAAACTCTTAAACGTTTTACCAGAAAATTGGCCTTTTTTTGTCACTCCAAAAACCTAAGAAGTAACAAAAACACAAAATTAAAAGCAACAGAGATTTCTGGAACTCTGATGACATTCGTTGGTCTGGTTATATTGTTTAGGACGCAATTCTGTTTTTGTTTTTGTCTTACCATTTCTCTTCTGAGCTTAAGACCATTTCCTCAGCAGTGAGAAGGGAGAAAAGCAGGGAGAGGGGTGTGGGCCTGTCTTTTCCACATCAGAAGAGACCTTAGGTTGCGGCCTGTGTAACAAATACGCCCCTGCGTATACCAGGGATCTCAGCCGCCCAGGCTGAGGGAGGTCTCCTTTAGCTCAGCCGGCCAGAGACCTGGGTTCGCGCCCAGGCAGTGAAGGACGAACTGGCAGGGCAGGAGCGGCAAGGAAACCCCAAGAACCATTACACCTGTCATAAGGCAGATGTCCCATCTTTACATCTGTGCATTGAATCCAGCACAGGAGAAGTCCATATCAGCTTTCTGGAGTCAAGGCTTGCCTACTGCCTTGTCTACTTAAGAGATGCAGAAAATGTCTTCTTAAGGTCTGAGGAGGTGGAAGTCAGTAGGTGCCAGGAAAGGGCTGAGGCGAGGGAGCTCCTGTATCTCTCACCTGTAACACTACGGGTGCTTGTACAGTAGGGCGTGGATGGACTGGCATTATTGTGCAGCAAGATGGCTCTCTGACACAGACGGCAGAGGACACAGCCCTTTCTGATCAGACCTGTGAACACCTGCAAGAGCTCTGGCTTTACTAAAAACATCAACAGACCAGGTTTTGCATAGAGCACAGGCAAATGTCTGGAATGATGTCAGGTCAGTGTTAATGCAGTATGGCCAGGGTTTCAACATAGTAGATGTTCCTCTTGTTGACGTGAATTGCAGGTGTAAGGAATTTTGGGGTACAATCTGTTTTGTGTGCAGGGGCATACTGGGGGCAGAATAAATGACACTATACTACTGGTGTCTGTTTAATGAAAATAAAGGAAAATAAAGCTATATGTAGGCTTTGTACTGAGAAAAAAGATTAGAAGAAGGAAAGAATTACCTGTCTACTGCTTTTGAGTTCTGTGTCTGTCTGGAGCTTTTCCTTCTCCAGTGCATGCTGCTGGAATCGCGCCTGGAAGAGATCTGACTGAAGATTTGACACCTCAGACTCCAGTGTCTCTCTGCTTTTCTCTGTCATCTTCAGGTGTGATGAAAGATCCTGGACAGACTGTTCAAGATTGCATTTTTCCTAGAGAGTAAAACTGACATACAGTACCTAGGAAAAGTATTCACACCCTTGCATATTTTCACAATTCTCAGTAAGGTCCCTCAGATACTGTAGTTAGGAAATTGCACCAAGTGAGTGTTCAAAGCTGGTAAAGACTTGCAACTGTACTTGAAAGCAATCTGCAGGAGTTACAGCTGTCTTTGTCAATAGGTTTGCACACTTGTTTTCACACTAGGATAGTGCAAGTTTTGCCTTTCCCTATTGGAAAATAAAGATAAATAAATAAAAGCTACATTTATTAAAGAAAGAAAGTACAATGTTTTTAAAAATGTTTTTTTTTCTTTTTGGTATTTTTTTTAAATTAATATCATGAATATGATTTTATACAAACTGTTAAAAACATTGTGTTCACCACTATTGTGCAACAAGTATTTTTTTACTGTTGCCACAGCACTTAATGTCTCAATAAATGTAGGTCCCAACTTTTGCTTTTCTTCTAAGATGACTTCACATACTTTCTCTTCTTAGCCATCGGTCCACACTTCGCCACATTATTCCTTATACTCTCACGATTCTTCACAATAGTGTTCGATGTAGAAATCGGGATATTCAGCCGTTTTTTTTTACGTTTTTTCACGTTCACACGTGAGAATCCACCTCACATAATATAGATACTTTTGGTTTGAGGGAAATGGTCTTCCTTTCATTCTTCCACTCCATGTTAGGCTTTAAAACACATATTCGATTAAAAAAACTCACAACGCACACAAAGACAACCATACAGCACAAACACTGAAACAGTAATGGCAGACGGCTGACAGCCGAGGAGGCGTTGTTTTGGTTGGGACTGGAAGAAAAATTACATACATAACGGGAAAACGTAAATACCGGTAAAGTAAATACAGGGTTCGACAGTATATCTATTAGGAATTGTGGTAATATTGTAATCTACATAATAAGCAAATCATGTTACCTTCAACAGGTGACTGTTTTCCAAAGATAACACAATCATCTCTGATGTCCTCTTTAGGTTCTCCCCAAGCGAGTCTTGATCGATGGTGACTTGTGTTTTCTCCTAACAAAGAGTGTCAAAAAGGCATTGAGGAAATGGGAGGAACTGCTTATTGATTTATTACGTTTTTAATTCTCTGGTTGAAAGTGTTTAGCTCTGTGTCTCAGGCCCTGATCTTTGTTAACTTTGGCATTGAAGACATCTCTCAAGTGTAGAAAGGCTGATCATGTTGAAAACACAGACCTAGGGCCTCAATGGCTGAATCTTTAAAATAATATGAGCCAGGGCCTCAATGCCCGTTAAGTCAAGAAAGGGGGCAACAGATTAGAGATTTCCTGTCATGTCAGAGCCTCCTAGTTACACAAACCCAAAGTATTTACCTAGCACGATCATGTTCCTTTTATACGTAGACAAGAGCATCACATTAAAACTCTCATATATAGGCTTCTACCACATGAAATACACAAGGATACCCACTGGACTTTAGCCACGTTTGTTGTGATGGTAACTATGAAGTCATCTGGCAGCCAATATGCGACTGTGGAATCCTATTCAGAATTTCCTATGCTTGCCCTTAACAGGGAAAAGGACAAAGAGGATGTTCTCACCCTAGGCGGTTTAGGTCTCTCTCAATACCCAGCCAGCTCTAGGCCACTAACAAAATCCATCTAAAGTAATTCTAAAGTAACTCTGAAGAATCTCTGATCCAAAGTCAGTGTGCTTGCAGAAGCAAAAGTGTGCAACACTGAGTCAGTAGTCATACGTTAATTGTATTTGTAATGATTGATTTGCATTATTCAGTGCAGTTCGTTCCAAATGATATAAAATTGATGACAAGACCTCATTGTCTACAGGTAGTGCAGTGTGGTTGACATGCAGGTTGCCATTATAAAGGAAGTGTTTATACCCTTTGCAACTCCTATTTACAGTATGTCCTCTCTGTATGGCACTAAATTCTACCTTGCTCTTTGTTTCTGTTTTTTGAGTGCCTAGATGACTACTTGGCAGGAGAATTGACAGTTTGACAAAATGTAGGTCTGAAAAAATACCTCTCTACCCTGAGAGGAGGAGAGCAGTGTTGTATTAAGATCTCAGACCTACCATATAAAGCATCAGAGTTCCCACCCCTGGGACATTTCCTGTTTTTTAACTGAGAGAAGTCGGCTCGGCTAGACTCTTTCTCCTGTACTAGAGTATACCGCAAATACTAGAAGAAATTAACTTACATACGAACCAAGAAAATATATATACAATATGTTATAAAAATAGAAGAGTTGTTTTAGAAAATATATTGATATGGACAATAAAGTACAAGAAAGAGAATCATGTTGCAATATAATTTAGTCTTTTATTAGATTTGCCAATTAGACTAAATAAATAATTAGATTTAACACTTTTTTAGAATGGTCTATAGGTATAAACCTCTCCATGTGGACAGTGGCAGGTTTTAAATATCTAGAATAATTAAAACTGTTCTTTTGGGGTTGATGATTCCTAAACATGAATGCAGAAACATTTCTAATTATCCAGTGGCAAAGTAAAAAGAACGTGGCTGGATGGATATACAGTATGTGGTATATCAGCTGAAAGAAACTATGAACATGATCACATTTTACATTTAAATCTAATTGGAAATTATGGATGGATGGAAATTTGTATAGTTGCCTTAACTCTAAAGCCTTCTTAAATCATCACAGAAGAAAGTACGTAAATCATGTAATTGACATCTTGTTGTCATTGATTACTTGAGTGTTTTAAATTTAAAAAGGCTATTTGTAGACAATAATGATGATGAAACCTGTATGTCTGAGAAATGTGTGACTTCTTCCATTTCAATTTGTGACATTGAAAAATGTATAGAAAGTAAACTTTGAGAAGAAATTATTTCACACAAAGCCCGAGTGAGCTGGTTGTGAATTCTGGAAGTATACATACTGAAGCATTTGAATTATAGAAGTGAAGGCACATAAAATAATTTTAATCCAACGGTACTCACCTGTTCTGGTTTGGTGGAAAATATGACTGGTGTACTACAGATGAGTCTTGACTGGATGACTTCATCTAGCTTGCTCTTGATGATGTGAAGCTCTGATTGCAGTTGTAGAACTCTGTTGAAATTAAAATGTTGGTTACCATTTGGTTAAAACAAGCCAACATCTAAAAATATTCTGGTTTTAGATATAGGTGCCACTTTTGCTTATGTAGGTAACATTAAATGTTTGTGAGAACCAGTGATCTGATGACAAATCCATCCACACGTTTTCTAACCACTTCATTCAAATTCATTCAGGGTCGGCTGTCAGGGAGCCAGATCCTGTCCCAGCAAGGAACGTGTACAAGGCAGTAAACACCCTGGACTGGACACCAGACAAACCTCTCGCACCAGGGACAATTAACATACCAGTATGTCTTTGGACTGTGGGAGGAAATCAGAGTACCTGAAGGAAACCCACGTGAACACGGGGTGAACATACAAACTCCACACAGAGAGCACCCTAGGTCCAGAATTGAACTCAGGACCCCAGTGAACTCAGTGTTGAGAATTGAACTCAGTGCTGTGAGGCAGCAAATGTTTCAGTTAATTGCAATGAAACTACTGGACAGATCATTCAGATGTGAATGATAGTCCTAAAATTGCAAGAGATGATTCCTTCATTTAACCAGAACATTCTGAGGATATAACTGAACCATCCATTTTTCTATAAAATCATCAAATCCCAGTCTATTCTTTACAGCTTTCTGTCTCCCTGCTTATGGAGTTACCAGACATATTTACTTCATCATAGTGCAATAACTGCTCTCTTTTCGGTGACATTATGAAAGGCAGGCTGGAGGCAGCTGTCAGGTTCACTGACTGTTTTACGGGACTAGATACCTTTAAGGTTCCTGGTACAGCGATCTCCTCCACCTTGAAATGGGAGACCAATTTACACTCTACTGTACACCAGATAGTGAAGAAAGCCCATCAGAGACTCTCTTTCCTTAGGCAGCTCTGAAAGTTTGGTTTGTGTCGGGAAGCCATGATCCATTTTTACAGGACAGCAACTGAGAGTGTATTAACTGACTTAAATTGAACCAAGCCACTCAGGAGAGGAAACAACTGGGGACAGTGATCCACACTGCTTCTAAGATAATTAGCCATTTGTCCACATATGCAACCTAAGACCTCTGAAAATTATCAGTGACCAGTCCCACCCTTAGTTCCCCTGTTTGAGCTCCTTTCTTCGAGAAGAAGCCTAAAATGGAACAAATTTTATAGAGCAGTTCTGCAAGAGCACCTACACCCTGGCTATTTGGTCTCTCAACTCAACACTGTTAAAAAAGCAAATAATAAATTGGTAAATTGGTGGATTCCATCTTCGCTGTAATGTAGAAACATATTGTATTTTGTATATGAAATGTGTTACTTTCTCTTCTGGTATCTGTCTTTTTTTGTATCTCTGTGCGACACAAAAAAAGTCCCAATGGGTTGGTTTGGCAATAAAGTTGACTTTGAGTTTTCATTCCAGCTGGGCCTGCTAGTCACAGAGCAGGTGGAGCTCGGCTGGCAGAGAGACAGAGGGAGAGAGGGTTGCTCCCCAGATTTATAGAGGGACAATGGCGGGACAGTGTGAACCGGGGGTAAAAGAGGAGAGTTGTAGGGACAGTCCGGTGCTGGCGGCAGGGATAGCTACAGTATCTATCCGGTTATTGCACAACAAATCATTTATATGATGTTTATTACTATCTATGTGTTGAGAGAAAATTACATTACAGCCTAATCAAATTATTCCTCAACGGTTGTTACACTGTCCCTCAGCAGTTTATGAACCAATAAAGTATTAATCTCTCCATTCATTTATAGCTTTCTGCTTTCTGCTCTTCCACTGAAATGCATCAGCTGATTTCTCTTTAGGACAATTTTACACACCCTTACACATTCACATTCGTCATCCACCCACCTTCCTCCAGTCTTCCTAATTCCACCACATTCCAGAAGAACATTATTTTAACTTCTTTCTATTTTGCTGATCAGTGTGCAGTTCACTTCTACGTGTTCCTTGGAAAATATATATGTCAACATTGTGAGACAAAAGAGTCACTTGGCATTTTGGCATTAATGTTCCTGGACATTTATGTTTATTTAACATTCCTTATTTTATGAGAGGAATGTAATAGTATGAAACATTCCTCTCTGTTTAGAAATGTCATTGGTGTAGATGCCAATTATTTCTTCATAATTGTTTAAGCAGGGCCTTGTGTCAGCATGTAAAGTTGAATTCCTCATATCTCATGAGCGGGGTCAGGTTCAAAAACAAACGCTGCTTTTTTTCAAGAGACGGAGAAAGAAAGCCTTGAATTCTGTTAACTGTTATTCATGTTTTTTAAATGTATAAATAATAAAGTGAAACGCATTTTCAGGATCCGCATGATGCAAAGCAGAATGGGGAGTGTATTGAACTTTCTAGATTTACAGGGACTAAAAAAGAATAAAAATTGATGGATTGATTGATTGACTACTGACAATATTATAAATTCAGTGCTGTACACTTTTTAAAAACATTCCGTGTAATTTAAAAATGGTTTTACATTTTAAAGCTTAACAGTGTCTTGAATTGCACTGAGACTAGGGTAAGTTATCAGGAGTCTCAGGCCAGCTCAATATCCTCCTGGCCACAATGCCTCATATTACAGCCAAATCTTCATCCCCGTGAGAATAAGCCAGAGTTAAACCCCACTGATTCAGGCTGCATTCTCACCCTGATATTCTGTTGTCAGAGGGAGGCTGTTTGCTCAGCTTAGTTCTCACCATAGGATGATGTAAGATGAAGTGAAACATTTTTATAGGTAAAATGATCATGTTGGGACATAAACAGTGGAATTGCTTTACAATATATTATTGTTCTAAAAACTTTAATGGTAGAACCCTTTCTTTATCTCTCAGTTACTGCCAACAACATTCTGTGATCACATATGAGGAAATTATAGCATTTAAAGGTACATTAGGAAAACTTTCTGGGCTGTCATAAATACAACATTATGTGTGGATAGAGTTCATCTTACCTTTTGTGCAGGTCACTGTGATTTAACATATTAAACAGACCCAGTGAACAACTGTTAGTTTTAATCGCCCTAATCTGGTCTGCCAAGATCTGCAAGAAAGGAAAATAACGTTTTAATAACTAAAAAGCATGGGGACAGAATTTAATATTACATTTTCCATTGAACACTTTCAAAGCAAAGGAGCTGTTAACGTTCTTAATGTGGAGCTAGTAAATTGCAGTTCCTCTGAACCGAGCATCTCTTGGTGCAGTCAGCTCTTTTCACACTGTCTGCCATAATGGAAACACGCAGAAGACAGATGGGCAGCCTCTGTTGGTCAGAGCTGCTGTTAAAAGGCAGGTAGATCATCTAACCTCAGGCTATTGTAAGCTGGGCCATTGCGGGGCTTTGATCCTGTCCATTAATATCTTATCTGAGTCTTTGATATTAACCCACCTTTGTCTAATTCCTAGCTGACAGGAAAGCCGAGAACTGCATGATACTCTTTATGGAAGTTAATTATCATTCTAGGTTTCTAGCACAATGCCAGTAGGTTTCAAAGGGCTGAGGTTTCTTGTACTGTTCTGTGACTAACTGTGTTATATGTTAAGTGTGTCATATGGGCAGTTATAAAAATTGCTGTGTTCTGGGGAGTGATTCAAAACCTGGCGCATAAAACACAGACAATGTTTGTGCCTCACAATGTTCAGTCCACAAAACTTTATGGTGATCCTTCTGCCTTAGTAAGCCACTTATTTGCATAGTTAAGGCAACATTTCCAGTACATCAGGTTTATCATTCTGTTGTTAAGTGGGAGTACTGTAGCCTCATAAACAAACCCAGTCTGACCAGTTTTTAACACTGTGGCTCATCAAGCTTTTGTGGTTTTAGGTACAAAGAGTATGGATAATTCCCTCTAGGGTGGGATTCTTGTTCTCCTCAGTTTTTGATACCTGATAATTTAACAATCCAGTTTTTCCTCACATTCAATGTATGTTAAAGAGGTATGCCAGAGTTCAGTAAATTGCTCCTGTTCTACATACAATAAACATTTGTTTGCCCATTGTATTTTTATCCCAGTGGGTTCTTTTCTCTTAAGATTTGCTAATTCTTTGCCTAGTTTAGAGGACCTTTTAAATAATAAATATTTAATTTGGGATTGGACCAGAAGCTCGGGACTATCTGCTTTAAAGGGGCTTCACCAAACCAGACCAGAGTAAAGCTGAAAATGCTGCCCTGCTTCCAGGCAGTTCAAGAAAAGTGTCTCTGAGGTCAACAACAGCCAATGCAGTCACCGACATACTTTGTTAACTTTGTTCTTAATTAAACTATGATCTTTGGTCTGTGCAACATTTGGAGCCTGTTACACACAACTAACTATATCTGATAAAAATCTCTTCAGAAAGACCTTTTTTGTGAGAACTTCGTCATACAGTACAGTAAATACTGCCATTTGTTGACCAGGAAAGAGTCCCACCTTCCACTGGGCTATCCTTTCCTCAGTGGTTGGCCCAAAGACTGATGCTGGTCTGTGTAGTTTGTTAGCAACATGCTGCAAGGCATTCTGGGCATTTGCCAGGCTTTCCTCCAGGGCCTGCTCCCTGCTCTCGGAGTCTCGCAAGCTGACCCTCAGGCTGCGGGCCGTTTGGCAGCAGAGCGGGCTCAGGGGTGTGTGGTCTGGAAGCATTTTGACGAAGTAGGTTTTTCCAGCAGACAGCAGAAGCCCACCTTGCCGTAGTGCTGAACAAGCAGAAAGGCAGCAAAAGGGGTTTAAAGAAGCCATAGAAAAGGAAACTTTGTATTAGCTTTAAAGTACATAACCAAAATCACTGAAAGGCATTGATGTGAGTTAATACCTTTGTGCACGACTTGTAAAAGCCACTATTGTCTTGATAAGAAGCTGGTACAATGAGTGACAGAAAACATTTTACATAAAATACAGACAATGTTTGCACCTCACGATGTTTAGTCAACGTTTAATCAAAGTCCTTGTACCATAGTAAGTTGACATTCAAGAAAGAAAAAAACATTCTCGAGTTCACCTCTGTGTTACCATCAACAATCGCGGTAATCTTCCAGGTGCTTCGGGCCTTAGCAATAATTCAAATGTTTAATTACAGTTCTGCATCTTATGTGCACTGCTGACATGACTTGCAAGTCCCCTATGCAAGTTGCTTTATTAACTCCTTCAGTGTTCTGCAGTTGGGAGAATAGTTTACTGCTGCTCATTAGCTTCTTTCTCACTGATTCCCTTTCTCTTATCAAAGAGATAGAAGGAAATTTCAGAAGGAAAACAGCCTTTTTCTTGACTGTCATTCATCTAAGTGCTTCATCCAAGCCAGGATTGCAGAGGAAGGGGGCTGGGGGGGGTGGGGGGTGGGTACAGGGGACTGTTGCTTGAAGTCTATCTTGGCAAGCAACGGGCACCAGGCAGGATATAACCTGTCCTGCCAGCCCATCGCAGGACAGACACAGACACAAACACTCTCACACCTATAGCCTTCTAGACATTTGGGTCCTGAATGAGCCCAGTGTTCTCTGTGGCTCACACAAAGTCAGTGTTTCTAAACACTTCTATACCGTTCTGGTTGAATGCCAGTGTATTTTAACTTAAACACTGCGTGATTCTTTCCCTACCAATTTATTATCACTCAGCAAGTCTCCCGTGAGACACAATTGATGGCTTATAACCATGAAAGTTAGGAGAAAAACACAGACCTCACCTGAGAACAGGACTAACTTGAGATTAATTGATTTTTAAAAAGGTCAAGTTTATACCTGAACCTAAGGGCTTAATAGGCCATATATTGTTTTAAGTACAATGGGTGTGCCCTTACTGCTTTATTTAAGGAGGTAAGCCAATTGTGAGCACAATTCACAGTTGCAGTGATAACCCACGTGGGAAGTTCACATTACTGTGACACAGGAAGCAAAGCATTAAGTTAAAGGAAAAAGCCATTTTTAAAGTGAAAATAACAAAATTAACAATTCAGAGTATCAACTAGTAGTGCTCTAACCTTACTGTCCTGATATGAAGTAGGGAGAATAATGTTGGTGTATATACAGCATGTATATAGAAGCAAATAAGTTCCACCAGCAAGTTAAATAACAGCATTTTGCCATTCCCATTTATATTCGAATAGACAAGCTGATACAATTCCTCCTAAAGTCCTAGGCCAGTATTCACATTCTGTATATATACAGAAAGTAGGTTTAGGTCACAAAACCATGTGCAAAACAGTCCTAAAGTTCTATAATCTTTACGCATGACCAATTCTTAACACTGGTGTCCAATTGCAATTAAATGTGATTTGCTCACCTTGTCCAAACCCAGAGTCTGAAGTAGCTTGTTGTTCAACTCTTCTCTTTAATTACCAAACATACGTAATTACTTCAACAATGAGATTTCCAAAATGAAAAGATAGCTTACAGTCGCTTGTGCTCTGCTGGGGTATTGTTTTGCTTAGCCTAGACTTTGTCCTAGCAGGTTACCTATGGATACGATCCTCCTACTGCACAGGGCCTAGATAGGTGAAGGTAGCCTTTCAGGGCTGAGCTGTGGCTGAACATTAACTACTGTGTGGCTTCCTTTGAGGGTCAGAATGTTGATGGTGAAGGCCAGAGCTCTGTGAAAAAGAAAAAATGGGGTGTGTGGTATCTTTTATGTAGCTGTTCCAGATGAGCCACATGTACAGTCTTGCTAGGAACCAGAGAAAGGTGAGTACATTCAAAACTTTCCCTAGAAGTTTCCACTTGGTTCCAAATTTGTTGTAGATTGTGTGAAACCAAATCATGCTCCGAAGGCAAAGCTAAATACATGAATAATATCATTCAGAATCTGACATTGTCATAAGGCTTGGACTGGCTTCAAAGCACAAGATGCCCAGTACAGTGTGTGTGAAATAAAAGCAACTGTGGATGGCAGCGTTCTTTGTCTCAGCTTTGGAAGTTGTTCGAGAGAAGATGCCCACTTTTGGAAAGGATTGAGCTTCCTGTCCTCTACTTTACTTTCCCACCACCTGCAAATGAGGCTGTACCCAGAGGAGCTTCTCACTGAGAGATGTGCACCCACACTGTCCTAAAGGTGTGGCAGTGCGTTTTCGAGTCATGCAGGAATAACCTGATGATGTATTTTAACTCATACTATGAGGAAAGAAACTGCAGTATAATACACATGGAAAATGATATTACTCTTATGGATTGCAGGTGAAATCCATTCATCACAAGTTCATCTGGTGCTGCATAAGAAATGTGCTGCTGTCTTTTCAGCCTGTGGAGCTGATACATTCCAGGCAGATTGCAATTAGCAAGCAGGCAGCTTCAATTCACAAGAGCTCCTCTGAGCTTGTACTATCGGGCTATTTTCATTGTGCATGAAGCAGCTACTTTTCTAGCATGTGCTGCTGACATTACAGTATGGCAACAGTACAGTAATCGGAAGTATAGATACAGTATGGCATGTCGAGGTCACACGACCACATTAACCAAATTATTCCTCTGATGTGTCATTAAAACATGATGATAAAGACATATGATTAAATCTGCAACGTATACACATTCTACTCCATGATTATACCTTTTTATTATTTATATGCACATTTTAGATGTAGTTGGTCTTGCACTGCAAAACATGCATATCCTTATCACAAACCTAGTGAATCATTGCAGGTTAAATTAGTCAAGTAGTAGATTAATGACTTGAAAAATCAACTTTTACCAACTAATCCAATTGAATGCTAAGTGATTTTTAACATACATATTGTAATGGAAACATTCAATACAAACTCTCATGACAGAATAGAATTTAGTGTATAGAAGATGGTAAAAACACAACAAAGCAAAATCTAATTTTATTGACTCCTGTGTACGGTGTACATATATATGTAATTAAGAAACATTCAAGTCAAACTCCAAAGAATTTTAATGTGATCCAAACAAAAGTGTTTTTTTTTTCATTAAAGCACACCAAAAAAGACCAAAATTCCCCCAAACTCAACAAGGAAATGCAAAAATAATAACTCTGATTTCCAAAAGAATGCAACCTTGATGTTACAAAATATAACAATAGAATTGAGACAACAAGAATTTAAAACAACTGCATTTTCAATGGCTTTTTCTCCTCTGAAAAGCTGAATTTTCACACAGCAGAAATGCACTGCATAACATATAAATACATCAAATAGTGTTCATGGCCTTTTTAACTTTTCACAGAAATTTACCAATTTAATTCGAGATGATTTGCAACAGCAGCATAAAAAACACACAGCAAGATAAAAATAAAACAGTCTGAGACTGTCTTTGGACATACAGCTTAATGGATTCAAGTTTGCTTTTACTTTCCATATATTGTTGTTCCACAAAATACAAAGATAAAAAGCAATAGCAAGGTTATCTCTGGAAAAACCAAACACAGTAAATTATAAACTAAAACAAAATGCTTCAAACCTCGGTATAACGCACCCTGCTTATAAAGGCCCAATGTTATAATGAACATGCTGCATCCATAGGAATGCATTCTCTTTTGACCCCTTTATTGTGATCGAAACCCTGATTACAGAGACTGTCTTATCACAAGACTGTGCTGTTGAAATAAGCAACATTTGTATTTAAGCGTCTTAGAGAAAAACTTGCCTGTATCCACAGACAGAGCTTTAAAAGGCAGTTATTTACCAAGCATTTTGGAATAGCATTTAAACAAGGCAACATATCCACTGAGCATGAAAACACCAGCTGCAAACTTTTTATATGCTCTTTGTAGTTTAATCGAGGTCTTTGTTTGCTGGAATCTTCTAATTGTGTCTGATAAGCTTGGTGTGATTATATCAGGTCTTGCTCTTTATAGACAAAGTTACATTTGTATAGAGTGAATTCATCAGTGTTCAGCGTTGTGTTCAAGGTTGATAGAAAAAAAGGTACTGGACACAACATGCAAAATGCGGATCATGTTACTTTAATGTAATTTGTGTCCTTCAAAACGTTGTTGTATCCGGTTTCCTTAGAGGCTAATGGCTCTCACTGACTGCTACAGGTAATTAAAAAAATATTGGCTGCGTTGCAGCTTCTGTTCTTGGGATTCCAGTCATTGTATCTGTGAATTTTCCATATATTTGGTCTCACACACATACAAAAGTAAAGCAGCTTCAATCATCCATTCAGAAATAAGACAAACAAAAAGCTCCAACACCTGAAAACTGATTCACCCTGAAGAAGGTGACATACAACAGTCTGATATAGATATAGATTTCAATATTGCAAGAACTCCAGGCTAGAGTTCAACATTAGCACATGCCAGGCACCACTTTATCATTAAAAAGTTCTCGTTCTTTGCATTTGTTTTCAGATTTCCTATAAAACGTTTAAGGCTGACAGATATTGCTTTAAAAGAAACCTGTTAATTGCACAATGAAATACCTTGCTCCTTTCGTTTATTTTATTTTACTATTCCATTTCTCATCTGAAAATGAGTCTCAGTCTGAGGCAGCTTTGACATGCCTTTGACTAATTCCTTTCTAAGGTCTGGAGTATGTCAGATGGGCACCAATGTTGACAACTTGTACATTATATCAAATATAATTTCACACAGAAAACAAACAGCAATATTGTAAAGAGGTTTCAGTAAGTGAAAAGGAATTAATTAAAGAACGTCCCTTTCTCTCGGGAAACTTGGTTGAGTTTTGAAACAAAAAAGCCTGAATCAGTTTGAAACTGCTAAGGGGAGATTTATGTGTCCGTGCAAGCAAAAACTTCAAAACTTTGTTAAAAAAAGTAACATACTAGAGAACCAAAAGGTTTTTTGGTACTTTGTAAAATAAACATCTCTATCTCCCGTATTAAAAAAAAATGCAAATACAATTTAATGGAGGCTGTGCAAAACAGGAATGCATCTGGGGAAAAGGCACATAGATGTGTCAAGAGTATTCACTCAGAACAACTTTTGAGTCTTCGCTACTGAATTCCAAAACACCTGGTCTGAAGCCTGTTTATGTACAGCGCATGCTAAGGCACATTTGGTGACTGCATACATTGTATTGCATGTGCATTTCTACATATACAAATATACACATTTCTGAACCATTCCTTTCATCGTTCTGGAGGTTACCTAGTTGGCATTCCGACATCCACGGTTATGTTTGTAAATAATTTATTCTTTTCTACTTTAACGACTTTGTAAGTCAGCGAATTGATGCCATCCGTGTTCATGGTTTCTCTGGTGTGCACAATCCTGTCGAACCTGTGAACAGAAACAACAAACTGTGAGCCGGACGTCTGAAAACGGGAGCAATTGTACGGGCGGTAGAGAGTTCTTATTCGCTGGCTGTCACGCATTGCAGAGGAACTAAAAGCTGTGCCCGTGAAACGTGTTCTCATGTCCACAGCTGAGCCACTGTTGTGTGCACTCCTTTTCACAGTGCCTCCCACATCTAAATGACACAAAACTAATCATGTCTGTTGGGGTGTGTTGTACTGGGGTATCCTGGCAAACAGATTTATTATATGACACTAGGGCGGCACAGTGGAGTGGTGGTTTATACTGCTGCCTCCCAGTGTGGGGCCTTGTGTCCAATTCCAGACCTGGGGTGTCACCTGCATGGAGTTTGCATGTTCCCCTGTGTTTGTCTGGCTTTCTTCTGGATGCTCTGGTTTCCTCCCATAGACCAAATACACACTGCTAGGGTCACAGCCATCATGAACAACGCCTCTCATCCGGTTCATGGGACTGTTACTGGGCAGTGAAGCACTTTTAGCAACAGACTGCTCCAGCTACAGTGTTCAAGCCGCAGGTCTTTCCTCCCGGCAGCTGTCAGGGTGTATAAGGCTGCCCTAGGCTAAGATTGTTAGCCCTTCATTTGCTCATCTATGGACAGCATGTTGCTCTATTGTACTATTTGGACAATCAATCTGTATAAACCTATGCACATTTTGCAAATATTTTATTGTTTTTACAGTGATTATGATCATCATATTTTGCACACACCTATGTATTATTTTTATTTCTTTTATATTTATTTTGTATAACTTTTCGTCTATTCTGATGTCTGTTTTTGCTTGTCTTGGGCTGGTCTGCTGTAACACATCAATTTCCCTACGGGATCAATAAAGTCTTAACTATCTTACTGCCTCCTGGGGCAAATGACCCTTGTGTGTGTGTGTGTCTGTCTGTGTGTGCCCTTTATGGACTGGTGTCCTGTCCAGGGTGTACCTTGCCTTGCGCCCAATTAAAAATAAAAAATATAAAACTGGTCTTGTCCGACAGATACCTGCATACGTTAGGATACCATCATGGCATCAGGGACCAGTATTCTTTCTTGCTATTGTATCACTATTGTATTATTCTGTACCCCCTGGACTAAATTATCTATAATATAAAAAGACCTTCTCATGTTCTATCTAACTGTTGTGCACTTTTGAAACACTTTTACATCAGTTTTGAATTTTTGAAAAAGATGAGGAAGGACAAATTGTCAGGCCTTATTCGAACCAGCCCTTCTCAAGTACATTTTCCATTGTCCTGCATTCGGATGTTTTACGGAATTTCTACTTTCACTGTAGAAAAAGAAATTCACTCTTCCCGGTCCAATAATGTTCCTGAAGAGCAAAGGAAAGATTCTTCCATCTTACTTCATCGTGTTTTCAAAAGACGCATTTCGAAGTGCCAATTACTTTTTGTCCTATTCCCAGCCATTTTGGCATGACTATGTTTTAGGATTCGGCTCTCCAGTAATGGCTCCTGCACCAGCCTGGGAAGGAATGAACCACATAGTCCTACTCTAGTGTGCCCACGACACGGCCAGCCTTTCGGCACTGGCCCTTCAGAAGCACCATGGTAAGGGCAGTTTGTAATAAAACAACTATGGTTGCTATATGCGTTACACAATAACTGTGACCCTATGTGTACTCTGAAGTCATTTTTGTACTAGGACCTTAGAAAAGGTCAGGGGTCATGGGAAAAGCTATTTATTTACCACAGCATGAAGGGTTTTTGTGTTCCACAGTAACTGTGACTGTAGCTGCTCTCAATAGAGGTTCTAAGATAATTTTCCAGGAAAGAAAAGGTAAGGCTGACAAATCTTGGGGTCAATCAGCTTTCTTCAGTGAAAATTACAATTCCCATAGGCTACTGTTCCCCTGGGATTGTTAACAAGCTTTCAACATTTTATTATAAACAGATAAAAAACTGGATAACATAACTGGACATTAAAAAAAATGTCACTTGAAGGACAATAAAACCAGTTCGTACCTCTGTGGGTTTGGGTCATTCTTGCGGTCTCTGTCGTGTCGGATCATTCGACATTTTCCAATCACTGCATCAGGGCGTGAGATAGACATCCCCCTGGAAGATATCCTACAGAACAAAGTACAGGTGTTAACACAGGCTAGAACAGCATGCCAGTCTGTGGTGAGAGTGTCACAGAGTGAGTCACAGGAGAGGTGTTCCCTCAGCTGGTAGATACACACTGCTCCTTCAGCCTCTTGTATTCTCTGGTAACTCTATAGACTGTTCTCTAAATAATAGAAATGAACAGAATCGCAAAGAAGCTGTCTTGAAAGTATAAGATTTGTAAAACCCAAACAGAGCAGTCAAGCAAAATGCCTTTTAAATTAACGCATTATGACTGTAGACTGTATTTAACCACAGATTTTTTTTCAATTGTGATGCCATTATTAAATGTATAGGGTAAGAAACATTTTGGTTTAGAAATGTTCACAGTGCATTACAAAGGAGAATGTCTTACAGTCTACGTGGGGATAGGTACAAACAGTAAGTTATTACTAAAAGCTACTCCCTGGTATAGCCTTTCTGTGAATTATTTCAGCAAAACTGCTTTATAATGGTGGAGAGGAAAAAGCAAGGCAAGTCCTTCCTTCCTTTTTTAATTTGAGGTCATACCTCTTTTCTCTAAAAAAAGAGACTCTAGCGTTCCTCAGCACGGAAAAGCTGTGAATTATTTTTAATTGTGTCTTAACAGGAAGCACATAGTCACAGAATGTAGACTATACTAAAAACTAATGGGGATACAAGTACTTCAACATTGTACAGCTGAAAGGAACACCATTTCCTCAAGGCTGAGTCAGCAGAGACATCTTGGTCTCATGCTTTTGTCTTAGCTGTAAAAGCCTACAGTTTTGAGGATTTTAAAAGCTCTAAATGTCTTTCAAAAATATTTCTAAAGAATGTCAGAGCAAGATCTTGCAACAGCAGCGGAAATTAAGAGGTAATTAAGAGGCAAATCCAGAAAATGCTTGTTCCCTTTCTTTATATTAGTACGGTTGATTAAATTCACATAACCGCACTCTTAATCTCTGGATTTGTTTATTAAAATAAAATTGCCATATTATCTCAATAGCACTGTTGTTTGTATCAAGAAGGAGGCTACAGTATGTTTAGTGTTCAGATGTTGCCATGGAATTGCTATGCAGGCTTTTTGTGTTATGGAAGCCATTTTTTTTTTGGCCATCAAGAGCAAAGCAATAACTGCATAACAAAACCACAGAATTTTACATGCTGGGGAAATTTATTTCAAACAGGCTTAAGACAGAGAAATGAACCCCCAGAGATTGGAACACACAGGTAGACCATGAGCCCATCACCATCTTTCTGGAGCAGCACTTGCTGATGGTTAACTAAGTAAAGAGTGGAGGTGCAGTAATTGGGTCGCTTGCACTGGGTGGAGCAGTGGCTCTGTGGCTAAGGATCTGTGCCTGTGGCTAGAAGGTTGCTGGTTCAAATCCTGCAGCTGGCAGAGGAATCCTACTCCGTTGGGCTCCTGAGCAAGGCCCTTAACCCCAAGTGCTCCAGGGGCGCTGTACAATGGGAGACCCTGCGCTCTGATCCCAGGCTCTCTCTCTGTCTGTGTGTCTCATGGAGAGCAAGCTGGGGTATGCAAAAAGATCATTCCTAATGCAAGAAATTGTTAATAAAAGGTGATGTTATTTCTATCCTTCCATTTAGAACCTTGGGTTTTCCTCCAGTGGATGTGTGCTGCCAAGATCCCACCTAACCTATTCCAGGTTGGCACTTCACAACCAGCTCTTGCACTGGGGAACTAATACCTCTTTGGTCTCAGACACTTTGCCAGTTAGGCAGCAGTGTGAAGTACTCTAGATTCATAACTAAAAGGCCATGTGTTCAAATCCCAGGTGGGGCACTGCTACTGAAATACTGAAATACATTCAGCAAGGTACTTCACCCAGCTTGCAAAGTGCCCAGATGCAGAAATGCATACAACTGTAAATCATTAACTGTATCATTAAAATTAAGTCAAATAATACTGATACTGAATACTGAAATACATTCAGCAAGGTACTTCACCCAGCTTGCAAAGTGCCCAGATGCAGAAATGCATACAACTGTAAATCATTATGTAAATCATTAACTGTATCATTAAAATTAAGTCAAATAACTTATTCACAGAGATGTGTAAAGCACCCGAAGCAATGCTGTTGCTGATCTACGCATACGAGCACAGACGCAGTGCAATTCCGTATGGAAAAGCCATTCAGGGAGGCCAGCTTCATGGGCTGGGTGACGTCACTGCCCGACAGAACAAAGCCTTGTTTCTGAGAAGCCAAAGCAGTAAAAATGCTTCATTTGATTACCAAAAATGAAGTACAAACTAAGGAGATTGGGCTGGCTCTCCTATGCCACTGTAAGAGGGACTGAGAGATCTTACTCCCCTCAAGAAGACTCCCAACTATTTCTGAAACAAAAGCAGCACGAACGCTGGTTTTAACAGCATATAATCTAATCACCTTTCTGTTTTCTGACATTAAGCCATATGCTTTTAATTTAACTCATATTAAATAATTTGTGCTATTTGTAGGGGGCAACCTTCATAGAGCCGCCACTTTGTGTCACAGTACAATGTTCTCAGAAAGTTCTCAGATTCAACTCTATATTAGCTATTTCTCAGTCTCATTTTGAGTTTTTTTATTATCTAATGTCATTTTCCCACTTGGATATCTAGCCTCTTATATAGTTGTGTTAAACGGCCCAATCAGTCTGTATTCCTGAAACTAGCACTCTCAAAGCACTCTAGTAAGCGAGCAACTTACCTGTTGTAAATGTCATCATCTTCTCCGCCCCAGCCCCAGTAATTGTTAGGAAAGCCGTTGATCTTCAGAAACTGTTCCTTGCTCAAAGATGACACGCCACCAAAATACTGCTGATAAGGCAACCTTGAAAACAACAGTAAACCTCTAAAATTCCAGCCTTAAACACAGATACTAATATGTGGTGGTGAACAGCTCTTACCGTCAAAAAGGGTTGAAAACCACTTGATTGCAGAATCAGGTAAAATATTTCACACAAGTTAATGCCGTGTCAGATCAACACACAATCCTACCACAATGAGCAATCTCCACAGGTATTCGAAAAATGTAAGTCAAAAGAATCGTATCAGAGCAGGCACAGTTAAAGTGCTTTTAATTTTGTGTGAGTGTGCAGTTTTCATAAATGGGACAATGGACATGTCACTGCCATGAACATAAATTATGAACATAAAAGTGTCAGAAATAATGAGGCTATTGGCTAATTTTGTTAATTTACAGGCTAGAAGCTCCATGATGCAAGACTCTTTTTAAGTATGTTCCTTATAGACATTATGTAATCTGAAATGTTTCTTCTTTTCTGGAATCTGAAACAGGAGAGCAAAGAAATTCCAATTGTGTTAAATACTACTTCAAGAAAATACACTTTAAGTTTCATCAGCAAAAGTTAAAGGGAACGCCAAGAAATTTGTTTCTAGACTTGTTTGCATTTCTTCTTCTACAATTTAAAGGGTAAAATATAAAAGAATGCCTGAAGAAGGTGCTGTTCCTCGGTGCAAAGAAAATGCATTGTACGAAGTCAAAACTGTCCCTCAAAAATTACCAGGGCTGGACTGAATTAAAAGACACCAATCCTGTTTATCGGAATTAACAAAATATTTTGTTTAGCCTGAAACATGCACGTTGGACTTTGGTCTGTGGGAAAACAATTTGGCTGCTCTCCTCAAAAACACATCTAAAACAAGGCTTACACACTTAGTCGACACAGTATCTGTAGACCGATACCTTTCAACAAGAAAAGGACTCGTGAATATAAAATGTGAATAACGAGGAACAGGTTCCATTTTCTAGTCAGTAAGATTTAAAATAACATTTTCTGGTCACAGCAATGCAGCAGTTATCACACTTCTGCAAGTGTGAGCAGAAACCACTTTTTCTAGCTGGCTTAGAATCTGATTTTTCTGGCTGGAGTCTGAATCGGAGGGCAATGCTCTGAACTTCGCTCTTGAGCTTGGATCACAGAGTTCTTCGGAGGTCATACATTGGAGAAGGTCTGAAGCATGCGAGATTGTCACTTTCCCTATTTGCTCCTAAAAATACCTGTTCACATAAAACTGGCCAAAGCAATAATCCTATCATAATGTAATGGTGAAACACAAAAAAGTAATATTTACAATTGGAAAGAATAGAGACCAACATTTTACATTCAGCTGGATACATTGTAGAGCCACCTTAATCTAACTAGGCATCACTGCATTAATTTGTTGGCTGTTTCTCTGATCAAATACCTCAGCTGTCCATATATATATTCTCACTCCTAGAATATTCTCACTCCTAGATATCCGACACTACCATTAGCTCTTAAGGTTACAAACAAGAGGAGGCCATTTTAACGCATTTAGCTTGTGTGGTTGTTGGTAGCTAAATGACCAGTGAAACTTAACCATCTTTCTTGAAAGAAGCCAGGGTGTCAACTTTGACAACATTCAAGTACGTAACTGTGTCAGCATGTATAGGCTGCAGAGGAAAAGGTAAAGTTTTATTCTATGCTGCAAAGAAAAGAGACAATGTTTTGGCAGTGGAGCCTTCTTCAGGTGTGACACCGTACTCCTCTGTTTGCTCCTGCAGGAAAACATCTCCTTGTGCGGCTTGCAGAAAGACCAAGCAGAGGACCAATGACGAGGTTGAAAGTCCGCCAGGTACCAGACGAGACATGACATGATCGGTCATCAAAGAGAAGTGCATGTTGGAGGACCTGGAAGAGCTTATCAACTGGAACAAGATGACCAGTAAATTCAAGAGGACTGAAGAAAGTGAAAATGGAAAATAGCTGGAGCTGGTTCAAAGCTGGAGGAAAGGAAATACCAACACTCTCAGAAAAGCCACTAAAGAGGCTGGGAAGTGTTTCGATGAAAACACTGAAAGATACAGTGAGCATGTGGAGGACAGTGAAGCAAGCAAAGGAGTGGATGCATAAAGTGGAGAAAAGCCGCCGTCCTGAGAAATACAACACTTGGTGTTGCCAACACGGGGTCCAATGAAGAATACTCTGGCCTCTCTTAGTTTTTGACTGCCCAATAACAACACTTAAGGGAATGGAAAGAAACATTAGTAGTTACCTAAGAAGATGCTAGAGGTACAAAGGAGCTTCAGTAGCTTGAATATGTACAGCACAGGGACCAAATTACAACTATGTTTCAGGGGGCTAGCCAAGGAGTTAGATAGGTCCTGCTTCTGCATGACTGTAGGGATGATAAAGTAAGACCCAACGGAGCAGAAGTTTGCACAGACAGGAAACGGTCAGCCACAAGGGCAACCAAAGAAACAGAATCCAGGCTACACCACAAAGATATTGCGGGGACAGTAGCCACTGGAAAGCTAAGAATTGGCTGCACCCAAAGCAAGAGCTGAGGAAAAGCTAACCTGGTGGAGAAAAGAGACCTGGTGCAGTTCCAAATCTGTAACGTGGTGGGAGAGGGTAGGTTTGCACGAGCGGATAAGATGAGACTGCAAGGGAGATGGACACAGAGGGAAGGAGTGAAAGATCATGTGGGCTGATATGTGGTCCATGGAGACCAACAGATCATGATTCCTGAAGATCCATGCTGCTGTGGAGGGCACCCAAGATACTGAGCATAAGAGACCACCACTGAAACCACAAGAAACTGCAAGGCAGTGGGACAAGAGGCAGAGAAGGTGGTGGCCGAAGAGGTAGGAGCAGTGCTCAGGTCGGGTCTGACCATCCTTGCTGGCTCACCCTCTAGAAGGTGCCAAAACACCCAGTGAAGTCTTCCAACTCACTGTTTCCCATTTATGTTGTGTTCTTGCTATCTGAATTTAAAAGTCTGCCCATGTCTACATCAAATATTTCCAGGTGTTTGCCCAGGCTTGAATTTTGTCAAAAGCTTCCCAGTTTGGTTTTGTTCAAATAGAGGTCTTAATAGGTTAATAAGATTGAACCCTCAATTTACCCAATCAGCTGATTTTAGCCAATTATCCATTATTGGTTAAAGTCCATTTGATTTTCTATTTTTAATTTCAAAACCCCATCCTACTTTTTTAGCGCTGTAAAATTTTTAAAATATTTAAACATTCAATAAGCTTAAATAAGACCTAGATTACAATGAAGACCAAAAAAAGAGATTGATGCTCCAAATCATTGTGAACTTCTCTTGTAGCTTGTACAGTGTTTGCAAATTCTTTTACATTGGTCTCAACTGCAAATCTTGCTGGAAACCCTGACTAACCCTGACAGTGATCTAAATCACTGATATGACTGAGGAAAAGCAATTCCAGCTCTTGAGTACTGCTACAATAATGCCATCCCTCTTATCTAACTCTACTTAATATGCGGTCACCAGTTATCAAACCAAATGCATTTCCTTAATTGCCTACTTCTTTCTATTTGAAAATAAATCTTAAAGAGATTACTGAAACTGTTACCCACTTTTGCCCCAGGGAAATCACGTATTGTCGTTGATAATTCTCACACACTCTCTGTTCCCGACAATGGACACATGTTGACAAGTGACTTGCGGCTCTTGTCTCGGGGAGTTGGTATGCAAAAAGGGTATGGCCAGTAAAGTTCCTGGTCTTTTGTTGCAAAACATCTCTCGAAGGTGGAACCTGTTTGTCAGGTGTAGGTTTTGGCCTTTACATCTGTGTAGGTTTTAGTTTAAACTTAGCTTTTGTTCATGTTAAGGAAATAGGACAGACCACCTGTCCATGGAATCCATATTAAGCTGATTAAAAGAGTGTGTAACATTTGTCAAACAGCTGGGAATCACATCATACATTCCGTGTCTATCTCTTCTTACAGCACATATGCCTTTTCATAAACACATTTTGTGTTTATGTTTTATGCCATAGACCAACATTTAATATTTATGTTAACACAGAAGCTGCAAGGCAGCGTCTCATGTATAAATTTCCCGTAGAAGTACTTGTGTCTAATAGAGGAGTGGGAGAACATCTGCAGGGATTTTTCTATCTCTACTCTCTGAGGGCTTTTGTGAAATAAACGTATTTTGCGACTTCTTGCATCCCCAGGCTAAGATTTCTGGAAATGAAATGCTTTAGAAAAAAGGAAAAAGGCAAAAACATAAGAGTCCTGGTTAAAATTAAACTACTGGGTTATACTTTATTTAAATGTTGCTGCATAATGGCTTCACAATCCCTTCATAGCTGCAACATAAAACATATTCACACGCATAATGCTTTACAGGGACATGCACAAGTGACATAACATGTATAAGAGGTCGTAGCATTTGTTTTAACATAATGTATAGCGCTTCATAAGATGCAATGCTAAAATGAAATGCTAAAATGTCATGACCTCGTATGCACACATTATGTAATTTGTCATATGGATAAACCACTTGTTTCTACTGTAGGAATGGTGAAAGCAGTTCAGTCAGGACTTTGAAGAAGCTTTGTTTTGCTTATTCACACCATATAAATACAAAACATTCATTTTTTATTCACTTCCACACTAAAAAACGCATCAGTTCTTCAGTGAAAGTGCATTATACCAGCCCTGAACTTGAAAAGCAACAAGTATAAGTTAAGTAAACTCAAGCTAGGTCCTTTTTTCAGTACAACTCCCCAGAAGGGGAAACTTAGAAGCCGATAGAAATGGAGTGGTTTCATGGATACTGTAGATGCAGCTCTTATCAAACCGTCTCTTCAGAATTACCAATATTGTGAAACATTCCTATGACAACGCAAACAACGACATTTGATGCGCTCTGCAATCGGATACTCCTCTGTTTCTTGCCTGTCACAGAGCTCTTTATCAGTTACTTTTTCTTTAAAATGTTTGCCATAGTCATTCATGACTATACACTGCCTTGCAAAAGTATTCAGATCCGTGCAGTTTACACATTTTGTTGCTTTAAAGGTTGCATGACACAAAGACATAATTACTATGAAGGAAAAAT